GCTCACCCCGGGGTTCCTGTGGTCCTGGCCCCTCAAGCGGACTTCGGACGAGATCCAGGACCCCCAAATTCCTTTAACGGAATACCCAGTTCCTGGAGGGGCAGGTGATGGCCGCACCTCTCCTCCCCACAATCCAACGGATCCAATGCCTAACTGCCACCTTACAAGTTGTGATGATTTGCTAAGAGGTAGGCGAAAACAAAATGGCTAAAGCCAATCTGCCAAATGGAAAAAATTCCCACCCAGCCCCTGTTCCAAAACAGGCGACCCAAACCAAAGCAAGGCCAAGCAACTTTACCTAAACTAGGGAGGGTGGGCAGGTGTTCAGCCATGCAAATACAAGTGCCCCACTTGCATCACACTGCTGTTTTTAAAGCCCCTGGGATCACGCCACCTACTGGCTATTGGCTAAAACTTCATGGCATGATCCCAGGGGAATGGCCAGGACTTCCTGCTCCTCCCCCCCCTTTTAACCCTGTCAGGTGAGCTCTTGGTCCCGAGCGCAACCAGGACCCTCTGTTATGAGGATCCCATTTGACAGCGAGTTTGGGTTGGCCCAATGCAAAAAGCGTGAGGATCCATGAGGTACCGTGCTTCAGAACCACGTTTTTGGGCCACGGTATGGCCAGGAAGCCGTGGATCCGTGATTTTTGTGGTGCAGGCTGTGCCCATGGCGATGATGTTTGATCTGATGGTGACTTTGGGCTGATCTAGTGCAAAAATCATGAGGACCCACAAGGATCCGTGTTTTTTAACCATGTTTTTGTGCCACTGCAGCCTCACGAAACAGTGGATGCATGATTTTTTTGATGCTGCCTACAGAGTAAGAGGGACGCGGGTGTCACTGTGGGTTAAACCACAGAACCTAGGATTTGTCGATCAGAAGGTTGGCGGTTCGAATCCCCACGACGGGGTGAGCTCCCGTTGCTCAGTCCCTGCTCCTGCCAACCTAGCAGTTCGAAAGCACGTCAAAGTGCAAGTAGATAAATAGGTACCGCTCCGGCAGGAAGGGAAACGGTGTTTCTGTGCGCTGCTCTGGTTCGCCAGAAGCGGCTTAGTCATGCTGGCCACATGACCCAGAAGCTGTCATGATGAGCGCCGCAACCACAGAGTGGGTCATGACTAATGCTCAGGGGTCCCTTTACCTTTTTTATAGAGTAAGACATGGTCTACAGTACCATTTTGGTTTTATTTAATTTGAATGAAAAAATCATATGAATTTATGAGAATCTGTTTAAAATCAGCTGGATCCGCCTTTTACCCTTTTCCTTTCCCGGGCATAGGCGGTATTCAGCCCCCTTAAGCAGTGTCTGGGTGGAAATTGCTGAAATGTCATGGCAGCATAGATTTTGGTGATTTTCAGTTAAAACAGCTCAAAAACTCATTGTCTTTTGTTAAGATTTCTTTTAAAAAAATGCTCAAGAACTTTTCTCTCATTGAAATATGGCAACCCTACTTTTGTGGCACCTGTCTGTCCACTGTGAGGACAGGATGCAGGACTGGATGTATCCCCATCAGTGGTGCCCTGTGAAATGCTAAATAAACATGGTGCCCTTGCCACCTCTCGCACTCTGTTCTGCAGCATTGTTGTGGCATCCCCTGCAGCACTGCAGCTACACTGATCGTACTAACCTAAAATTGCCTGTGACCACATTATTCCTGACCCAGCAGCCAGGTTCTTATTATCAATGACCATAGCTAAACTATGGAACTTGCTCCCACAGAAGGCACCAATAGCCACCAACTTGGATGGCTTTAAAGGAGGATTGGACAAATCCACAGCAGAAGAAGAGACTACTGCTGGCTAATAGGCATGATGGCTGTTTACTGCCTCCAATATCAGAGGTGGATCGAATAGTTTGCAAAGGTGAGGGGAGTGCTGTTGTGTTTTCAGGATCCCCTTTGGTTGGTTGCTTTGAGACAGGAGGTTGGACTAGATAGGCCCCTGTGTTGAACTGAAGGTGAACTTTTCTGGAAGATTTGCTAATGCCATCTTGGTAGTCAAGATAAACCCACAATTAATTGGTAGCTGTTGCAGCAATGAGCTCATATATCACTTGCTTTGATATAAGCTAATTGTCTTGCTTTGATGTTACCCTTATCTGCGGGGTTTGGGGTGCTGGGCTCTGAGCCCAGAAAGGGAAGCCATCTGTAAGACTTGAGTTTTTGCCACCTATGCCCTCATCTGCTTAGTTGAAGTGATGGGCAGTCTGGTGATGTATGCTGCTTTGTGGATAAAGAATGTATGGACATTTGCTTGGGTGTAGACAAGCCATCTCCTTGCTGCAGTGTCCGTCCCACGTCTTCAAAGGCTAGGAGAACTGGCAGGCTGCTTTGCTGTAAGTCTACACCTTCTCTAGAACTGGCCATTCTGATGTTTTTGACATCCTTCTTTGGTATTCCTGCACCCAACCACTCCCATGACCTATAAAGACGTAAACGGCTCAGGACCACAATACCTCAAGGGCCACCTCTCCCCATATGAACAACTGCAATCACCATCTGAGGCCCTCCATGAGAGGTCAAGAGGGTGACAACATGAGTGCAAGCCATCTCTGTGGTGGCTCTCCGTTTGTGGGATGCTCTCCTGGAAGGCTTTTCTGATGCCTTCATTACATATCTTTAGGCACCAGGCATAAACATTCCTCTTCTCCCACCACCTTCTGAGAAAGTCTGTTCCACTATGAAACAGCTCTTACAATCATAAAGTTTTTCTTAATGTTTAGCTGGAATCTCCTTTTATGTCATTTGCTTACACAACAGGACTTCCAGAGGGTGTGGGGACTCTCCAGAACAGATTTTGGGGGAACACTTTGGGTGGAGGGCTATAGGAATGAGGAGAGAAAGGTGAAGTCCTTTTATGCAAGAAGTCCACTTCCGTGGTGTTGGATTCTACCCCATGATTTGTTGAGCCAGATGGTGAGAAACTAGTCGCAAACAGCTTTTACCACCAGAAAGTTCTTCCTGATGTTAAGTCAGAATCTCCTTTCTTGTAACTTGAAGCCATTGGTTTGGGTTCTACCCTCCAGAACAGGAGAAAACAAGCTTACTCCATCTTTCATGTGACAGCCTTTTAGACATTGAAGATGCTATCATATCTCCTCTCAGTGTCCTATTTTCTGGACTAAACATACCCATCTCCCTCAACCATTTCTCGTGAGGCTTGGTTTCCAGACACTTGATCATCTTGGTTGCCCTCCTATGCAAATGTTCCAGGTTGGCAATATTCATCTTAGATTGTGGTGCCCAGAACTGGATACAGTACTCCAGTTGTAGTCTGATCAAGACAAAATAGAGAAGGACTGCAACTTTCCTTGATTGGGCCACTATATTTCTCTTGATGCAGCCTAGAACTGCATTAGCCTTTTTTGCCACTGCATCACACAGCTGACTCATGTTGAGCTTGAGGTCTACTAAGACCCCTAGATTCTTTTCCCATATACTACTGACAAGCTAGGGATCTTATATTTTCTGCCTGCTTATTATTGTATAAACCTATCCAGCTTAATTTCAATGCATCCACCAACTTACTTGGATACACCCTTAAGTAACTTTAAACCTTACCAGACAAAAAGTGTTTTGCTGCTTGAGGCAATGTACAGTGGCGCCTCGGAAGTTGAACGGAATCCGTTCCAGAAGTCCGTTTGCCTTCCAAAATGTTTGGAAACCAAGGTGCAGCCAATCGGAAGCCGGGGAAGCCCTGTCGGACGTCCAGGTTCCAAAGAACGTTTGCAAACCAGAACACTCACTTCCAGGTTTGTGGTGTTTGGTCAGAGAAACAGTTCCTTTTGTAGTGATTTGCTGTTTCCCCCCCAGTGGGGATCTGCTGCTGCCTCTCATTTATTTATAGTGGGAAAGGTCAATAGCAGAGATCTCAGAGTGGCTGAAACATGCAGGCCCCACCTGACAAGGTGGATTTAGCGGCCAGTGTTAAATTTGCAACCTGGCTTCTGTTTTGCAGCAAGGAGGGCTCACCTTTCAGGGTCAGTGCTTAAAAGGGTATTCCTCAAAGGACTCTCATTAAATTGTGGGCGGGGGGGGGGGAGTTTCCATGGCAAATGCTCTGCATTTTTTTTACATCCTGATAAATGAGTATACCTGTAATATCTAGGCAGGATTTTGCTGAATCAGCAAGATGATGCAAGACTACTCAAAATTGTTGGCTGCTGGAAGTTAATTTTTACAATGTTTTTTTTAAAAAGAAGGGATCACATCCAATGTTGATCCTACTCAGAGTAGACCTAGTGAAATGAATACCTATCCATCTTAATTTCAATGCACCCGCCAACTTACTTGGATATACCCTTAAGTAACTTTAAGCCTTTCCAGACAAAAAGTGTTTTGCTGCTTGAAGCAATGTACAGTGGCACCTTGGAAGTTGAACGGAATCAGTTCCAGGAGTCCGTTTCACTTCCAAAGTGTTTGGAAACCAAGGTGCGGCTTCCGATTGGCTCCTGCAGCGAATCGGAAGCCGCGGAAGCCCCGCCGGACGTCCAGGTTCGAAAGAACGTTCGCAAACCAGAACATTCACTTCCGGGTTTGCGGTGTTCAGGAGCCAAAACATTTTGAGTCGCAAGGTGTTTGTCAACCAAGGTACGACTGTATTTTCTTATGAAGCTCCATTAAAAATGAAAAACTGTTGTAAGAATGTTAAAGAGTATGAGAGTTGGGTCACCTTGTTTAGCACCTTTGTCTTCAACAGTGGCCAACCAGATGCCCCAATGAGAAGCCAACAACCAAAACCTGAGCACAACAGCAGCAATTCCCCCCACCTGTGATTCCCAGCAACAGACGCAGGATTAAGAAGGGGGGGAAAAACCACATTTCAACTTTTATAGAATTTCTAGATGCCCCGGGGGCATACTTTATTGCAAATCAGTTAACAAAACAAAAACAAAAAACAAAAAAATACATCCTTTTGCAAACTACACATTTTGCTTGAACATTTTTATTATGGAAGGGTGCTTTTTTACCACCCACATCCATCCCATCCCACCCACCCCCACACTTAAGAAACTACACTCTAGTTTATAAAACATAAAACAATGAACACCAGAGGGTGTTTAAAAATCACTTTGCTTTAGGGATGTCCCAATATCAGCACTTCACCATGCTTCGTAAGAGGTGGGTATTCAAGAGGCTCCCCCCCACAAGCAGGGTGTGCATGCGCGATGCTTGAGTGCGTCAAGGTGAGGTCCAGCTGGACAGAGGACCACCGTAGCACAATAAACGCACAGAATATTGGAATGCCCCCACCCCAACAAAGCCAGCAACTTGGATATGTTAGTACAGTGGTACCTCGGGTTACAGATGCTTTGAGTTACACACTCCACTAACCAGGAAGTGGTTGCTCCAGGTTAAGGACCTCTGGAATGAATTAAGTTCTTAACCCGAGGTACCACTGCATAAGGGAAGTGTTTCTGAATCAGGAAGCCCCTGCAAAGTCAATGGCATGAGCGCCAAATGAAATGTGTGTCAGATTGAAGTCTTCAAGGGTGGCTCACTTGGCAAATCCTGCCAGTGAAACTAACTCGTTCTCAAAAGAGCGCTGTGGTCACACAAAGGCCTTGTTCAGTTCAATGACTCTCTCTCTCAGTGAACTTTTTGGTGGATTGGGCTCCTTCTCATGAGCAATATTTCACCACCTCTAAACCACTTTCACTTTCAACTTAAAACCGTTTTAGATTTTTTAAACAAAATCCACCCTTTATCTCTCTTTTCTTTAAGTAAAAACAAAACGAAACAAAAAACTTATTTACAGAACATTAGCTTTGCCATAGGCTTATACTATATATTTATATATATAATAATTTTTTATTTTTTTTTACAAAGTCGACCCCCTTCCCCATTCTCCTTATTGCCATAAGAGCAAACATCCAACGTGCCATTCCGGAAGACTTTGCAATCTCTCTCTCTCCCCCCCCTGTCTTAAAAACAATGAATTCAGCCCCTTTTTGCTTTCTGGGGGTGTCCTGTGATGACAAGAGTCCAACCCAAGTCAGGCTGTAAAACTCATTTCAAAGTCAGGAACACCTAAGTGGGGCCTGGCCAGTTTGGCACTGGCATCTCCCAAAGGGCCATCCAAGGCAAATGTTTTGCCAGCCCATCAAGGTCTAGGTATCCCCACCCCCCATGCCCCCGTCACTGCCCTCCTGCATGTGGGGCGGGCAGAAAGATTGGAGGGGGGGGGGTTGGAACTGCTGCCCTAAATTCTGGCAAGCAGGGTTTAATTTCCACCCAGAGTTCCACTCTCCAGCTCCCAATATTCAAGTGGGACAGGAACACAGTGAATTCCACTAAGGACTCTACAGATGAAAGGTGAGAGCCACTCACGAGATGAGGGGGTGGGATTTGCAGTTGCTGCATTGGGCTACACTGGAAGCAACAGGGGCAGGAAGAAGGTTGAAGCGGCACCCTCTCCAAGACATGTCCCTGAGTGCAGCACCTTTTCACTCTCTTCCATAGAAGTGAATGGGTTGCTAGGATCAACCCCTTCTGGGAAAATTACAGCGCTGTGGTATTTATAGGTGAGCCTATTGCCACGTGACTAATGGCCTGGGGCTCATACCCTGAGGTTTCTCTACACTGCACAGACACACCAACCCTCCCTCTGGGTAACCCTAACCTATACAGCTTATGTTTTCACACAGACACATACATCTCCTGCCTGTCATAATCAACAGCATTTTGTTAAGTCTTCTCATAGTAAAAATGTGGTTCTTAAAATGGCAACACCCCCCAAGGTGATGGGTGCTTTAAAAATAGCACGATTGGGACAATTTAGAGAAAAACCACAAAGCTATCCTGGAGTCAAAGTAAAGTTTCTTCCTCTGCACCAAAAGCCTTTTTGAGCACAAGACTTTTTTGGAGAAGGGAAGTTGGAGGGTGGGCCCCAAAGGAAGCATTGGGATTTCATTTATAGCTTAGAACCCGTGATCCTGATTTTTGATCATAGGCAGTATTTCAAATAAATAAAAAAGAAGTAAAGCTTGCTATCATGCAAAAAAGGACAAGCGAGATAAACTATATAATACTGAAACTTTAAAACAGAAATTCATGGCTGCTGTCTCATAATATTCCCCGACTCTATCCACCCTCATACAAGGGAATATTTTAAAGCACTTAACAAAACAAAACAAAAAACAAAACAAAACAAAACCCAACAAAACCCATCAACAACAACCCTCCCCCCGCAAAAAAATCAACTTATGTTTAAATTATTATTTCCCTTCAAATAGGTAAACTTTTGTTGAAAAAATGTGCCCATCCTCCCTATTTTTCCAGAATTAAAAACAAAAACAGGAAAAGAAATATCTTGTTCAATAAATAAATGTCACTATATAATCATGGGTCTTTGCTTACAGCTTTACAAAAGAAAACCTCTCTGCACAAGAACATCCTTGTGGTATAAAAGTTTTTGTTTTTGTTTAAAGAGGATGTCCTAAAAAAAAAAAAAAAGTAGTAAGCAAGAGAGAGCAAAGCAGGTAATCAAACCCCATTAATAAGATTTTAAAATTTGGACCACAGCAAATGCATCCCACTGAGCTCTCAACAAAACTTATAAATAAAAAAGGCAGTGTTTTCATGTAGTACATAAATAAATACTAACGAAGGAAGAAAAACGTTGAAATTTCCCTCTTACATTGTATGTAAAAATACTTTTTCTTTTTATATATATATATAAAAAAGCACAGAAACTCAAACCAAAGGTTACTCTGGTTCAACCAAAGAAGCGTCTCCCTCCGAAGGAAACTCTCTGGGGTCGCCTGCCCAAGTGGTTCCCCTCTTGCTCTACTTGAACGCCTCTGGGATGTGCCCCATCTGCGACTGCATGCTGGTGGGCGGGCTTGAGATGCCCTCGGACCAATCTGACAGGTTGGAGTGTGGAGATGAGCTCGACCATTGGTCCGGCGACTCCGGGGAAGGTGTCAGGAACGGGTGGTCTGGCACCTGGAGCTGGTGGCTGGGGGTGTTGTCCAAGGGGGAGGAGTAGCTGTGCTGGGAGGGTGGAGTCAGGAACTGGGTGGTGGTCATGGGCTGAGTGAGGGCAGAGGGCAGGGAGGTGGCCAGGACCTGGGTGTCCTGGGGCAGGATGGTGTGGACTGCCAGAGCCCCGCCATTCACTTGCTGCTGCAAGTCAGGCTGGCCCAGCTCATTCCCCAGGAAGTTTGCACTCCCGGCATTTGGGGCGGTGCTGTGGGTCTGCTGCTGCTGCTGCTGCATGCTTTGCTGCTGGATCTGCTGCAGCTGCTGTGCCTGCAGGAGATGGGGCTGGGCATTGGCTGGCAGGCGGCCGTTGGGCATGGCCTGGTAGTTCATAATCTGGGACAAGGTGGTGGTGGGCAGCCCGTTGTGGAGGGAGGTCAAAAGACCGTGCTGGAGGGCCTGGCCCTGCGGGAGTGCCCCCTGCTGCAGGCCATTCCGCATAGGGTTGTATTGGCCCTGCACCTGAATGCCACTCTGCATCTGACTCAGCCAGCTGCATTGCCCGCTCAGGCCAGGCGCTCCGCTCACGGTGAAATTCATGACAGTGGCGTTGGAGGTGGGCAGGTGGGAGAGCCGCGGGGGCACCGAGTCGAAGGGCTGTTGCATCCGACTGGCACCCAGGCCAAGGTCTTGCTTGCCCACCAGGTTGAGGTGGTTCATGCTCAGGTGGGCATCGGGCATCCCTGGCAGGTGGTTGAGGGGCATGGAGGGCGACAGTTGGAAGGGGGAGGTCATCAAGGGAGGAGATGCCACATCAGACAAGTACCCACGGGGGGACTCTAGGGAGTCAACTGGGGAGAGGACACTGGAGCTGTCCAGCAGGCAGCCTTTGCCCTCCTGCGACTTCTTCCGGCGGGCCTTGAGGTCCTTGGAGGACTCCTTCCCATTGCAGATCAGTCCCTTGGCGCTGGGCTTCCGCGCCTTTTTGCCCTGCATAGCTGGCTTCAGGCTGCCGATGTAACTGCTAGGCGAGCAGAGGGGCGGGGAGAGGGTAGGTGCCCCCAGGGGCCCGCTGTGCAAAGGGGGGCTGCGCACCAGGTTGTACTCGTCCAGGAGGCGGACGATATCATGGTGCATGCGCTCCTGGGCGATGTCCCGTGGCAGGCGGTCCATGTGGTCTGTGATGTCCCGGTTGGCGAAGTTGTCTAGGAGGACCTTGGCCGTCTCGTAGCTCCCTTCTCTGGCCGCCAGGAACAGAGGGGTCTCCTCCTAAAGGCATGGGAGGAAAGGGAAGAAGAAAGCAGACTTATTAGAGGCTCTTCTCCAAAATGAACAGGGTTATGCAGCTGAAGTATTATTAGTCATTCCTTACATTTATCAATTTGCTTTACACAATGAAAGGTCTAGCTGCAGCTTAAGAACATAAGAAGAGCTCTGCAGCTGGATCAGGCCAATGGCCTACTTGGTCCAGCATCCTGTCCTCACAGTGGCCAACCAGACGCCCCAACTGGAAGCAAAAGAGCCCTCTCCCCTTTTGCAGTTTCGAGCAACTTGTATTCAGAAGTGTTGCAGAGCATAGCCACCATGGCCAGTGGTCACTGATAATCTTCTCTTCCATGAACTTAGTCTTGTCCTCTTCTAAAGTCATCTAGGTTGGTGGCCATCCCTGCCTCTTGTGGGAGGGAGTTTTATAGTTTAACTATATGCTGCATGAAGGACTTTCTTTTGCCTATCCTGCATCGTCAAACGGATGCAATTCAAGTTCACTTAAAGCTAACTCCCTGTTTCCCATCCTAAATTGCAGATAAACGATAAACTTCTCCTTCTGCCCAGGGAAGCCCACAAGATGCCAGGGCACCTCTCTCCTATTTCGCAGCTTATTCCAGCAAAGCTTCTGACCCTGTCATTGAAGATCCTGGGCTTGCTGGTCCAGTCCTTGGCTGGATAGCCAGTGGCTCTGCCTTGCACTGGCCCAGCCCTGCTCCAGGAAGAAGCCCCCTCCCTTCTCACCTTGTTATTCTGCATGTCTTTATTTGCCCCGTTCTTCAACAGCACAACAGCGGCATCAATATTATTCACGGCAGCAGCCCAGTGCAGCGCTGATTTCCCTATGGACACAAAGGCACAAATGTTAAGGCCATGACCATGAGCCCCTCACCCTTCCCCAGAATGCTTTGGGAATGCCAGGTACCTAGGTCATCAACCGCATTGACGTCTGCGTGGCAGCTGATGAGGTCTTCCAGCATGCCCTCCACAGCCAAACGGGCAGCCAGGATGAGAGGGGTGGTCCCATCGTGCATGCGGGCATCCAGGTCGGTGGCCCTGTTCCTGATCAGAATCTGTCCCAGGAAAGAGAGACATCTTGGTTATTTGACATCCTGGCAGGGCAAGAGAGTGAATGTCCGTTCTACAGCCACCCAGCTGAAAGCCACATGAAGCTAACTAGAAACTCAAAATTCCCTGCTTTGCATTGCAGGGGGGTTGGATGAAAAAAAAAAAAACCTCACTGGGAAGGCAGAATGATTGCCCAGCAATGAGCACAGCAATCTCTGGGGGCTTTTGCACTAGAGTCCCAGAATGATAGGAATCATAGAATTTTAAGGTGGAAAGGAACCTCAAGGCTCATCAAGTTCAACCCTCTCCAACAGGGAGGGAGCTACTCAGCCCTCCTGCACTGCTCCCAAGCTCTGGAAGCACTGGACTCGCCTTACCTGGAAGACCCCCTGAGCGTCGGCCGAGACAGCAGCGTGGAGTGGCGTCTTTCCCATGTGGTCTTGGATGTTGGCATCGGCACTGGCTTCCAGCAGTCTCTTGGCTGCGTCTGAGCGTGAGTAGCGGGCGGCCAGGTGGAGGGCTGTCTCCCCAGTGCGATCTGTTTGGTTGTGCAAGCTGGCCCCCTGGTAGATGAAGTCTGAAATCACGGCTGGGGCGTCCTCCTCCTCTTCACTGTTGCCCATCTCCAGCCCACCTCCGCTGCAGGAGGCGATCATCAGTGGTGTGAATCCATCTGCCAAGGCACAAGTGGAGGGAAATCTGTCAGAAGCGCAATGACAGTGCCTGGATGCACTCCCATGATATCAAAGTACCAGGGCCTGAACTAAGCCTGAAGATTGGTGATTGGGATCTAGGAACATGTGTCTTGTTTCTGAACCAGACCAAAGAGGGCCCATTCAGTCCAGCATCCTGTCCTTACAATGACGAACCACATGCCTCTTCTGGGAAACCTGAAAGCAGAACGTGAACCACAAGAGCAACTCTCTCCTCCTGCCATTTCCAGCTACTGATATTTGGAATCATTATTGCTTCCAACCATGGAAACAAGAGTATAGCTATCATAGCTAGTAGCTGTCAATGGAGAAAGAGAAGGCTATCAAATTTGTCTGATCCTCTTTTAAAGAGCTGAGCTACTCCAAAGTCCTGTTCCCCTCCCAAAATCCCACCTGGCCTGTTTGCTGTTCGGTTCTTCCCCTGGGCCAGCTCTAATGCCCTCCCTCCTGGCATTGTCCTCCTTTCCCCTGATAAAATCACAGAAAGGGAGGAAGAGAGAGGCTTTGACACCCACACACCCTCCTTACCTGGTCCTCGCACATTGACATCCATACAGTCAGCATCAATTTCCCCTTGGGGTGGGGTGGGTGCCATGGAGGAGATGCGCAGGTCGGCTGCATCCAGGTGCTGCTGTGTCCACTGCCTGTGGTCAGCCTGGTCATTCATGTCCGGCAACATGGCCTGTTCTTCCACCTGGGAAGAGAGGCGATTGAGGTTTTAAAGGATCCTTTCAGACATAAAACTCTACTCTTTCTCGCACATTGTGCTGCTGAGTTGAAAACAAGAGTTATCCCCTCTGCCCCCAACTTCAACAAATATAAAATGAACCCTGCCACTACACGATATGGAAAGCTAAATTCTATTATCAGAATGAGAGTTGTTTAATTTTGCATAAGCGGGTTTTCCAGTATTTCCTGAAACTGGAGAGGCAAAGGGGGAGAAGGCAAGGAAGGAAGGAGCAATGTGCTGATCTTCTGCTGAGGACAAGAAACTTGCTTTTTAAAGACAAGACCAAAGATAGGGGCCTCTTAGTGAAATCAGGCAGGGAGATCTACAGATGCCCATAGGGGCCTTGGCTGTTGTGGGATAGCAAGGTAAGCCTGGGGGGGGGACCTGGGGGGTGGCAAAAAGTTCCATTGGGCCAGGGATGAGGGAAGGACTCGCAGTGCATACCAAATGCATCCAAACAGGATGGAAGAGACCTATGAATTAGTGAGTGCCTTTAAGGCTGAAACGGCATGGAAACAGCAGCTTGCTGGCTTACCCTGAACTTCTTGGTGTCTAGTGTCTCCTCGTCACCCCACTCATTCTGGTTGTCGTCCATCAGGGTCCCATTGGAAGCATTTTTCAAGGGTCTTCATGGAGAAAAAATAGGAAATTAGATCCACCTCTAGAAAAAACAAACTCTGCATTTTTTCCCCAAGGGCTAAATGGAGTAATTAAGGATGGTGATGATTTAAAAAGTTTCCCCTGCCATACTTAGACTTGTCCAAGCTGTGCCACACCCTAGGTGACATTTCAGACATCATTTATCAGAGCTGGGCACTGTACATGGGAACTTGCTTAGAAGCGGGAAAAGAAGTGAAATTAAGGACCAAGCCTCTCCAAAGTCCTTCCACCAGCCTCAGTGTGCTATTTCTGCCTTGTGTGGATGATGCACCAACCTGCTTTTTATATATGCCGTAAAACCTTGGTGCTACACTTGGAGAAAGCAGACAAAAGCAGATGGGCAGGTTGTGCCCAAACCCAAAAGGATCCTTCTTTCCTCCAAGCCAAAGGAGGACTACAGTAATGGATCTAAGTTAGCCATGCTCATCAATTTCAGTGGGTCTACTCTGTGAAGGGCTAAACCCCTTGCTCCAAACTGCCCGGCCTTCTGGCTTCCACCACCCTTCCCTGGACACTCCACGTGTTCATTTCAATGGCCTGGAAAAACTGACACTTAAATTGCGCTCAGAATATCCCTCCCAAAAACATTTTGACACCAGATTTCCCTTCCTCTCCAGCTTGTCATCCAGAGAGCTGTGGCACAGTAAAAATTAAAACCAACTTTTTTTAAATGTGCAGAGTGAAAAGCTAACATCAAGCCTTTGGCAAAACTTTGTGCCCTCTGGATTTTTGCATTACAACTCCCATCAGACCATGGTGGCTAGGACTGATGGGGGTTGTAGTCCAAAACATCTGGAGGGCACCAGGTTGGTGAATAAAAAGAACTATGGTCCCCAACAACAGCAGCAACCCAGGAAGGAGGCGGGAAAGGGCCTTTCCCTCCCTCCCCACCCAACCAAATGGCAACGAAGGAGACCCGGGAAGAGGTGAAGAGGGGGATTACTCACTTCAGCCCCACAGAATCCTCCCCCAGGGGCTCTCTGCGCTTCTTCTTGCTGGACTCGGTCACTTTGAAGCCCTCGGGGAACCAGAGCTGCCCATGTTCCCTCCGCCGCTTGCGCGATGCCAGAACCCCGAAACCAATGAAGAGGAGGAGGAAGACACCAGGCACCACCATGTACATAGGGTACCACTGGGTGCTCTTTTCGGGGTCAGTACTTTCACCTAGGAGAGAATGAGAGGCAGAGTGTGACGAGAGGACCTCGAGTTAAGATGCATCTCTGAATGGAGGCAGAAGGCAAAATGCAGTGAAATTAAGTTAATAAGCTGCCGGCCCGGCTGTGTCTTGATTCTTCCGCCTACAACCGAACCCCCACCCCTCCCCACTCACTGCCCCCAAACTCCTCCAAAGCCCCCTGGAAACAGAAGGTCATTTTTCTACGCTGTTCATCAGAATTGCAAACTGTTTCTGTATCTGCAGCGCTGGAGGGGGAGAGGGTCCCCCCCCCTTCCTCCTTTCACGGATAAAGGATTAAGCAAACTTCAAATCATTGCATTCACATTGAGCTGTTAAGTCAAAAGGATTGAAGGGGGATTTGGAAGATGCAAACTTCAACACTCTGCGTGTCACTGATCGATTACAAGGTTTGGGTTGTGGGGTTAACTTTGCGCTCTCTCTCTCTCTCTCTCTCCCCGCCCCCCCCAACTCCTTCATCCTCCCCCAGTAGTAATGATTTTGGAATCAGCTATGGATGAGAGAGGGGCGGAACCATCAAGACAGAACTTCGAAGAAGAACTAAAAAAGAGTTAAAGAGATTCCACTTCCTTATTAAAGAGGAATCAAGTTCTTTTTACGATATTGTTTAAGACAAACATCATATACTGTAACTCTTTTGAATTTATTCCATAAAAATTATATACCATTTGATTGTTGAGGGGGAAAACACCCAACCCCCCAAAACAACGAAATTACCAGCAAAAAAACCCCACCATTTAAATCATTCCAAAAATAACTGAAACCAGCAATAGGCTAAAAAGCATATTCTTTTTGGCTCCCACTTAAAATATGTTTGTTGAGGAAAGTCCATCCAGACATATTGAATGATGACAAGTGTTTTAATCTGGTTTTTAGCCTACTGTTGATTTTAATAGTTTTTATATGCCTTTAAATATGTGCTTTAAACTGTCATTTATCTGTATTTCTTAGTCCTTTAATGTTGTCAGGCTTTTATCTTTTTGGAAAATGCTTAGAGCAATGGCTCCAAAATTCTCCCCACCCCCAAAAACAGACCACCTGAAAATTGCTGAGGGTCTCAGTGGACCACTGAATTATTTCTCAGCTTGCTGTAGAAACGGAAATGCAGCATGCTAGATGCTGTGTGGTTTTTAGCTGCATTCTTAAATTCCTGCCTGCCAGGCAGAAGGCCTTCTTGGTGGTGGCACCCACCCTGTGGAACGCCCTCCCGTCAGCTGTTAAAGAGATGAGCAATTATATAATTTAGGAAACATCTGAAGGCAGTTCTGCATATAGAAGTTTTTTAAGGTGTAATGTTTTACTATGTTTTTATATAAGCTGGAAGCCACCCAAAGTGGCAGGGGCAACCCAGTCAGATGGGTGAGGTACAAATAATGTATTATTATTATTTTACTGCCTCATGGGATTCTAATTGCAATGCAATAAAATACAACAGAATAAATAAAAGGAAGTGATAAAAACACTCCCTTGGCTCTGCTGTGACAGACCAGCCCCATCAGGCCCCTCCTGCCCCTGGATTGTGCAAGCTCGTTGTAAGAGGACCAACTGTTTAGAAACTGTTGCCTGTGTTTTGGTTTTCCTCTTCCCTCCTTGTGCCTTTTCCTTTGTGTATCATGCCTTTTTAAATTTTTATTTTAAGCCTGTAGGTAGGGACTGCCTTGTTTTGACTGTATGAAAGCTGCTCTGGGAGCCTTTTTGACTGAAGAGCCTGGTACAAATGCTTCAAATAAATAAATAAATGAACAAGAAAGACACAATTAAAAACATTTAATGCAAAGAGTGTGCCATCTCCCATCTCCAACCTCAGATCCACAGGCATGCATGGGTGGATTGAAGCTCATCCGTGGACCACACCCTGGGCAGCCCCGGCTCAAAGCTTTCATTGCAATCAAGTGGTATGTAGCTTTTGTTAAAAGAAAGTGAAAAACTGCTAGGGGCAAAAGCTGACTGGGGCAGAGGCGGCCCAGCTTCCCGGGATATGCCAGCAGGGCTGCTAACGCATCAGCAGGTGTTTCCTGCACATGTGGCAGACTTACTCTTAACAGCTTCGATTTTGTATGGGAAGTCCAGGCTGCCCCGCGAGGCCAAAGCACCAAGGAAGGCCGCCACATCTGTGGTACTTTGGAAGCACTGAGAGGAGGACTGGACACACTGGCGATTGTCAATCTCCAGGTGAACGATTGATCTGCAGGTATTGGAAAAGAAAGTGGGAGTAAGAAGCAATAATCTTGGATGGACAGGTTCCTAGGTTCCCATAAAATTCAGTCCCTTTTTTCAGAATGATGAGGACCAGAATCTTTGTTTTTAGAGGAAGAGCCATGGCTCAGCTACAGAGCACCTGCTTTGTATGCAGAAGGCCCCAATGGCAAGTTGGGCCAGGAGAGACTCCATGCCAGAAATTCTGGAGTCACTGCCAGTCAGTGCAGACAACAACCTCCTCCTCCCTGCTCCCAGAGAGCCCCAGCCGAGCCACTCACCCGCAGATGTCCACATGGTCCATCTCCCTCCTGCGTCTGTCAACGATGGTCTCATACAGCCTAGATCTTATCTTGAAGACAGCATCACTCACATCTGGCCAGCTCGCCAACGACCGCTTGATGTGGTGCTTTTTGAGCTCCTCTGGCTTGCCATAGTAGGGGAATATCATGTACTCGCCCTGCTCATCCTTCTTGAAGACCACATTGGTGTGAAGAATGCGGCTGAGCTCCCGCAGGAAGTTCAAGGAGTTGTTCTTTAAGTTCTCTGGGGAGGTCAGCACCACCACCACCAAAGTGCCGTCCGCCAGCTTCTCGGGAACGTTGTTGGCACAGTCGAGACCGTCCCACTCACACTCTGCGTTGTTGCAGCCCTGGTCGCAGTGTCCATCAGAGAAGTGGTCCTTGCAGTACTGGTCGTACAGAGGGCTGTGCAGGCAATGGGGAGAGGAGGAGAAGGAGTTGAAAACAAAACTGCCCGGTATCTATAATGCCATTATACAAGTCTATGGTGTGGCCACATTTGGGATACTGTGCACAATTCTGGTTGCTTCAGCCCCATAGTCACTCAGAGCAGGGCCTTTAGTGTGGCTGCCCATCCTTTGGAGCAGCATCCCTGATGAGATACGATAAGCTCCACAATCTGTGCTTTTTGGAAACAGTTGAAGGGCCATTTTGTCCCCAAAAGGCTTTCTCAGCTGGATAAATGAGTATTTGACATGAGTGCCCACTGGTTTGGGTTTCACTTGTGTTTTTACATATATTTGTTGTCTTTGGAACTGTTTAAATTATATGTAAATTGCCCTGAGATGATGGTTTAGAAGGTGAATAGTAGCTCAAAAATAAAAATGAGAAGAAGAGGAGGAAGAAGGAGAAGGAGGGGTAGAAGAAATAAGAAACAACCTTTTGCTTCTGGGCCCTCCCTGCTCTTTCCACATACTCTCATCATAAAAAAGCAAGCAGGCACATCCTTTAGCCCCAGAAGTAAATTGTTACTGTTATTATTACTACTACTACAATTTTATTATCTGCCCTTCCACCTAAAGTCCCAGGGTGGGGACTTACAACAATTAAAACATAACTTTGATATCAAAGTGCATCGTGACCCAATGTTAAAAACAGTTTAAACTCCACTCACTTGCACTGCCCCTCCATCTTCTGGCAGTCGAAACCGTCGTACAGGCAGCCGGTGTTGTTGCACTGGGTGTCACAGCGCCCGTTGTTGAAGTAGTCCCAGCACTGGAGGGACTGGGAGCAGTTCTTCCAGGGGTCGTTGAAATTCAGGGAGCAGTCGCCGCCGTCCCAGCCGCAAGCGTGGTTGTTGCACTGGGCGTCACAGATCTTGTTGCCGGCGTGACTGGCACACACAGGGATCTCGCACTTCTCCTCCAAGGGAGGTGGAGTGATGTTCTGGCCAAGACCACCTGTGAAGTCGTAGTCCAAGATGTGGCAGTTCAGACCGTTGAACCGGGCTGGGCAGTTGCAGCGGTAGTGGGGTGGCTCCTTGGCAGGCTGGCAGGTGCCCCCGTTGTAGCAGGGGCTGGAGTGGCAGGGGCTGCCAGAGGAGAACTGGCAGGCAGCTCCGCTAAAGCCCAGTGGGCAGAGGCACCTGGAGCTCTTCTGGGTGGAGATGCAGGTGCCGCCGTTCAGGCACCGCAACGGTCCGCAGCCGCGGGCGTCGTTCTCACACGTGGCACCGTCCCAGTCCTGCAGAGGGCAAAGAGTGGAACGACTGAGACTACTCCAAAGGCAGTCATCAAATCACAGAAGAGTAAAGTGGGAAGGCCTCCAAGGGGTCATTATTATTATTATTATTATTACTATTATTATTATTATTATCTGTTAAACTTATTTGTTGCTTGTTACTTGAAGGTCTCCAATTGACTTACAGTAATACATGCACACACGCAAATATTCTCCTCCCAAAAGGGAGGAGAAAAGGGGGGGAAATCAATATATTGTCTAACACAGAGCTCTCCCAACTTTTCATGTTGGTGATACATTTTTTAGGCATGCATAACTTTGCAACACCATAATTCAGTTTTCCTAGCAAACCAGAGGTTAAACTAATCCCTTTTCAGCCCCAGGAGGAGCACGGGGAATATTCACGTGAGACTCCTACACACTGCAGCCAACACACTAATGTGTCACGATACAGTTTGGAAAGCTCTGGTCTAACACAATACTTATGAAAAGAAAAAAGAAAAAACACACTCTCTATATAAATAACAAACAACATTAACTATTATCGTCAAATAATAAACCAAGAATACACTCACCCACTAATGAGCAGATTTCCTACCCACTAATGAGCAGATTTCACCAACTATTTCTCCAACTTTTAACCTCACCAACGTGCCCCAAACTCTGTTCTCAGGCCAACTGTTTTATATCAGCAGTGGGTTGGTCAGTGTCCTCCTCCAGGAACTATCCATTATCTCCCTTCAGAGGGGAGCAGCTGCATGGCAAAGCAGGAACGTGGTGGCAAAAGTTTTACCTGCTTTGCCGTTGGTCTGGCTACTGCTTTTGTCCAGCTGCTGGTGGGGGTGGGGGTGCATCTAGCTCAACCCCCTGAATGCTAGAATCCCAGCTAAAGAATGGGCATTACTAACTTAAGTCTGCACATTTTGGTGGGTCCACTCTGAGCAGGACTAGCATTGGTTGCAACCCTAAATTTGCAGTTTATGCTGAAGTCAGTAGAGGTCAGCATACTCTTTACTGATAGCTGCTACAGTCTCCTAGTGTTCAGATGAGCAGAATCAGTCCTTTTTTTTTCAGAGATCATGTGCTCCCCTGTCCACACTTGCCTGGCAGGGTTGCATATATATACATGGGAACTTCTGCGTGTGGAGCAGATGCACTACCTGCTGAACTATGGCCCTTCTCCTAAGAATAAAGCAAGGTTCTAGTCCTCAAAGTTATGAATAAGGGGATGAAATAAACAGAAACATTGGAAGCTGTGTTCTTCCAAGTCAGTGCAATTGATCCATCTAGCTCAGTATTGTCTACACTAACTTGCAGGGGCTCTCTAAAGTTTTAGACTCACTGGATGTGCCCAGCTCTTCCTGGGATTGAACCTGGGGATTGAACCTAGGATTTTCTGCATGCAACACAGCTGATTTGCCACCGAACCACGGCCTTTCCTCATCCAGCAACTCCTAAGCATCCAAAACAGATGCTGGCTAGGAAGGGGCGTAAATAATCCCACCCAGCCCTAGAGGCTGCTTCCGTCTCTGAACCCCACAGCTTGTCCTTTAAAACCAAAAGCTGACTACACACCGGAGGGCACCTGCAGATGTAGCCGTGCTGTGTGTTGCTGGCCACTGCACAGGTCCCACCGTTCTTGCAGGGCTGGTTCCGGCAGCCGTCTACCACCGTCTCACAGTGGCGCCCTGGAAAGGGGATGGAGAAAGCCTCGTCAGGTTGCCCCGCCATCACCTCCAACATTTCCCCTGGACCTCAGCAGTAAAACAGCTGCATCTCTCCACCTCCGAAATCCCATGTGCACACTCTTTTACTAGTTAAGGGGGGGGGCTGATGGATACCTATTGGCTGAAAAGAAGAGGTCTGTGCCATCAGGGCAGCCCACTCCACCCCATGTATCTTCTCTAGAAAGGGAAAAGTTGAAGATATTAAGAAGCTAAGAAGAGCCTGCTGGTTCTGGCCAAAGGCACCCCATCTCATCCAGCATTCTGTTCTCACAGTGGCCAACCAGATACCTTTGGGGGACCTGGGCACAAGGGAACTCTTTCCTCCTTGTGATTTCAAGCAACTGGTATTCAAAAGCATTGCTGTGGAAGCAAGAGCATTGCCATCTTGATTAGCAGCAATCTCTAGCTCTCTGTCTAATCTTCTTTTAAAGCAGGCTAGGTTTGTGGCCATCACTGCCTCCTGTGGGGGGGAGTTTAACTATCATCATCATTATATTTGTATACTGCCTTTGCACAGTTAAAACTATGTAATTACACAATTACAAAAATGGCCCCGAACAATAAACAAAACACCGGGGGGGGGGGGAGCACACAGCAAACCCGAAAAATTTCCACTTAAATGAAAAGAAGATCTAAAAACAAGCCTGCAAAAAATTAATACCAGGAACAGCAACAACCTCCACTAAGCAATACCCCAGCACAAGAGTCTGTTCAGCAGCCTCATCTTTTGTAGCTGGGAGTCGTCAGGCAGGGCCCTGGCCCTCCCCCACAGGCCAGGTGGGAAAAGGCAGGGAGTAGGACAGTAGGACTCCCAGCTAAGATAGTCTATGCACTTGGAAGAATTCAGGGCAAACAAAAACAAAGTACTTTTTTACACAGTGCATAGATAAACTCTAAAGGGGGGGGGGGGGCAAAGACATGGAGCAGGATACGGCCTATGTTCTTCCTCCACTGTCAGAGTAGAATGCCCCTGAATACAAGCTGCTGGAAACCACAGAAGGAGAAAGTGCTGTTGCATTTGGGTACTGATTGTGGACTTCCCACTGTAGCACCAGGTTTGGTTAATGTGGGAAAAGGATGCTGAGTTGCCCTGATCCAGCTGAAGATCTCTTCTTATATTCTTACTAGATACAGTCCATGGCTTATAATCTTTGGGTATATGAACCACCTATATTAAACTGAATGTTTGCATTAGGACTGGAGAATACCTTTACTGTCAACATCAGCCCGTAATCCTTGGAGAAAAAGCAAGAGGGAGGAAAACACCAAAGACCATGTGTGTGTTTTTTTGGAAGCCTTGTGGTGCTCACCAGAATACCCCAGACGACACTCGCACACGTAGTCGTTGATGCGCTGCACACAGTTCTGGGTTCCTAGCGGGTCACAAGGGTTGGACAGACACTCGTTGACGTCACCCTCACAGCGCTCCCCAACGAAGCCCAGCAGGCAGATGCAGCTGTAGCCCCCTACGCGGTCCACGCACCGCCCGTTGTTGAAGCACTTGGGGGCGAAGGTGTTGGGGTCAAAGGGTGGGCTGCAGTCGTCTATGTTGATCTCACAGTGCACTCCTGTGGTGGGGAGAGCGATGGGGAGCAGAAGAAGGTGAGAGCTGGATCCCAAGAGGCCTGCTTACAACTTGGCCTAGCATTGATCCATTTTCTTTACATTTCCTGGAGGCACCCCCCAAAACAAATAAATTGAAAACCTGTATTCCTGTACATACACCAAAACTTTTAACAGTATGCATCTGTAAAACACATTTTAATTAAGTGATTCACAAGTACTGTGTCCAGTTCTGGGCACCACAGTTTAAGAAGTTTATCGATAAGCTGGAATGTGTGCAGAGAAGGGAGACCAGGATGATGAAGGGTTTGGAAAAGCCTTGAGGGAGTTGGGTATGTTTAGCCTGGAGAAGAGACAATTGAGAGGAGATACAATAGCCATCCTCAAATATGGAAGATGGAGCAAGCTTGTTTTCTCCTGCTCTGGAGGGTAGGAAGCGAACCAAGGGCTTCAAGTTACAAGAAAGGAGATTCCAACTAAACATCAGGAAGAACTTCCTGATGGTAGAATTGGAGAGCTGAAAGGGATCCCAAGAGCCATATACTCTGCAATGCAGGAATATCAAATAAAGCATCCATGATAGATGGCCACTCAACCTCTGCTTAAAACTTCCAATGACAGAGAGTCCCCCACCTTCCAAGGGAGTCCATTTCACTGTCAATCAGCTCTTAACATCAGAAAACAAGAGCTGTTTCAACTAAAGACAACCAACCAAACCCAGCCCCACCAACTTCTCTCACTACCAAGGAAATACAGAAAGTGAATACCATGGTACCTCTGGATACGAACAGGATATGTTCCGGATACCTGTTTGCAACCTGAAGCGAATGCAACCCGCGTCTGTGCATGCGGCGAAACCCGGAAGTAACGTGTTCCGTTACTTCCAGGTCACAGCGGAGCGCAACCCAAAAGCGCTCAACCTGAAGCATATTTAACCCAAGGTATGACTGTAGAAAGAGAACCTACTCAGGTGGCACTGCCACAAAAAGCAAATACACTAAGCACCCACTAAGCAAAAGAAAGAAAGTTTTACCACCCCATCCCCCTCTCTCCCCCATCCTTATACTGTATACAACAGTCTAATGCAGTGGTTCTCAAGCTGTGGGTCCCCAGATGTTGGACTACAAGTCCCATCATCCCTGAGCTCTGGCCTTGCTAGCTAGGAATGATGGGAGTTGTAGTTCAACAACATCAGGGACCCAAAGGTTGAGAAACGCGGCGAAACCCAGAAGTAACACGTTCCGTTACTTCCGGGTCACCACGGAGCGCAACCCAAAAGCGCTCAGCCTGAAGCATATTTAACCTGAGGTGTGACTGTAGAAAGAGAACGTACTTGGGTGGCACTGCCACAAAAAGCAAATACACTAAGCATACACTAAGCAAAAGAAAGTAAGTTTTACCACCCCACCCCCCTCTCCCCCTTCTCTTCCCCATCCTTATACTGTATACAACACACTAATGCAGCAGTTCTCAACCTGTAGGTCGCCAGATGTTGTTGGACTACAACTCCCATCATCCCTGAGCTCTGGCCTTGCTAGCTAGGAATGATGAGAGTTGTAGTTCAACAACCTTAGGGACCCGGAGGTTGAGAAATGCGGCGAAACCTGGTAGTAACGCGTTCTGTTACTTCCCAGTCACTGTGGAGCGCAACCGGAAAGCACTCAACCTGAAGCATATTTAACCCGAGGTGTGACTGTAGAAAGAGAACGTACTTGGGTGGCACTGCCACAAAAAGCAAATACACTAAGCACCCACTAAGCAAAAGAAAGTAAGTTTTACCACCCCACCCCCCTCTCTTCCCCATCCTTATACTGTATACAACACACTAATGCAGCGGTTCTCAAGCTGTGGGTCCCCAGATGTTGTTGGACTACAACTCCCATCATCCCAAAGCTCTGGCCCTGCTAGCTAGGAATGATGGGAGTTGTAGTTCAACAACATCTGGGACCCACAGGTTGAGAAATGCGGCGAAACCTAGAAGTAACGAGTTCCTTTACTTCCGGGTCACCGCGGAGCGCAACCCAAAAGCACTCAACTTGAAGCATATTTAATCCGAGGTATGACTGTAGAAAGAGAACTACTCAGGTGGCACTGCCACAAAATGCAAATATACTAAGCATACACTAAGCAAAAGAAAGTAAGTTTTACCACCAATCCCCCTCTCCCCCCCCTTTTCTTCCCCATCCTTATACAGTGGTACCTCGGGTTACATACGCTTCAGGTTACAGACTCCGCTAACCCAGAAATATTACCTCGGGTTAAGAACTTTGCTTCAGGATGAGAACAAAAATCGTGCTCCTGCGGAGCGGCGGCAGCAGGAGGCCCCGTTAGCTAAAGTGGTGCTTCAGGTTAAGAACAGTTTCAGGTTAAGAACAAACCTTCAGAACGAATTAAGTACTTAACCCGAGGTACCACTGTACTGTATACAACACACTAATGCAGTGGTTCTCAACCTGTGGGTCCCCAGATGTTATTGAACTGCAACTCGCATCATCCCTGAGCTCTGGCCTTGCTAGCTAAGGGTGATGGGAGTTGTAGTTCAACAACATCTGGGACCCACAGGTTGAGAAATGCGGCGAAACCCGGAAGTAACGCGTTCCGTTAATTCCGGGTCGCCGCGGAGCGCAACCCAAAAGCGCTCAACCTGAAGCATATTTTACCCGAGGTATGACTGTAGAAAGAACCTACTCAGGTGGCACTGCCACAAAAAGCAAATACACTAAGCATACACTAAGCAAAAGAAAGTAAGTTTTACCACCCCATCCCCCTCTCCCCCCTTCTCCTTCCCATCCTTATACTGTATACAACACACTAATGCAGCGGTTCTCAACCTGTGGGTCCCCAGATGTTGGACTACAAGTCCCATCATCCCTGAGCTCTGGCCTTGCTAGCTAGGGGTGATGGGAGTTGTAGTTCAACATCAGGGACCCACAGGTTGTCTCATAACAAATGTGATTGATCAGTAGAAAGCACAACCTGGAAAAAGAGACAATGCATGTACTTTTGTAAACCAAGAGAATCTTTCAGAAAAATTATTTTTTAAAAAGGAAGAAAGTAAAAGCTGGAAAAATGAAAAAATAGTGTGTAGGTTTATCACCCACCCTCTCCCCTCCCTTCTCCCCCCCTCCCTCTGGATATTGTTTTACACTGAACATAAACCAAAAGACTTTATAATCTGAACAACAAAAAAGAGACATTGCATGGTTTTTTGTAGTCAATGAAAAACTTTAGTAAAAATTATTTTAAAAAGAAAGGAAGTAAGAGCTTTTCAACAGTGGAACTGACTCCAAAGGGTGGTAGATTCTCCTTCCTTGGGAAATTTTCAAGCAAAGTTTGGATGCTTTAGTTGACATTCCTGCATTGCAGGGGGTTGGACTAGATGCCCCTCAGGGTCCCTTCTAACTCTTCTATAATTCTAATTCTTTGGGACTAATCATTAGTTTTCTGTGGAATTAGTGAATGAAATGAAGCTCCACCGTTCTCCTGCAGAGGCATATCTATGCTTTGTTCCTCTTGCCAGCCTTAATTTGTGAACCAATTTTTCTTTAAGGGCAATACACTCTTTCAGGTTTGCACATTTTAAGTCCTTCCAGACTGCAGCTATCACCCTGTGTGCAGCTACTAAGAGAAATCCAATTAGTGGTTTATTCATCAAGTCCTGATATCCACTTAAACCCATACTCAGTAACGCTGACAACACACCTGAGGGCACCTGCAGATGTAGCCGTGCCATGCCGATGAGTCATTTTACTTATCTCTAATTAAACACTTGTTCTCTAAAAATTTCCACCAGGTACATCCACCAAAAATGCCAACCAATACCCCTGCCTCCACACTCTTGGCAGCACATATGTGAAGCAGCTTTATAAAAACAATTTGTTCCTGCTTTCTCTCAAGACCCTCCCAAATTCATAGCAATGGGCACCATCTTGGGTGGATTCAAAGGCATGGAAGTATTTGTCCAAATGTGCATCACGGGGTTGTTTCGTGAACTGAGGGGAGAGAACTACAAAGGTGGCACTGAGAGTCTTGGAGGAAAGGTGGAATGTTCAACATAGTCATAAATACACAAATAAGACAAACCAGCTGCCAACCCAATGGCATTCCAGTCAGCTTCCTCGAAATAAGTCCCATGAAAACAGCAAAGGAGAACGCGAGTGGGGAGAAGCAATGTATTTCACTTTCAATCAAGGCAAGACCCTTCCCCTGCAAAAGTCTTGATAGAACACTGTGCCCCTTCTCCCGGCAAGTTGCTGAATACCCCTCCCACACCTTCTGAGACGGACACACACACTTACACATACAACACCCCTTTGCAAAAGTGTGTGTAGGGGGAAGCTATTCAGTCAGCTCTATATGCAAAGTCTCCCAACCGGCATTCAACCTGCACTTCATGCTCTCCAACTTAACCAAAATCTCAATCCTCAGGGTTTTCAATAAATTTGGGGTTTAAATAGGAACATTAGCAAGCTGCCTTGTACTGAATCAGACCATTGGATCCATCTAGCTCAGTACTGTCAACACTGATCAGGAGTAACAATCCAGGATTTCTACCAGGGAAGGATGGGTCTTTCTCCAGCCCTACCTGGAGATTCTGCTGAGCACTGAACCTGGGACCTTCTGCATTCAAAAGCAGACACCCACTGAACTGATGACTTTTAAGCCAATACAGAACAGACTGATAGAAATACTCCACCACCACCCCCCTTAATCAAGTGGGACACCCCTAAAGACTGGGTCTTTCCCTACCTGCCCATGCCCCTGCTTCCACCCAAACCCACATTTACCTTGAGTCCCTCGGGGACAAGAGCACTTGTAGGTGTTGATGAGGTCAATGCAGGTCCCTCCGTTCTGGCAGGGGTGGGAAAGGCACTCGTTGATCTCCTCTGAGCAGTTGATCCCGTGGTAGCCAGCAACACACTACAAGGAAAGGTAGTCCAATATTCCCGAGTTGAAATGAGTTCTAGAGGGGTAGGAGATTTCCTCCTTCCCACCTTGGAAGGCAGCCCCTCAAAAGGGAGCCCACAATGGAAAATGCCAAAACCAACTTGTAGTATATTTTTTAAAATGCAACCAGATGAAAAATAGACAAACTGTACCGTCCTCAAATCACCCACCCCACCAAAAATGGCTAGTGCCTGAGCTGCTGTAATGTCACAGGAGCTGCAAGCGTACGAGCCGCTGGAGGGTCAGGTTCGCAAGGACTGGCCAAGACTGAACTGTGCAATCTTGCCACGGGAAGTGGAGAAAAAAATTGGGGGCTGAGACTGGGGTGGGGACTTTGGGTGGGCATGGCATGGTGTGTTGTGAATATTTCTGAAGCTCATGGTCAAGCGATTATCAAGGCTGCTTAGACATAATAAAAAATACTTGCATTACTTGGCCTTTCATTATGAAAAGCCAAAAGATGTTTAGGTGAACTCCACTCTGAAGTAGCATTACGATTTCAGCTAGCTTTGAAGTCTGCAAGGGAAGCGCCCAAATGTTCCATCATGCAAGAGCTTATGAGGCTGCCTCTGTCCGCTGAAATGCATTACATTGACTTGGAAATGGAGGCTGGCACAAGCAGGGGCAAAGGTGCTGCCTTCTACCCAGCCAGACTGCCGAATCATAGGACTGTAGAGTTGGAAGGGACCCCAAGAATCATCTAGTCCAACCCCATGCAGTGCAGGAATCCCAGCTAAAACATCCCTGACAGGTGGCCCTCCAACCTCTGCTTCTAAGCCTCCAATGAAGGACAGCCCTCCATCTTTTAACTAGCTTTTGCCAGGCGTGCTGGCAGGGAGTGAACCTGGGATCTTTTGTTGGCATAGGAGATGCTCTGGAGACAGTGGCTTTTTTTCAGGGTGGCTGTAAACTACCCAGCAATCTGAAAATATCTATGATGGAGGCATGTCCTGTACTTCGTTCTGATGTTCCACCACATCTCAGGACATGTACCCAGCTCCGCTGGCAATGCACAAACCCAGGTAAAGGAGGGTTCACCCTGTGTCCACTGCCCCCCCCCACGCCACCTCCCTTCTGAGCACCAACCGTACCTCACACGAGTAGCCCCCTAGGTAGTCTGTGCAGGTGGCCCCGTTCTGGCACGGGTTGGGGGAGCACTCATCCACCTGCTCCTCGCAGTAGCTGCCTGTGTAGCCGGCCTGGCACTGGCAAGAGTGGGTGTTGCCCCTGTCCACACAGAGCCCAGAGTTCCTGCATAGGTGCACCACCTCGACGCCTGCAAAGGTATAGGAGGGAGGTCAGGTACAAGTAACAGGTGTGGGTGTGTGGGAGAACGCCTCCTCAGTGATGTTTACTCCCAGACCATGGAACACCCTCCCAAGAGAAGCCAGACTGGCTCCTTCCTTGTCACACTTCCACAGGTGAAGACTGTTTTTATTCCAGGAGGCTTTTAGGAAATAACTGTTTCTTTAAAGGAATGGGTGTTTCTATATGGTGTTCATCCTCATTATCATCATCATCATCTGTCATGTGCTTCTTATCCCCCCCCCCCCCGTTGGGAGTTTAATTTGCTTTTAAACAATTTTTTAAATATGTTTTTAGCTTTTTGTATTTTATCTGTGTTGTTTAAATTTGTGTAAGCTGGTCCCTAAGAGTCGGAAGAAATCTGTTTATGTATGCAACTACAGCAGCTCGGATTTTGTCTCTGTGTGTGTGTGTGACATAGCTGTAATATATAAAAAAAATATAAACCAATAAACACCTCACTGCAACAACTATCAAATACTGAACCACTTCAAAACGAAATGCCAAGCACCAATCTATGCATCTGGCTGGGGTCAGCCACCCCTCACCGGGTCCTGCCCTGGCCAGAGTCTGCTCCCAGGACAGACCAAAGAGGGAAGACAGAGGAAGGGGAACACAGCAAGCAGGATGGGGCCTTCTTACCTTGCTGCCGTGCAGCCACCTCACAGGAGACATTGGGGACATCGCAGTAGAGTCCAGTCCAGCCACTGGTGCACTCGCAGCGGTACAGGTTGTCTGTCTGCCAGCACTTTCCGCCGTTCTTGCAGGGTGAGGAGTCACACCAACGCACCAGGTTCTGGGGGTGAAGAATCAGAAGGTTTGTGGGTGCAACAGCACCAGGGCCAGGGTAGGGTGGTACGGAGAAGGGGCTTTGTGGGTTCAACCTTGCGCAGCTGGTTGAAGGACACGGCCCTGAAGATGCCAGGGTGGAGGGGAGTCAACAGCCCTTCCAAGTGCCATGTGATTCCAACTCCTGGCAGCCAGCATAGCCATGGATGTTGATGACAGGAGTTGTAGTGCAGCAACACGCTTTCCCATGGCTAAGCAATGTTTCGTTGTGTTAGCCATGGTTTGGCTCAGCAAACCACAAATCATCTCACAGACAAGCAAGGCCACAGTTTGTTTCACCATGCTTGGTTTCCCCAGCTGCTCTTGCAATGTGACTTTGGGGTTGTCAAAGAACCAGAGTTAAGCAAGGCTGATGGGGAATGCACAGAATGCTGAACTATCCTTAAGCCAGCAGTGTACCTTGGTTTCACATCATGGTTTGTTGCCAGGTGAAATGAACCACTGTTAAGTTTGCCAGGTGGGGTTCAGACAGTCAAACAAACCATTGGCAAGCTAAACAAACCATGAGTTTGTGCTGGGTGCAAACTAGGGCTGCTGCCTCTCTGCTCTGACCTCAACACTTCAGCCATTTGCTCCTCACTCTGTGAGCCCACCCACCCCAAGCCCCCAGTGAAACAACAGAAGCAAATGAACTGGGAAAGGCAAGTCCCACTCAAGGTCAGGCTCTGCAGGCAGAACTGGTTCGGCATCCAGTGGGGTCTTGGCCCCCTTACCTGACAACTGAGGCCAGTGTAGCCCTGAGGACAAGTGCACTTGTAGGTGCCGTAGCTATCCTGGCAGGTGCCGCCATTCAGGCAGGGTTTGGAGTCACACTCGTTGATGTCGTGCTCGCAGTAGATTCCCGTGAAGCCAGGTGGACAGACACAGGTGAAGGTGTTGATGCCGTCCACACATGTGCCCCCATTGAAGCAGGAGCTGAGGGGCAGAAGGAAACTGGCTGTGCCATCAAAGCTCTCCGTTGGAAGCTGCCTTATAGCAAAAGCCAGAATGCTGGGTCCGTCTAGTGCAGTACAGAGTACACTGACCGCCACCAGCAATGGCTCTCCAGGGTTTCAAACAGGGAGTTTACCCAGCCTGACAGAGTTGCCATTGGGGATTGAACCTAAGACTCTTTCCATGCAGAGTGCGTGCTCTACCACTGAGGCTTTCTGTGGCCTTTCCCCAAAATGTAAAATAGTATTCTAGATCTCATGATTTTAAATGAAGGGCTGAATTACACAGGAAGCTGCTTATACCTAGTCAGACCATTGGGTTCACTTGGCTCAATAGTGCCTACACTGACTAGCAGCAGCAGTAGCTGTCCAGGGTTTCAGACATATTGAGTTTTTAGGGGAGGAGTGAAAAATGGCATTTTGGGTGCTTCTACCCTTAGTCGAGATTCCTGTATTGCAGGGGGTTGGACCAGATGACCCTCAGGGTGCCTTCAACTCTAGTTTTATGATTCTACAGCTGCAAAGTTAGTCCACAGCCAATGTCTGCTGAAATCTCAGAAGCCAGAGAGGGCAACAAAGCAAGATCCAGTATGGTGTAGTGCTTAGAGTGTTGGACTCAGACCTGGGAGACCAGGGTTCAAATGCCCGCCCCACTTGGCCATGAAGCTCACTGGGTGATCTTTCTCTCAGCTCTAACCTATCTCACAAGGTTGTTGGGGAAGGTAAAATGGGCTGAAGGATTACCACGTACCCCAACTTTAGCTCCTTGGAGGAAAGGTGGGATATAAATGCAGTAAGATAAATGAAAGTAAATAATTAATGTTAAGGAAGACCTGTGCCATGTTTGTCTTCCTGCAGGAGAACTTGCAAAGCTACACTTGTAGCAAGTGCAAACTGGTTGGCTTGCTGGAAGAGAAGGTACAACAACCTGAGGTCCAAATAGTCAACACTTTGAGGTATAGGGCAAGATGCAGACTTTCGCGATAGAGCTGAGTGGACTGTGACAGAACAGCAACACAGGCGCCCCAAGGGAGGAGGAAGATTGCTCATGGCAAGAGACCAACCCCTGGAGGAACGTGACGCACACAAGTAGGACTGTCAGGAACCATGCTGTGTCATTAGAACTGCGAAATCGGTTCCATGCTCTCACCTAAGACACTGATTCTGGGGCAGAAGAGTTAGGACAGCAGTTACGGAACTTAGACTACACTAAGGTAGCTGTGAAAGGTACAGTGCACATAATGATTCCTGTCACCCCCAATAGGAGGAATAGACAGGAGGAGATGGACTTGGGAGGTTTTTTTTCCATTCTTGATCTAACACTTTCAGATCCCGAATGAGTATGCTGATAATCCACCTGCTACCTTCCAAGGAAATGATCTCGGGAGAAAGGGAATTGCAGTCTGGAGAAGGCAAGTTGAGATGAGGAGGAGGAGGAAGTACTAGAACCATAAGGTTTGGAATAGGCCTTTGTAACCTATTCCAGTAATATCCAGATCAGCTCGAAGAGACGAGAGGGGAAGACTCAAGAACAGCAGCTGCAGACCTTAGAACACTCCAAGGCGATTTTGGAAAGCACCGTGTACAGAACGATTCCTGCCACTCCCCAGAGGAGGAAGAGACTGTTGGTGGTAGTAAGTGGCAAGAGGCAATAGTTTTCGGAGGAAACAGGATGTCCCAAGAGGTGTCTTCCAGGTGCAAAGATTTGCAATGTGACAGAGAACTTGCCAAGTCTTATAAAGCCCGCTGACCACAACTTCAACATATAGCAAGGGACTATGAGACTGGGCAGGAAGCTGAAGAGCCTTGGGGCACAGGTTGTCTTTTCATCACTTCTTCCTGTTGAAGATCATGGCCCAGGAAAAGAGGAAAATACTGAAAGTAAACCACTGGTTGTACAGGTAGTGTCATCAGGAAGGGTTTGGCTTCTTGGATCACCATCTCTGCTTCTTTGAGGAAGGAATTCTGGGTCGTACCTCACAGCGGCTGGCAAAAATGTGTTTGGTAAGAGTCTAGCATACCTGATCAGGAGAGCTTTCAACTAGATTCTGAGCAGGAGGGCAGGCAGCATTACAGGTGGCAGAAGAACACCTGGTACTGGGGATAGTAGCTTCATTGGTGCACAAGAAACTGAGGTGGTGCTTGCCCTGCTAAAGGGCAAAGTACTAGAGGAAGGAAGCAACTGGAGGGAATGATTCATGGTTCCAGTTGTCTCTGCACAAATGCAAAGCATGAGAAACCAACAAGACGAATTGGAGCTTTTAATGCAGGATGGCAAATATGACCTGGGAAGCATTACTGAAACCTGGTGGGATGAGACTCATGACTGAAATGCAGGAATTGAGGGGCATAAACTGTTCAAAAGGAATAGACCAAACAGGAAGGGAGGAGGAGTAGCATTATATGTAAAGGAGGTCCAAACTTGTGAATAAATCAATGACCTGCAGCATGGAAAGCATATTGAGAGTATACGGGTAAAAACTGTAGGAGAGAGAAACAATACTGATCTTACTATGGGGGCTTTCTATAGACCACCAGGTCAGACTGAAGACTTGGATGGTGCTTTCCTAGAGCAGATTTCTAAACATTCAAAAAGGAGAAATAAAGTAGTAATGGGAGACTTCAAGTACCCCATATCTGTTGGAACTCAAACAATGCCAGGAATGTAAGGTCCAACAAATTCCTCCACTGCATCGCTGACAATTTCATTTCCAAGAAGGTGGCAGAAGTAACAAGTGCATCATCTATCTTGGACCTGGTCCTCACCAACAGAGAGGAACTGATCAAAGAATTGGAAGCATTTGGAAACTTGAGAGAAAGTTTCATGACACAGAGGCAAGGGAAAGCTGAGCATAGTGAGACATGCACTCTGGACTTTAAGAAGGCTGATTTCAAAAAGCTTAAGGAGATCCCATGGTCAGAAATACTCAAAAGAGAAGGGAGTCCAAGATGGGTGGGAGTTTATTAAATGAAATATTGAAGCTCCAAATGCAGAAAATTCAAACAAGAAAGAAAAGTTGGAAGTATCTAAAGAAACACTGGTGTGGCTGCATAAGGAGCTTACAGATAAGCTGAGATTTAAGAAGGGCATGTATAAGAAATGGAAGAAAGAGGAAATCACAAAGGAAGAATGTACACAAGTAGCCAACAGTTGCAGAATGAATGGCAGGTTCTGCACTTAGGCAGGAAGAACTAGCTGCACAAAGAGAAGATAGGGAACACCTGGCTTACTAGTAGTGCATGTGAAATGGGTCTATGGGTCTTGGTGGACCACAAGCTTCACTTGAGCCAACACTGTGATGCAGCAGCAAAAAAAGCTAATGCTATTCTAGGCTGCATCAACAGAAGTATAGTCTCGAGATCAAGGGAAGTAACAGCCCCGGAAGCCAACCAGGCAGTCACAGAAAAAGACATTGCCTTTTTTTATTCTGCCTTGATCAAACTACATCTGGAATATTGTGTCCAGTTTTGGGTGCCACAATTTAAGAAGAATGTTGACAAGCTGCAGCATGTGCAGAGGAGGGCAACCAAGATTATAAAGGTTCTGCAATCAAAGCCTTATGAGGATCAGTTGAAGTAGCTGGATATGTTTAGCCTGGGAAAGAGGAGATTGAGAGGGGATATGATAGCTCTCTTCCAATATATAAATGGCTGTCACATGGAAGATGCAGCAAGCTTGTTTACTCCTGCTCTGGAGGGCAAGACTCGAACCAATGGCTTCAAGCTACAAGAAAGGAGATTAAGGAAGAACTTACAGTAAGAGCTGTTTGACATTGGAACGGACTCCCTTGGGAGGTTGTGGACTGTCTTTCATTAGAGGTTTTTAAGCAGAGTGTGGATTGCCATCTGTCATGGATGCTTTAGTTGAGATTCCTGCAAAGCAGGGGGGTGGACTAGATGACCCATGGGGTCCCTTCCGACTTTATGATTCTAAGGCCATTTGATTAGGGTCCAGAGCCCTCTTGCCCATCACCAGAGTAGACTATGCAAAATAAAAATTTGCGAGTGATGGGTGTGATTTATACCAACACTGCGGTGTGCAGAATGTTGGTTCTCTTGGGATGAACCATCCCCACTCACACACAGGAGCATGACTATAGCCAAGCACATTGTTTTTTTAAAAAATGACGTTCCAACGTTATTTCTGGCTCCTGAATTACCTTTCTGTGCAGTCGGGGGTGTTATGCTCGCAGTGGATCCCGCTAAAGCCAGAAGGGCAAGTACAGGTGTAGCTGTTGACACAGTCCGTGCAGTTGGCGCCATTCTTGCAAGGGTTGCTGGCACACTCGTCAATGTCCTCCTCACACTTGGGGCCCCGGAAGCCAGCGAGGCAGTCACAGAAAAAGGCATTGATGCCATCGGAGCAGGACCCGCCGTTGTGGCAAGGATCTAGAGGTAGTGGGGAAAGGGGCAGCGATGGACTCTCATTCCATGGGGCTGATGGTTTTTTTAATTATTTTTTTTGAGGCTGCCTTGGCCTCTGCAAAACTTCCCACATTCTTTCCTAAACCTTCTGTGTGAACTGAACGCACAATTCGCCCCAGCCTTTGATAACTCAGTGCCCTGTTATTTGTTTATCTAGTTAATAATAAACAAAATAAATCAAAGATAAAGCTTACAGAAACACTGCTGCAGATGGCTGCAAACTGTACACAGCTGAACATTATCACTGAACAGTCTTCCAAAACATTACAGAAAATGCCCATTTTCCCATGAAACCTGTTTTCCTGGCTTAGATGTAGCCTTTTGTAGTAAGTTAGCATATCACAGTTACTGCGGAGCAAATGTTCTCATTTCTTTCAGACATAGCAGGAGATAGGCTTCTCCAACCCCCAACCCGAATTTTAAGCTTACAATCTTAGTTAAAAGTTAAAAGGTTAAACACTATTTCTTGATCATTTTCCAGAAGAACATCTTTTACATTAACCAAGCAGAAATATTTTATGTTCGAAGGGTATATGATATCCTCACATAGCAGAGATCTTATTAGCCTCAATGAGTTTCCAGAATATTTATATTTGAGAACAATTCCAATATGTCAATGAATTTTCACAAGACCTCATGTTAAGAACACCAGAAGAGCATGCAGGATCAGGCCAAATGGCCCATCAAGTCCAGCATCCTGTTCTTTTCTGTTCCAATCAACCCTTCTTCCCAGGGAGCTCTGGGAAATTGTAACTCTGGGAAGGAATAGAGGGGTCCTCTTAACAACTCTCAGCACTCCTTTATAAACTACAGCTCCCTGAATTCTTTGGGGGGAAATCTTGACTGTTTAAAGTGATGTGCAGCAGTGCTTTCAATATATGGTGCAGATGGGGTCCAGGTCTCCCAGGGCAACCCACTCCCCAGCCTCCTTGAGGCTCTTACTAGGCTGGCAGTCATCAACGTCCGTCTCGCAGGTGTTGCCTGTGAACCCAGGTTTGCAGACACACCAGTAGCTACCATTCGTATTCTGACATGCGGCACCATTCCGACAAGGGCTCTTCACGCACTCGTTGATGTCGATCTCACAGGTTTGCCCTGAGAAGGCAATTTGAATGGATATTTATTTTTTTACATATTTCATAAAATTTATAGTTTGATTGCTAAAAAAAATAATATCTCAAATGAGGCTTATGAAGATTAAACAATAAAATTGCCACTAAGAAAATTAGCGATATTTTACGACATACAAAAATTGAAAACAATAGATTAAGAACAGCTTAAAACTTGTACCGACTTCCTAAACATCTGGACAGGCTGGCCTATACAAAATGGTTTTGGCAGGTAGTAAAGGAAGGAAAGTGCCTGCCTGACATCAATAGGCAAGGAGTTCCAAAGTGTAGGTGCCGCCATACTGAAAGATGGGAGCTCTTACAAATTTGGAAAGGGTATTATGTGGCAACTGTAACAGTGCCAGTTGTATTCAAGTAAGTCCTCAGAGTAGTGCCAGGGTGTGGAGGACTCCCTGGTCCTGAATGGGGTAACAGTGCCCCTGAAGGACCAGGTGCACAGCCTGGGAGTCATTCTGGACTCACAGCTGTCCATGGAGGCGCAGGTCAATTCTGTGTCCAGGGCAGCTGTTTATAAGCTCCATCTGGTACGCAGGCTGAGACCCTACCTCCCTGCAGACTGTCTCGCCAGAGTGGTGAATGCTCTAGTTATCTCTCGCTTGGACTACTGCAATGTGCTCTATGTGGGGCAACCTTTGAAGGTGACCCGGAAACTACAACTAATCCAGAATGCGGTAGCTAGACTGGTGACTGGGAGTGGCCGCCGAGACCATATAACACCGGTCTTGAAAGACCTACACTGGCCCCCATTACATTTCTGAGCACAATTCAAAGTGTTGGTGCTGACCTTTAAAGCTCTAAATGGCCTTGGTCCAGTATACCTGAAGGAGGGTCTCCACCCCCATCGTTCTGCCCGGACACTGAGGTCCTGTGCCGAAGGCCTTCTGGCGGTTCCCTCACTGCGAGAAGCCAAGTTACAGGGAACCAGGCAGAGGGCCTTCTTGGTAGTGGCACCCGCCCTGTGGAATGCCCTCCCACCAGATGTCAAACCTAGCCAGATGGACGGGGTATAAATAATAAATTATTATTATTATTATTATTATTATTATTATTATTATTCCTGCTGTTGCACTCATGTCCTGCTTGTGGGCTTCCCATTGGACCACCAGGTTGGTCCCTGTGGCAACAGGAAGCTGGGCCAATGGCCCGACCAAACAGGCTCTTCTTATGTTTTTAATATCTGCCTGCTGCAGACATAGCACAGGCTCCCCAGTACTAACCATGGTTTGTGGTGTAATGGTAAACCACGGTTGAAAAAAATCATTAGAAGAAACAGGTGCTGGAAAGGGGAGAGAGGAAGTGTACCCTTTTAAGACAGACTTTCAGGCTGAGTTTCCTGCCTGTCCTGGGGCTGTCTAGGGATTCCACATGAATGCCTGTCATTTTGGGATCAGCTCACTGACAACATGCAAAACAATTGAGACTAGTGCCAAATACAATCATTGATGTCCTTGGAGAAGAGGAGAGGAGAGGAGAGGAGAGGAGAGGAGAGGAGAGGAGAGGAGAGGAGAGGCTCTTTGTAAATGAGCCCAGAAAGGCACCAGCAACAAGAAAGAAGGGATAGAGAGCAAAGGGAGAAGATTAACAGCGAACCACAGAGCAAGGGGCTGCAGGAAGGCAGGTGCATCCTAGGCAAACCAAGACCTATTTAGCGGTTGTCGCTTCAGGCAATAAATCAAGTAACCTGCCACTAGAGAGAGAGAGAAAGAGGGAGGGAGGTGGGGTTTTTTTGGGGGGGCTATCTGGGGCCTGTTCAGGGTATCTTTATTATTTAGAGCAGAGATGCAATACTCTCTTTTTCTCAGTCTCAGTGTTGAGGGAGTTGGGTGGGGGAGGAGAGGGAAATTAACAATATCTGAGACCTGGGAGACTCTCAAAAAGTTATTTTACCACCTGCACACAGCAGAACATAATCTGCATTGGTCCAAGTTTAAAAAATAAAATAAACAACAAAACCAACGATACATGGTTGCATCTAACAGTAGTCTTACTCAAGAGTATATCCCCTAAAGTTAATGAACACAGATGTTATTTTAATCTTATTTATTTATTACATATATATTCCACCTTTTCCTCCCAAGGAGCTCAAGGTGGTGTACATGGTTTTCCTCCTACCCCGTTTCATCCTCAGAACAGCCCTGTGAAGTAGGCTAGGCTAAAAGGCAGTGACAGGCCCCAGATAATGACTAACATAGGTCCACTGATTTCAGCACGTCTACTCTGAGGACTTACTTGGATACAACCAATAGTTTATAAGAAATAGAAGGCTCAGTCTATTAGGTCTGAATATTCTGGCTGCTGCATCCTGCCGAAGTCTAGCCTCCTGTTCTCACAGTGGCCAACCAGATGTCCATCATGAAAAACCCACCAGCAGGATTTGAGCACAACAGCAACTCTCACTACCTCTGGTTTCCAGCTTCTGGTGTCCAGAAGCTTTGCTGCCTCCAACCACTGAGGCAGAGCACAGCCATTGCGGCTAGCGGCCTTAGACAGTCTTTTCCTCCACTGATTTGTTTAATCCACATTTAAAGCCATTCATAAGAGATCTGCTGGATTGGGCCAAAAGGGGCCTGTCTAGCTCAGCATCCTGTCCTCACAGCTGCTAACCAAATGCCCCAATGAGAAGCCTACAAGCAGCGCCTGAGCGCCACAGCAGCAACTCTCCCCACTCATGATTCCCAGCAACTTCGGAGGCATTTACTTCCTCCAACAGTGGAGGCAATTACATAGCCATTGTGACTGGCAGTGATTGGCATCCTGCTCCTCCTCCATGAATTCACCGAACCCCTTTCTAAAGCTGTCCGAACTGGAGGTCATCCCTGTATTCTGTTGCAGTGAATGAAGCAGGCACTACCACCACCATCACCACCACATACGTGCATGCGGGCACCTCTGGAGACCATGGAATGGGAACCAATCCCTCACCTTGCCACCCTGGAGGGCAGGCACAAGAGAAGCTCTCAAAATCTTCAGATTCTCTGCACTTGCCACCGTTCTTGCAGGGACCGTCTGCACATGGAGCCAGGACATCCCGACAGGTCGGCCCTGGAGTGTAAAGACATCAAAGATGAGGAGAGTCCACACATTTGGTCAGGGGAACAGCCATAGCAGCTCAGCAGGTTTCGCATGCAGGAGGTCCCAGTTTCATTTCCTGCCAGCGTCACCAGGTAGGCTGGGAATGTTCCCCACCTGAAACCCTATAGTATCACTGCTGCCAGTCAAGTAGAGAATCCTGAGCTAGACAGACCAACAAGTCAGCATAAGGCACCTTCCTATGTCCCTACTTGTGCTGGGGCTGCTGCTGCCAGCCAGTGTAGACAATCCTGAGCTAGACAGACCAATTGTCTTTGCTCTATAGAAGGAAGCTCCTTACATTCTCTTGGTCCAGTACTCGCCCTGAAAATCTCGCGGACATGCTATGTTTTTCTCATGCTGCCCAATAAGAGTTGGGCTGATCTGTGTGTGCATGGGGAAGCAACATGCTGTGCAAAATTTTCGTGTGTGTGAGAGAGACACAGATTAACACACATTCCTGGAAACTTTTCTGTGCCCTTTGGCCTGTGGGTCTTCAGGGTCTTGCTGGGAGCCTTGAGAGATTTTCCAAGAGATTCTCTTCTTGGGGAAGAAACATACAGTGGTACCTTGGGTTACAAACACTTCAGGTTACAGACTCCACTAACCCAGAAATAGTACCTTGGGTTAAGAACTTTGCTTCAGGATGAGAACAGAAATTGTGCCCGGCAGCGGGAGACCCCATTAGCTAAAGTGGTACCTCAGGTTAAGAACAGTTTCAGGTTAAGAATGGACCTCCTGAACGAATTAAGTTCTTAACCCAAGGTACAACTTTATTTCTTATCCCTTGTGAAGGGGTGTTTTGGAAAGGTACGTTCCCAAATTTCACATGCTTCTGTATGCTGTCAGGGCGACCCCAATAAGGGAACACTATTTGTGTGGGGTGTGCAAGTTCAACTTAACTTGTATTTTCTCTCCTCCACACCTCTGTCCCATTGTCTTCCTGTTTATGAAGCCAATATTCCCCACATTTTACGTTATCTCCCTTGTCAGGCCCTTACCATCCAAGGACCCTTTTGCTGTTTTCCAGAAGGGGGCCTCTGACTCCCCCATTTTTCTCTGGATTGTTTCCACAGCAACTGGCCAAGGCAGGAAAGGAGTCATGGCTTCCTCTAATTGTGTGCAGGATGCTGCTGTTTTGTGAAGCAGGAAACGGGGCAGAGGACGACTCAACTCAGCAGAAAATCCCTGCCCTTACAAAGCTGATGGACCTGCCTATGCAGGTGATGTGGGAGAGGCCTCCATCATTCCAAAAGAAAGTATCCAGGGACATGAGCGAAAAGTCTTTTTGCAGTATTTTTTTTTTTTAAGTGAAAAATGGACTCATTGAAGAAAAGCTGGTTCATATAAGGCTTTCTCACAGAACAAGGTGCTGAAAAATGTGAGTGTGGGAAAGGAGTCCCTCCTGTTCCAGCAAACCAAAAGATGACCTCCCCCCTCCCCACTCAGGAGCATGTGAAAATGATAAGCGGGAGGAAGCATCCTATGTTTAGAAAACTCTTCCAGCTGGTTTTGATTTCAGGGCAGAAAACAGGAGCAAGCAGCCCTTCAGACAACCTTGACATAGGTGCTTCTGCTGGCCTGAGTTCTGGATTTGCACAAAAGCTAAGGTCACACCTGCCCCCATGTTTAAAGCAGCACCATGCCACTTTAAACAGTTATGACACCCTCCCCCCCCCAAAAAAAAGGATTCTGGGAACTGTAGCTTGTTAAGGGTGTTGGGAATTGTAGCTTTGTGTGCAGTAAATTACAGGGTTCTTGGAGGGAAGACATACCTGTAAGATACATTTAAAGCAGTACCATGCCACTTTTAACAGTCATGGCTTCCCACAAAGAATCCTGGAAACAGCAGCATGCTAAGGGGTCTGAGAGACCTCTATTTGCTCACACACACACACCCGAGCTACAATTCCCAGAGTGGTTTAATAATCAATCCCTCTTCCCAGAAAACTATGGGAAGCTTTCTATGCTTGTCATTAAACTAGCCCTTCAGAACCATGAGGACTGCCACGGCTACAGGTTTTTGATCCAGGGTTTGGTCTCTTACCGGTGTAGGGTGGAAGACAGTTGCACTGGTAACGGGCCACGTCATCAATACAGGTCCCTTGGTTCAGGCATGGGTTGGAGGCGCATTCGTTGATGTTGGTCTGGCAGTTGGGACCTGGGAAGATCGAGAGACCCACATGCACGGTCAGCCTGCCAAAGCTTGCCTCCTCTCTCCATGACTCCTTCCCAAGCCAGCCTCCCTGAAGCCTTTAACTGGTTGCCAGTCCATTTCCAGGCCCAATTCAAGGTGCTCACATTAGTATTTGAAACCCTAAACAACTTAAGCCTCAAATACCTGAGAGGCAGCCTCCTTCCCTTCAGACCTTCCTTGGGTGTTGTGGTCGGCAAAGGGGGCCCTCTTGGTGGTTCCCACTCCCATATAAGTTAATGAGGGAGGTGTCTGGGAGGGAGCCTTCTCTGTGGCAGCCCCTATGCTGTGAGACTTCTCCTCAACAGAGGTGTGCCTAGTACCTTCACTGTACAGCTTTTATTTATAAAAATACTTTTTTATGCCGCTGTATCTAAAAATAGATTATAGTGGTTTTAAACAGCATAAAAACATAAAACCAAATAATAAAATCATTAAAAGTTTGAAACTAGTTAAAAATAAAAATAAATTAAAGCAAACGTCCATAGGCCATTGTGGGGATGTACTCTTAATTGCCTGCATAGGTCTGGAGGAACAGAAAGGTTTTCAGCAGGCATGCTGATGACGTATCTTCCTCACTCTGGTATTTGACACACCTGAGAGGCATATGTTTAGGATCCTCCCTATTCTTCTGACCTGCAATTTTATTAATTCATTTATTTGATTGATATACTGCCCTTCATCATAAGATCTCAGGGTGGTTCACTGAATAAAATGCAGGATAAAAACAAGTAAATAAGTAAAACGAAAGAGCAAAACAATACCCTCCCATCCCACAGAAACATTTAAAAGCCTGTAGCATATTAATCAGCCAAAAGCCTGGTTGAAGAGCGGCATTTTCACCTGGCACCTAAAGATATACGATGATGGTGCCAGCAAAATCTCCCAGGGGTGAGGATTCCACAAACGGGGAGCCATGACAGAGAAGGCCCATTCTTGTGCTGCCACCCTCTGGACCTCACATGGAGGCAGCACACGACTACGGGCCTCGGATGATGAACACAGAGTCTGGGATGGATTATAAGGGGAGAAGCGGTCCTTGAGGTATTGCGGTGCCGAGCCATTTAAGGCAATTTGTTTAAACTGCTTTTAATTTTGTATTTTAAATTCACCTTGGGATCTTAGGGGTGAAGGTCCTAGTCCTTCTCAGACCCATTGAAATTAATAACCATGACTAACTCAGGCTCATTCATTTCAGTGGGTTTACTCTAGAGCAGGACTAGCACTGGCTACAAAAACTTCGGAGCACCTGGAAGTGAGCAACCTGTGGCCCCCAGTCTCATTTTATACAGCCTCCGACGCCCCCTGAAGAAACCCCATCCTTCCATTTAATCGAATTTTCTTCCTTCTGGTTTGTTTTCTCCTGGCTTTTAATACAGTTCAGTTGTTTCTCTCTCTCAAAAAAAACCCCCAAGAACAGTGACCAGAAAGCTCCACCCAGCAATTGGACCAGGAAGCAATTGGACAAGAAATAACCAGGAAGTCTAGTGCCACCTATTGACTGGACTATAGAATGACACTACCTGTTACACCACAGGCCAGTCACAGGCCTTGGTGTGCTCAAGGCAGGGCAAGCATTCCCTGTCCGCTCTCCCCAGACCTCTTACCGCTGAAGCCCTCCTGGCAGGTGCAGATGTAGCCGCTGGTCATATCTTTACAGGTGCCACCATTCATACAAGGGTTGGATTCGCACTCGTTGTTGTTGATGTCGCAGTTTGTCCCGCTCCAGCCTGGGTCACAATCGCACTTGTAGCTGTCGTTAAGAAGCAGAACGCACATGAGCATGTGCCTGAGCATGTGTGAAGACCAACGTGGAGGCTTCCAGATGTTTTGGATGACACAATTCCTGCTCCTGACTTGTGAATTGTGGTCCAAAGAATCTGGCGGGCACCAAGTTGGCAATTGAAAGGGCTGGTGCAGACTGTGGGTCTGCAGCAGCCACCCCCCAACAGAGACCCATCTTGTAATCCATCTTGTAATCTTTGGTTCCAAATGTCTGCTGCTCAAAGCAGCTGCCATCCTGCCACCCCTGGGTGCCCTGTTCCTTTCAGACACTGTGCATGTATACAGTTCTAAGAACCTCAGAAGGGTCCCGCAACAGCTGGATCAGGCCAAGGAGGCCACATCTAGTCCAGCATCATCTTCTCACAGAAGCCCACAAAAGGAGGACCTGAATGTATTAGCCACCTCCCTGCATGTGATTCTTAGCAACTGACATCAAACTGGCAAACAAAGACAGGAAGCTGCCAAACTCTTGGCCCATCTACCTTAGCATTCTCTACACTGGCTGGCAGTGGCTCCCCAGAGTTTCACGCAGTGGACAGTCCCAGCCCTATTGGACTTTCTGCCTGGGAAACATCTGCTGTTCTACTAAGCTGGGACACTTCCCAAAACCTCTCTGCACTCTCTTTTCCTTGGTGTATGGCGGCTGTTATAGGAACATAAGAAGAGCCTATTTGGTCAGGCCAATGCCCCATCTAGTCCTGCCATCTTGTTCCCAAACTTGACCAACCAGATGCCACTATTTGGCAAGCAGGACTTGAATGCAACAGCCCCACTTGTGATTCCTAGAAACTGGCGTTCAGGGGCAACTTGCCTCTGACCCCACAGATTCCATGCAGTCACAGGAAGACCACATCTATTACAGATGCTTGGAGGATAATGCAAAACCAAGAATGATTCAGAGTAGACTCAAAGAACATTAGAAGAGCCTGATGGATCAAGCCAGTGGACCATCTAGCCCAGCATCCTGTTCTCATGGTGGCCAACCAGATGCTTCAATAGGACCTGAGCACAAGAACACTCTCCAGTTGTTGTTCCCCATCATTGGTTATTCAGAGGTAGATTGTCCCTAGACACAGAGCGGTGGTTCCCAAAATTTTGTTGGGCCACCGTGCCCTTGGCTCCATCAACTCATCCCCACAGCCCCCTAACCTATCAAAAGCATTATTCAGAAGAGTGGTTTTCACAACTCACTAAGGAAGGTAACAGCAGAATAAAATTCAAAACAGTAACGATTAATTGCACATTTATTCAAAATCCAATTAAAACTATTGAGTTTAATTAATTCAACAAAATTGATGGAACTTGATGCAGGGATGCCAGCTTTTCAACATCTGAAAGTCATTTAGCAAGAGTCATAGTAACTCCTTCACTGTGCAGCAAATTCTTAATGTGATGCCTGGGCTTCATGAAGTGATACCAGTTTCCCGATGTCTGGTTTCAAGTCACTTAGCAGGAGTATTAAATCACCACATTTAGGAATCTGATTTCTTTGCTTGGATGACCACACTAAAAGCATGTTCCACCAAATGTGATGTTGGAATTGCAACAAGGAGCTTCTAAACCACTGTCTATCGTTATGTGCAGGATAGCGATCAGAAATTTCCTTCTGTAGCCAAAATGCTTGGTACGATTTCTTAGACTGAGCCTTCTGCTCAGTGTCATTTTGTAGCTTCCATGATGTATTCCTTTGTATATTCCTTTATATTTTTGGTTTTTAATGTTGTACATACATTTCTCTTTCTCTTTTTAAAAATTGTCTTACTGTGTTATATAGAAACTGCTTAGATGGTTTTTTCCCCATATAAATCAATAGATAATTATTGATGATGATCCTGTTGTCATGGTGTCAAGTGACTATGAGAACCTGAGAGATGCCTGTCTGGGAAGTGACTCCAGAACCTCTCACCTTGCTCTACTCTCAGCTTGGCAAGGGCTGCATCTGACCATGTGAGACAGCGGAGGGAACTCCCCCATGCCAGGCAGAGAGCCCCAGAGCCGCCTCCCCAGAAGCTTACCCATTCAGGCCATCATTGCATTTCCCGTGAATGCAGGGGTTGCTGTTGCACTCATTGACTTCTGAGAGGCACATGGGATCATGGTAGCCCTCTGGGCAGACGCAAACGAAGCCGTTGATGCCGTCCCTGCAAGTGCCTCCATTGTGGCAAGGGTTACTGGCACATTCGTCAATGTTGATGTTGCACATCCTCCCTGTGAAGTTTGGGTAAGAGAAAGAGGTCACAGGCTGGCCCAGTGTCACAACCCAGAACCAATCACCATAGCTGTAAAGAAAACCCAATACAGTACAAGAATGGCTTCCCTATATTGCACTGCAACACAACCATTGTTGGTTTAGGTCCCTTTCAACTCCACAATTCTATGGTTCTATGATCCCACCCCCTGTCCTCACCTGCATATCCAGGCTCACAGGTGCACTCGTAGCTATTGATTTTGTCAATGCACTTGCCATAGTCACACGGATTGCTGGCGCAGTCATCCAGGTTGACCTCGCAATTGGGCCCTTAAGAATAAGAATAAGAATTTATTTCTATGCCATCCATCTGACTGGGTTGGCCTAGCTACTCTGGGTGGCTTCCAACAGATTAAAACATCAAACACAGTAAAACACCAAACATTAAAAACTTCCCTATACAGGGCTGCCTTCAGATGTCTTCTAAAAGTCAGGTATTTATCTCCTTGACATCTGCTGGGAGGGCATTCCATTGGGTGGCCATGGCTGCTGAGAAGGCCTTCTGCCTGATTCCCTTAACCTCACTTCTCACAATAAGATCCTTGGAGCTGGATCTCAGTGTCCGGGCTGAACGATGGGGGACCCAAGCTGGATACTACAGCAACAAGGGGCTGATTGAGCCTCTCGCCTGAGGAAGGCTGCAGCATTTGAGACTTTTCAGTTTAAAGAAAAGGCAAGAGAGGGCATGGTAGAAATTTGCAAAATTACACATAGCATGGAGAAAGTGGATAGAGAAAAGCTTTTCTCCCTCTCTCATAACGCTGGAACTCTGTGGGTATCCAGTGGAGCTGAATGATGGAAGATTTGATTTCTTCCGTCATCAGTGGAACTCGCTCCCAATGAAGGCAGTGGTGCCCATCAACTTGCATAGCTTTAAAAGAGGATTAGTCAAATTCATTTACGAGGAGAGGGCTATTGATGGCCACAAGCCATAAAGACAATGTTCTGCTTCCACAGTTGGGAGGCAGCAATGCTTCTGAATACCAGTTGCTGGAATCCACAGGAGGGGAAAGGGATCTTGTCCTCCTTGCTAGCCACTTTAAGAACACGACACTGGACTAGATGGGCACCCTTTGGCCTGATCCTGCAGGCTCTTCTTATGCTCTTATTTCCTGCTTGTGGGCTTCTCACTGGGACATCCCTGAGTGGGCATGAGGTGCTGCTATCGTGCTGGATCAATTCCTTACAAGTACAGAATGGAGATGATGTGGCCCTTATGAAAATGGGAGCAATTCCCATAGCTAATCTATGTGCTGAGTGCAGAAGCACTTTCCTTTGTCTGTCCTGAGCCTTTGCCTTACCTAAACATCCCTTAGGATTTAATTTTATTTTTTTTACAAAAAGACTGCTGCAGTGAACACCCCTGAGAGCTCTTACCTGTCGTCCCTTTGAGGCAGAGGCAGTTATAAGCGTTGTTCCGATCCTGGCAGGTGCCCCCGTTCTTGCAAGGCTGGCTCTGGCACTCGTTGATGTTCATGTCACAGAGACGCCCCGTGTAGCCTGGCTGGCAGAGGCAGGTGAAGGTGGCAATGCCATCTTGGCAGGTCCCATAGTGGCAAGGGTCTGGGTCACACTCGTTAATGTCAGTCTCACAATGGGGGCCAGAAAAGCCTGAGGAGGAGACAACACCAAGCAGGTCATGACAATCAGTCCATCAGTCAATCAATAAATTGGGAGTCAGCCACCCCAACACAGATCTCTGTTTTATACTGGGTTCCCCCCCCCAAAAAAAATATGTTATTGTTTTCACTTATTTATGCAAGAAGCAACAATGAATATTAAACCATGTCACCCTCATCCTGCAGAAGCACCAAATGTCCATTTAATTACAATTAACTTCAAAGATTTAAACAAATGTACCATTCCACTAGTTGCCAGGTGTCCTCAGAGCCTATAACCATGTTCTATCGATGTTGCATATATATCGCAAAACTACACCAGTTTGATTGAACAGTAGTGGCTTGATTGTTAGTTTGACTCTCTTGGACGTGTTGTCCATGTGTGCATTAATATTAAACCCCAGAATTGTGAGGTCCAGATATGAAACACGTCTGCACTTAAGAGTCTACCATTCTGCTGGTGTTAATGTATGTGCTATTTCCTTATAAGCTGCTTTGAGTTATTTTTGTAAAAAAGCAACTTGTAAGCCTAATAAACAACAACAAAAACCAACACAGGGCAACCCATAGGCAACTTGCAATTAAGTTTAAAAACTTTTCAAATTCCATCAACTGCTGAGTAGCCTGGGCAGGAGGCAAGGAGAGGAAAGTCTTAACTAGGCACTGAAAAGATGTCAATGTCTGCAGCAGGTGGGTTTCACTTGAGAAAGCATTCCAGAGGTTGGTGAGGCACAGCCAAAAAGCCTCTTGTGGACACTTCTGAGCCTCCTCTCTCTAAGGGAGAGCCTGATCACAGAACACCAGTATGACCAGTCCTTACAGGAATCATAGGTGGCTCTTCTCATTGCTGTGACCTTGAAGCTGGTTTGGAATCAGCGCCTGGTGCAGGAAGTGGAGGCCAGTGAAACTACGGAACTCACCCCTGCAGGAGGCAGTGACGGCCACCAACCTGGATGGCTTTAAAAGAGGATTGGACAGATTCATGGAGAAGGAAGAGGAAGAGGTTTATCAGCGGCTACTAGCCACGATGGCTGCACCCTGCCTCCACGGTCAGAGGCAGCAATGCTTCTGAATCCCATTTGCTTGAAACCACAGGAAGGGAGAGTTGCTCTTGTGCTCAGGTCCTGATTGTGGGCCACTGTGGTTGGCCACTCTGCAAACAGCATGCTAGATGGCCAGATCCAAGAGGCTCATTTGATGTTCCTATGTCATGGTCTGACTTAGCATGAGGCAGCTTCCTATACAGATGAGTTCCCGGGGAAGCCCCCACAGAGAGCCTGGGGCACAGAAGCTGAACCAAACACACACCAAGTGCCCTTGAGCCCAGCAGCTAACAACCCCTTTGCCAGCCAGCATGGCCAAGACATGGATAGGGGGGACCCTGGCTGCAAAGGGAAGACAGCGCGTGGCAAGAGGATTTGGAGGGGAGGTTCCTTAACGATCGGAGGAAGGAGAAGGAACCGCACCCCCTTCCCTACTGCCTCCCAACTGAATGCAAAGAGAGCCTGGCTTTGTCCCCAGGAGCGCACAATGGCTCCCCTTGCACAGACTACCCCTTTCTTCCTGTCTTTCGCAGGAGCCCAGAGGCAGCCTCTTTCCCCACTTTGTCTGCATGCAGCTCAGAGAGGCTGGCCATGGAATCCAAAAGGGCAGGACCAGGACGGGAGGGGGAGGTGCGGGTTCGGTTGGGACAAACGGCTGCATGTACGGCTGCCTGTATGGAGGGATAATAGCAACTGAGAAGTGCCGGGAGACAGAGGAGGGAGGAGGACAAAAGCTGGGAGTGGGGGAAGGAAGAGGGGGGTTGGAAGGAAGACAAAGTCAGGCTTTGACTGTTCCCCCCCTCCCCACAGGCCTCCCCCATCAACGAAATCCACATCTCAGCTTTTCATCGGTGAGACCAAGATGCTCATTAGAGACTGTTCAGCTGGAAGATTTTTAGCGGAGGACCCCCACAAAAGCACCTCTGTTCACTGCTGCCGGCTCATGGCGTCGGCTTTGTCCCCAAACCTACTTGAGTTTCACTCGTCGAGTGCGCACGGCCCCTGCTACCCCCCCCAAAAAAAAACCCGTGTGTATGTGTATGTGAGGGTTTGGAAATGGCCTGTTTTTTGTATTGCTCCGTCCCCGCTTTCTCCTTTGTGGGGAGGCGAGGGGCCCAAGAAGGAAGGAGGAGACCAGAGGCAAAGTCCCCAATGGCTGGCATACAACACCCCCTTCCCCAGCAATGTTTGGCTTTCAGCCAAGGTGAGGGGGGGCTGCCTCCATTGTGTCAGGTGCTGCACAGAGCAAAACTCATGAGGAGTGGGGGAGAGAGGGAGGAAATGGAAGCAGAGTCCAAATATTTTTTTGGGGGGGGGGGGTGCCACCAGTTGTCGGTGCCAGGGACCCTGGCATTGCACCAGTAAAGAATCAGAGATGCTGCTCCTCCCCTCCTGAAAGCATTTCTAGGTTGCAAGCCGAACTGAGACTCCTCTAGGCCTTTCAGAAACATCTGAGGAAGTGTCATGGCGGCATCTGCTTGGCATGCAAAAGGCCCCTGGGCTCAATCCCCACATATATCTCCAGGTATGACTGGAATCATCTCCTGCCTGAAAACTCTGGAGTGCCACTGCTGCCAGCCAGTGTAGATTGAGCTAGAGGGACCATGGCATCAGTAGAAGGCTGGTAAACTGCTGCCTCTCAGGCTACTGTCAGAGGCACAGAAGGAGGACTTAAGAGTTTTTTTAAACACACACATACAGAGAGAGAATAGGCAGTAGCCTGGCTTTACGAGCAAAGTGTGTGTTAGACTCATGTCTGATGAAATGCAGAAAAAGAAAAATTAGGCACTACTCAGTGCAAACAGTACTGAATTAGATGCACCAAGGGTCAGTCTCAGTATATGGCACCCCCAACGTAACTATTTAACTCAGCCATTTCTTCAGAACTATGAGGACTAGAATCTTACTTTATTTTTAGGGGAATGGTCGGAGCTTTGTGGTATACAGCCCCCGGAATCTCCAGGTAGCCCTCCTCCAATAAAAGCCCTTATTGTCCTGGGGATATGGGCGATTTTAATGACACTGTTGTTAACAATGTTCAGTCCATGCTTTACGGTGTGTGGGTTTTGTTTTGCAATTCTTGTTCCAACATTGTGTAACATTCTCTACTACGTTATGCTATTTTGCATTACTTTGCAGTATACTTTGGAACTCCCTGCCTAGTGACAACAGGCAACCACCTTCACCGTACTCTTTCTGGCACCTGTTGAAAACATTTTTGTTTAGACAGGCCTAACCAGGTATTTGGAAAGTTGATGCAAGCTTTAGTTCATTGTGCTTTCAACCTTTAAAAAAGTTCTTCAATTATTGTTGTTTATTCTTCTTATTGACAATTTGTTTTAAGCATTTTTGTGCTGCACAGAAGGGTTTTGTTTTCAATCAAGGCATATTAGAGACTTTCTTTTAGACTTTCTTTTAGCACCAAGTGATAGAAAAGTCTAATAAATCAAATCCCTTTGTGTGCAGTGAAATACATTCTTTCCGCAGTGGGCTGCCCCTGTCTCAGAATCCTTGCCCTCCAGAAGAGGTCAGAGATCCCACACCCCCAACCCTGCTTACCTTCAGTGCATTCACAGGTGTAGGCATTGGGGCCATCAACACACTTGGCACCATTCTTGCATGGGGTGCTGGCACACTCGTCAATGTCGTACTGACACAGGTGGCCATTGAAACCTGCGGGGAAACAAAGAGGCTGAGCTTGGCCTGAGCACCGACTTCAGGATGGTCGAGACCCCTGCAATGGTCACCCTCCTCCTCTCCCTTGCTGATAAGGAACAAATATGGCTCCCACCTCTTCCACAGGTGAGAAGCCTCTTCTTGCCCAGTCACCTGTGGCAAGTAAGGCATTCCTCTAGATGACCAGAAAGGGAAACTGTAGGGGCTTTAGGAGAAGGGCTGCGGCATAGTGACAGAGTCACTGCTTTGCATGCAGAAGGTCCCAGGTTCAGTCCCCGGTTGCATCTCTAGGTCGGGCTGGGAACATGACTTGCATGAAACCACTGGAGAGTTGTGGCTGCCTGTCAGTGGGCACAATACTGAGCTAGATGCTGGAAACCATGGCATAGGGAGGGCTCTTGTGCTTAGATCCTGCTTGCAGGCTTCCCATACGGGCATCTGGTTGACCACAAGTGAGAACAGGATGCTGGCATAGAGGGGCGCCAGTGGCCTGATCCAGCAGCCAGGCCCTTCTTAAGTTCAATTTTAGTTCTACTCAAGATAGACCTATTAGAAATTATGGGCATTCCTAACTTCAATGGTTCTACTCTTCAGTAGGGCTTAGCTGGCGACGACCCCTTTGTGCACATCTTTATCTGGTCAGGATGCAGTCCAGACACCCTGCTTGAATTTCCCAGTCACTTTTATTTTAAAAAAGGAGTACCCAAGGGACAGTCAGAGGAGTTGGGAATAAAAGCCAAAAAACCTTTTCTGTGAAATATCTTGATGAATAGGCTGTCATTATACACTTCACAGCTGCCTTCCCACAAACATCCTCAGCCCCAAAGTGGGGCGGGGGGACCCAGTTCGGGGTGGACAATTACGATAACTCTTGTGATTTCCCACAAACTGGAGGGTAAAGCTGTATCCCGCCCCCCCCCCATCCTCAATCCCTTAAAAAATGTCCAGAAATGTGAAAATGCAAACTGACAGATGGGCACTGCTCCCCCTTCCAAGATCTTGTCCTGTCTCTGGAAATCTTCTCTAGAGAGCGTAAAAAGCATGTCATGGGGGCCTGGCTGCCCCCTTTTTTCGGTTGCCCCATTTGGCACAGTGCCCAGGTGCGAAAGCGACAGCCAACTCTCTCTGTCTCCAGCACCTTCTTAGTTACACATTTTGTTTCTGGGAAGTTTGCAGCACCGAAGCAGTAGAAATCTGCTCCACTTCACTGCAGAAAGCCAATATGACTTCTCTCTCCCACCCCCGGCACCCTCTGGCCACCATACATTTTAAGTACTGTGATGCCACTTTAAAAAGCCACAGCTTTCCCCCAAGGAATCCTGGGAACTATAGTTTGTTCAGGGGACTGAGTTGTTAGGCAACCCCCCATATTCCCCTTACAGAGCTACAATTCCTAGAGCAGTTTAACCATCAGTGCCTCTTCAAAGGGAACTCAGGGAACTGTAGCTTCATGAAGGAAATAGAGAGGTTTCCTAGGAACTTACAGCACCCTGAACAAACAGCAGCTCCCAGGTTTCTTTGGGGGGGAAGCCATGACTCTTCAAAGTGGAATCATGGTGCTTTATGGTGTGACTGTGAAGCGCTCTCTCTCTCGCGCGCGCGCTCTCTCTCTCTCTCTCTCTCACACACACACACACACACACACACGGACCCCTAAACTATCCCTACAACCAGGATAAGAAAAAAGAGCTTGAAAATGTGGGTTTTTCACACACCCCTCCATACACACAGAAACTCTTCCAACGAGACGCTGAAGGGGAGGGGGACCTTCAAATCCTCTTCTTGCTAGTAAATTGTGGCTTGTTGTGGCAACTATTCCACGTCAACACTTGGGGTGCCAGCCTTCTGTACCCTGGGGCTCTGCTTCCCCTCCATTCAGCCCCCAAATCAAGTTTTTCAGGGCCTTCGCTCTCCATCGCCATGGAGACGGCTGCCTGGGGTTCTGAATGGGCGCTGGACTGGCTCTCCCTGAGAACATCTTATTTACATCTACAGAGGAGGAGGAGGTGGAGGAGGAGGAGGAGGAAAGCCCGGCCTCTCGACTTCAAAAAGCCCCCAAAGCCCCATTTCATGGATTATCCGGCACTCTCCCCCATTCTCTCGTCCTGTGGACTGCAACACCTCATTTAAATCCATCCAGCCTTCCTCTCATTCTGCCTCTCCCAGCTTCCCAGTGCTCCCCCTCACCAACTTATTCCCCAACTAGGGGGGCCTTTATAAGTGCAAATCTTGTTCCTGCCATTATTTAAATTGATCCTCGGTTTCTCGCTCCCTCGCTTTCATTCTGTCTCCCAGATGAAGGAGGAAGTAGAGCTTGGCTTGAAGGCCTCTTTATGCTGAGAGGAGAGGTGTGTGCATTTGCTGTTCTGAGTTGCACAAAAAAAGGGGGGGTGTCAGAATAGGGCAAAACAACCGCCAAAGTAGCAGCCCCTTCTAATCAACAGGGCAGAACCCCTAACCCCCACCCTCAGCATCTTAACTCTGCAAAAGTGGCACCAAGGCTTGTGGTGCAGCTGGTGTGGTATAACTTCGGCTGAATTTACATGACAGTCTATTTCATGGGTAGGCAAACTAAGGCCCAGGGGCCGGATCTGGCCCAATTGCCTTCTAAATGCGGCCTGCAGATGGTCCAGGAATCAGCGTGTTTTTACATGAGTAGAACGTGTGCTTTTATTTAAAATGCATCGCTGGGTTATTTGTGGGGCATAGGAATTCGTTCGTTTTTTTCCTTCAAAATATAGTCCAGCACCCCACAAGGTCTGAGGGACAGTGGACCGGCTCCCTGCTGAAAAAGTCTGCTGATGCCTGGTCTATTCCCTTTTCCTGACATTTCCCCAACTGCTAGTTTCCATGTTATATTTGAGCTTTCACACAATGTAAATCCACTTCCAGGAATATAGAGAAGGCTGTAATCTCAGCACAGTTTATCCCATTTTCCTGAAGTTTCCCTAACTGTTGATTCCTGCATTATATATGAGCTTTAACATGGCGAAGAAGCCACCTCTAAAAATCTAGTGGAATGTAGAGCAAGTTTTAACATGTATCTTTGTTATTTGCTTCCAGAAGAAATGTCTGTTTGCAAATAACACAGAAATGAGAGTGAAACCTCCGTTGCATTCTGCTATATCTCTGGTTTTCATCTCATGCAAAAGTTCAAATATAACACAGAGGAAACGTCATGAAGGCGAAATAAACTACCGAGTGAATGCAGCCACTAAAAAGGTAACAGGATCCACAGAGGTCATTGGTTTTTTCCTGTGGTCACAACTACTTACCCTAAATTATATTTGCTGTTAGGAATCTTGTAATGACAAAGCAATTTTACACACACACACACCCACACACCCACACACACACCAAATGATAAACTCAGTTTCTCCATAGGGCAGGCACTGAGCAGAGAACAGAACCAGTCCTGTCTGCCTAATGATGAGTGTGCCTGGGTGATTCCCAAGCTTCCCAGTGCACACCAGGGCCCTGAGCACAATAGCACTTCCTTGCTAGCCACCCCCCAGCAACTGGCATTCAAAGACATAACACCTCTGATGCGGTGGGGGGGGGGGGGGTCTTTCTGTCCTGAACACAGTGCAAATTCTGTCCGTGCAAGGCAGATTTCTATTTAAACCTGCCCTTTATTTAGAATCATGAGGACTAGTAACCTTACTTCCTTTTTTAAGGGAAAAAGCCACCAGTGGCATGGAGCTTCTGCTTTGCATGCACAAGGTTCAAAACCCCAGGGTTCAGCCTCTGGTAGCTTCTTTAGGTAAGGCTAGGAGATACCCCCTGCCTGAAAGGTAAACTGGACCTCTGGACCCAGAGGTTTCCTTTACGTACCAGGGCTAAAAGCAGTGGCAGGCCCCCCCCCCAAACACTCCTTCAAAGACAGGGCAACCCACTTCTCAACACCACATTCCTCCACCTCAAATGCAGGCGTGGAGCCCCTTGGAACTGCCAGAATTAAGAGACATCAGAGGAGAAGCATCCAATTTCCCCCGAGCTGCCCACTCTGAGCATATTTCAAACCTGCCGGCGAGGTTTGCCTCTGGGTGGTGGATTAACTGCAGCTCCATTCTCACTACAAAGGCTTTGCACTGAAGGCGGAGAGATCGATGCCCCTCCACCCCCACCCCACCCCGCTCCAGTAGTACCTCTGGGGCACTCGCAGGCAAACTCATTGATCTTGTCCACACAGTTCCCGTTGTGCAGGCAGGGGCTGCTGGCGCACTCGTCCGTGTTGATCTCGCAGTAGATGCCCTCGTAGCCTGAAAGGAGTTTCCCGACAAGGAAAGAAAAGGTAAGCCTAAAGGAGCTCCCCTGATGCATGCTGAGAGGACAGCACACCTATAGCACCTATAGCCTCAAAGAGCCAGCAGCAAATGGCTCAAGCCCACCTTTGGCAAGGCCAGCTCCTCCTTTGGCTTTATGGTGGAGGAGAGACTCCTGGCTCTGCTTAGCCACTTTCTCCTGCAGTTTGGTGGCAGCAAAATGTTGCAGTGCATCAACACATATCAGGACTGCTCTTGTTCAGGATGTGATGCATGTGTGTGTGTGTGTGTGTGTGTGTGTGTGTGTGTGTGCCCCTAAGCGAGGCTCTCCCACCCCCTTCCTTGACCAGCTGCAACACAACAGCCCTGCAGTGTTGCCAATGGGTCTTACTCTCTGGTAATTGCTGCCACCTTCCATCCTCCCACTTACTCCTGCAGCCCAGAAGGGAGGGGATCTGGGGTGCACCAAGGCAATTACTTTTAAAAAGGCTCTGAGCCTGTGTATCCAGGCTAGGGTGAAAGCAGCTTGCTTGTTTCCCTCCTAAACTTTTGGGAAGTTTAAGAGGGTCTGCCAGGGAAACAAGCAAGCTGCTTGGCTTTACTTCACTGGTAGGAGAAGTCCAGGTGTGGCAAACGTCAAAGAAGAATATGCCCAGACGCCACTTCTCTCCTAGGCATCAGGCTTCACACAGTGCAGGCACAAACTGACATACAAATATGTTGTAACAGAGGCTGTCAATGTGGTGACCTGCAGCTGCTGCTAGACTACCAGCTCCCAGCATCATTCACAGGCACTGGCTATGTTGAGAGTCAGGTTTGATGCAGTTAAGAGTGTTGACTAGGACCTGGGAGAGATCAGGGTTAAAATCCCCCACCCCCCAACTTGGCCACAAAGCTTTCCAGACAGGAATTTGGGAGCCAGTCACTGCCTCTTAGCTTAAGCCTAACCTCACAGGGTTGTTGAATTAAATAAGGAACAGAGGAAGAACCATGCATGCCACCTTGAACTCCTTCGGGGCGGTGTGTGTGTGTGTGTGTGTGTGTGTGTGTGTGTAAGTGAATAATAAAGGGAGCTGGGAGTTCACCTAGAGGGAACACTGCTGGGGATACCTCCTGGGTGGTACGTAGAACTGGGCACTCACCTGGCATGCAAATGCAGTGAAAGACCCCGATCTGGTCCAGGCAGGTGGCATCGTTCTGGCAGGGGTTTGAGGAGCACTCATTCACATCAATCTCACAGCGGGGGCCAGAGTAGCCTTGCTGGCACTGGCATTCGAAGGAGCCCTCTGTGTTCAGGCACTTCCCCGCATGCTCACAGGGGTTGGCACCTGTTGGGTTCAGAACCATTAAAAAGACATAATCAGCATTACTGGTCTTCCGAGTTTGTACTGAACTGTGTTAATTCTTTACTACTCCTGTGTTCGCCTTTGCTTTATCTATATGCTGTCGTGAGTTTTTCAATACAATAAATATTGTTTGCTCATTTGTAACACGGTTGTTGTTGTTGTTGTGAGATGCTCTGAGCTTGGCACTGCCGTTGTGCTCCCCCCCCCCCCTTCCAGAAAGCAGCAAACAAATATTAAATCAAATCCAAATTGAACACACACACAAAAACACAGTGAAGAGAAGCAGTAGCTCCCAAAGGAAGCAACAGAGCATGACTGGGGATGGTGGCCATGGATCGGGACCTCCCAGCCTGCACCCTTCTGGTTCCTGGCCTTGTCCTTTCCCAAACTCTCTGTTTGCATGTAGTCTCCTGAGCTGGGTTTCAGGGTTCCACTGTACTCCTTGAGTATTTCTTATGATGACCTGCTCTAGCTAGTTCCCTATTTTGGGGGGTCCAAATGTTGCTAAATAATGCAGAGTGTTAACCCTGGGCAGATTCAATGCCCTTCCATATCCCAAGTGCTGTGGGACAGCAGGTATGCTGGCTCCCCTCTTTCCTTCAAGGTATTATGCCCCTGTTAACTATCAGGAGCTGGAATCCACAAAACAATGTATATCTGTTCTGCAATTACTAAACTGGAGTTTGGCAGCAAAATAAATTTGGCCCCTTTGCTGACCAAGGTCAGTTCAACCTTATGTTAAAAATCTAATGGAAGATAAAAACATAAACAAAGGCATCAATGGCAGCTAAATTTCTATCGGTGAGAAAAAACCAACACCTGAAACCAAGAGAGAGCATTTTCAGCGAGTAACTCTGTCAGCCGGGTTTCCAGCATTGCAGGGGGTTGGGCTAGATGACCCTGAGGGTCCCTTCAAACTCTACGATTCTAACTCGAGATTACAGTTGTTGTTGCTGTTATTTTGCATTTTGCTACTTTGTTCTGAAGTCCTTGTGTGAGGCATGCTTTTTTTATTTCCTGTATGCTGACTGTATTACATTGGGTTTCAGGCTAGAACAGCCTACGCAGGTCCCTTTCCACTGGTTTTTCTCCCTGCCGTCCTCCCTGTGCCCACTTACCAAGCGAGCATTCATCCACATCCTGGTTGCAGGCAGGCCCCATGTAGCCAGAGGGGCAGGTGCAGATGGCCTTCCCAGTGACTGGGTTGGTGTCGCAGTTGGACCCATCATTGCAGGGATTGCTAATGCAAGCATCGTTGAGGTGGCACAGCAGACCTGCAAGGAAACGGGCACAGGTGCTTAGAGAAGAATGCTTGCAGGGGGGCTCCAACCCTCCCTCTCTCAAAAGTGCCATGGCCACCCACCCCAAAGTGGCACCCCTGGTTTCGTGTACCAACAGAGGAGAGAGCTGGGACCTTGCATTCAGCTCCCTCGATCCGCACCTGTCCGTCCATGAGGGCACTCGCAGTAGAAAGAGGCCACACGATCGTGGCAGGTGGCTCCCACGAAGCAGGCAGCGTTGGCGCAGTCGTCAATGTTCTCGCTGCAGTCCTCGCCTGTCCAGCCGTTGACACAGACGCAGTTGTAGCTGCCATGGGTGTTGTGGCACGTGCCCCCGTTCTGGCAAGCATTGGGGATCAGTTGGCACTCATCCACGTCCTCTGCACAGTACTGGCCTGGAAGAGGTTCACAAAATCATAGAATTTGAAGAGTTGGAAGGGGCCCAAGGGGGGGTCATCTAGTCCAGCCACTGCAAGGCAGGAATCGCAGTGGGGCGGAGTAAAGAGATGAGTTGGACATCACCTTTGCCCTCATTGTCAAAAGACAGCAAACTTATTTAACTCATGTAACGCAAGGTCCTCAGTAACAATCGTGATAATTGTAAGAGTGGGTTGTTTACAGCTAAGTCCTATGCAGAGCTGACCTACTAAAATTTGGGTGACCTGAGCAAGTCAAATTCACCAATTTCAATAGGCTTGCTTTGAGGAGGTGTAATGTGGGATAAGCCCCAGCAACATTATTAATGGTAGCAAGAGCAACAACAATAATAGTTGTAGCTAAGGCTAATAGAATGGCAATAACAACACTAATACAGTGGTACCTTGGGATGCGAATGGGATCCATTCTGGAGCCCCGTTTGCATCCCAAACGGAACGTAAGACGTGTCTGCAGGTCACGTTTTGCCGCTTCTGCGCATGACGTCATTTTGAGCGTCTGTGCATGCGTGAGTGACGAAACCCGGAAGTAACACACTCCGTTACTTCTGGATTGCCGCGGAGCGCAACTCGAACGCGCTCAACCCGAAGCACATTAAACTTGAGGTGCTACTGTATTGCGTATTTCATAATGCATAACTTTCAACATAAATCTGTAAAGGTCTGCAATCTTGGCATCTTAGGTGCTCCCTATGAACAGAGAATGGATTGGAAGGGTGCAGCTGAGCAAGTCTTCAAACGCTGACCATGACCCTCCCTGGAGCCAAACCCTCGCCTATTCCCTAGTCCCCCACCCAAAGATATTGGCCTTCATTCCCTACCTGTCCATTCAGGGGGGCACTGACAGTTGTAGGTGTTCACCCCGTCCACGCAGGTCCCTCCATTCTTGCAGTTGTTCCCTGGGCAGTCGTTGAGATTTTCCTCACAGTTCTGACCAGCAAAACCTGCCAGGTGTTTGAAGGTGGGGAAAGAAAAAGGGGAAAGGAAGAAAATGTGTGTCAGACCTGGTTTTTAGCCCCCTCTGACAATGGGAGAGAAACAGCAGGCTCTGTTACTTAGTGGCAGAGGATTCAAAATTGCTCAGCCTGCCAGAAAACCTCAAGAGATGCTGTCAATCTGACTTGATGTGAAATGCCATCCAGTCTCAGAAAATATGGGTGCCCCATTAAAAAAAAATAATACTGGAAAATTACCTTATATATTGGATTTGGAGCCTCCATGCTTGCTTAAGAACTTAAGAAGAGCCTGCTGGATCAGGCCAAAGAGGGCCCAGCGTAGCATAGACAGTCACCAGCCAGGTGCCTCTTTTGGGAAACTCTCAAGCAGAGCACAACAGCAACACTGCCCTCCTGAAGGTTCCAGTAACAGCTATTCAGAAGCGTTTATTGCTTCCAAATATGGAGGCAAAGCATCGCCAGCGTGCCTAGTAAACTCTCCTCTATGAATTTGTCTAAACCTATTTTAAAGCCATCCTAGTTGGCCATCGCTCCTCCTTGTGGGGGGTGAGTTCCTCAGTCATAACTATGTGCTGCATGAAGAAGTCCGTTCTAAAAGAACACAAGCTTGCTTGTTTCTTCTCTTGGGGGGCCGGGGGCTTGAACCTTGCTGGTTCAAATACAGCACACGGTGAACTGGGTGCCACCCCTCGCTCTCCAGACATGTTGTGACCCTACTAATGGGACTCTCCCTTTTTCTCTCTCAGCAGGAGCTCTTGATCCCTATGGGAGGATGATAGCTGTAGTTCAACAACAATCTGGAGGGTAAAAGGCTCAACTCACATTTGTTCTTGGAGCATCACTATTTGTTTGGTTTTTTCCAGAAACTTAACTGCTGCACCCTGGAGGAACCAACACGCCTGAATTTGCATAAGACTATGTTTACGTTCACTTTTATTGAGAAGCCAGAGTAGCGAGCCCCCGGGTACAAGACTTTGCAGAAAAGCTGTGTGAGCATCTGGCCACAGCAACTTGTTTCTACCTAAGCTCACAAGAGAGGAGCTGTATAATAATTGTGGGGAGAGAATGCAATACGAAGTGTGTGGGAGATTCCAGTGCAGGAGGCTCCATCGCCTGGTGTCCTTCCATTCAGCACAGCAGGAAAACAGGGCCCAGAAAGGAAGGAACTGCACTGCAATTGGGGGTGGGGGTAGAGAATGGGACTGGTGCCACACAGACTCCGCCAACCACAGGGTTTTATAGCGGAAGGGCCCTGCCCGCTTCACCTCCTTTTAGCTCCCTGTGCCGTCCATGATGTAACCTGCTTTTCTCTTCCTGCTCCTGCCGCTCTCTCTCTCTCTCTCTCTCTCTCTCTCCCCCCCCACCCCATGCGCAAGGAAGTCCTCCTAGCATCCTGACATTTGCAGCCCGAAACAAGGGGTCCATTTCTGCGACAGGAACCTAAGAAGAGCCCTGCTGGGGCTGGGGCTGGCCAATGGTGCACCTCGCCCAGACTTCTGTTCTCCCCGTGGCCAACCAGATACCCTCGAAGGAAAGAACACAAGAAGGACTCGGGCACAAGAGCAGCAGCAGCGCTCTCCCCCTTTTGTGATTTCCCAGCCGGCCGGCATTTGGATGCATACTCTGCCTCCTCCCAAGAAACCAGCTCCAACAAAGTCTGAAGGCACAGCAATGGACCCAGACACAGCAATGGACCCAGAGCCTTGCTCGTTTCCACACAGAAAGGATCTCCCACCCTCAAAAATAGAAGAGGAGGGAAAAGGCAGGATCTTGTTTGATCAAGGAACCCTCCTTCTCTGCTCTTCATTGACACTGATTTCTCCAGCTGCCACCCTGTGTCCTCAACTCAGGGTGAAAGCAATATACTTGAGAGTATACAGTGAAGGAGCTGGAGAAGCAGGTTCTGCAAAAAGACACACACACACACACACACACACACACACACACACCTAGAAGTGAAGCAACAGCTGTTTTGACTGCGGGCTGCAAGGGTTTTTTGTGTGTTTTGTTTTGTTTTAGCAAACTCCTACTTCCTATATGTACAATAGAAGCTGCCTTTTAATGAGTAACGACAAATGGCCCATTCCGTCCAGGACCTTCCTACACTGGATGATAGTGGCAGTCTAGGTTTTCACATGGGGAGTCTCCTGGAGATGCTCCTGGGGGTTGGATTTGGGGCCTTCTGCACAAAAAAGCAGCCCTCTCCCTAAAAATAAAGTTAAAATTCTGAATAAAACAGGAACAAGTCAGACCAAAAAGCCATCTAGCTCCATACTGTCTACACAGATGGCAGTGGCACTCCAAAGCTTCAAGAGGAGTCTTTCCCCGCCCTTGCCTGGAGATGCCAATTGGGGATTGAACCTGGCACCTTCTGCATGCAAAGCAGGTATTCTACCACTGAGCTACAGCTCAGAGAAGTTATTCTTGTCATGAAGATGCCGTGATTGGAGGAAAAATAATGTCCCCTGCCTGAAATCCTGGAGTCACTGCTGCTGCCAGTCAGTATGGGCAATATGGAGCTAGATGGACCAATGTCTGACTCGCCACAAAGCTCTTAAATTGTTGCCTCTCTGGCTGCTGTTAAGAGGCACAGAAAGAGGACTGGGTGTTAAAAAAAAAAAAGAAATGCAAAGAATAGGCAGCAGGTCAGACAAAAAGAAAAAAAAGGAAAAATTAGTCATTTGTGAATGCTAAAAAAGTAGGGCAGCTAGGATAAGAGGAAGCCTGATTCGTTCTTCTTTGTTACTTTTTGAACTTGTGCCTCTCCAAACTGATTAATCTTTCAAAGAAGCCCAATTGACCAATCTCAGGATCAGGCAGCAAAGACACTTCGCAACTCCTTTTGAGCCTGTCCCAAGCAATTAATCAGCTGGAGAGGCACCAATGCTTTCAAACTCAAAGCAGCACATTAACAGCAGCAGCAGCAGCAGCAATAGGGGTCTTAGATAAAGTTAGCAGGCAGTTGGGATGGAAAAAACAACAACAGGGGAAGAGGGCTTTGTTTTTGAAGAGCCCGGCAGCAGCACACTCCTGTTGCGATAACTGACCCCTCTCTGCCCCTCCTGGGTACACGGAAGGATCTGATTGCTGCCTGGGAAACGGACTGCACTGATACTGAGCAGCACTTTGGGTGGGGAGGAAACCTATCTAAGGGACCTCTAGCTGCAGATGTCAAGCCTGGGTGCCACAGGACAGGACCACTAGTAGCCAGGTTGCTAGTGGGTAGTTTGCTGGAGGGAGCAAAGAAGCCCCTCTTTGCTCTGGGTCCAGGTGGTTTGCATAGGGCATAAAGAGCTGTCATATAGCAGTTGGGCAATTGGAATATTCTAGCTTTATATCCTTCGCACTGAGTGGCAGCTCTCTAGGGTCCAAGGTAAGGAGATTGTACTGGGGTTTGAACCTGGGACCTTCTGCATGCAGAGCACTGAGCTACAGCCCTCACCCCAAAATAATAGAGGATTCTGGCCCTCATGGTTCTAAACAAAGGTCTGAATTAACCAGGTAGGGCAGGAATTGCTCCCTGCCTGAAACCCTGAAGAGCTGCTATTAGTGTAGACAATGCTGAGCTGGTTGGACCAATGTCTCAGCATTGGGCAGCTTCCTGTATTTCCATTTAATTCAGCGCTTTGGTTCAGAACTCTTGAGGACTAGAAACTCCTCTCCACAAACACCCTGGTGAAGGGCTGGAGCTCAGTGGGAGCCCCATTCTCTGGCTCAGCAGAGGGCAGCTTCCTACGTACCCACTCCCACCAAGGGCTCGCGGCCACTAGAAGCCAAGGAGAAAAGGCAGCTTCAAGCAGCCAGCAAGAACCAGGCAGTGCCCCCATCCATACCTGGCAGGCAGGTGCACTCGTAGGTGGTGTCTCCGGTCTGCCGGCAGGTGCCTCCATTCTGGCAAGGCGAGGGGTTGCAGGGGACGTAAAGGTGCTCGCAGTTCTGTCCTGTGTAGGCCTGCCTGCAGTGGCACTGGTAGGAGCCCACCTCGTTGACGCAGGTGCCGCCGTTCTTGCAGATGGCGGGGGAGCGGCTGCACTCGTTGGTGTCCTCCTTGCACGTGGCCCCATGGAAGCCTGATGGGCACTTGCACACATAGGTCGATTCGAAGGGCACACACTGCCCACTGTTGGCACAAGGGTTGGAGGCGCAAGGGTCTGCCTGCTGGCACGTTTTGCCTAGGAAAGGGGCAAACACAGAACACAAGCTTCCTTTAGAGAAACATTCTGCAGCTCAACTGATTTGGGACTGATAATAACCTGGGATTGCTGGTGCTCAAAGACTTGCTGCCCGCTTACCTGACCATCCTGGAGGGCAGCGGCACTTGTATTCCGTCAGCGTGACAAGGTCACAGCTCCCTCCATTGTGGCAGGGGCTGCTGAGGCACGCGTTCTCCTCAGGAGTAAGGCACAGCTTGTCAGTGTAGCCTAGGTGGCAGGCACAGGTATACTCGGCCACGTTGCCACGGACGATGGGCTGGCAGGTGCCCGCATTCTTGCAGGGGTAGCTGAGACACGGGTTCTGCAGGTGGCACCGGCTGCCCACATGAGAGCTGGGGCACCTAGAGTGAGGAAGAAGGGGACACATCAGGACTAAGGAGGGTGGTGGCATGGCAGCATTTACCCAAAACAGCAACCCTCGATGGATACATTGCACCTCCATTGCCTCTGAATGCCAACCACAGGAGAGGAGACTGCAGTTGCACTCAGAACACATCAGTGTTTAAAATTCCCAAGGTGCATTTTGCTACTGGCGCAGGTCCAATTGCAACTATGTGGAGATTTCTGGGTGCAAGGTTGGCAACCACAATTTAAAAACCTTTGCCTTAGGCCATAGTTAATACCATTTCTGCTGTGTTGTGTTTCTCCTTGTATACTGGGACAAAGGAATTGTTGTAGAGCAAGCTATAGTCAAGCAATGTAGCTGAGATCATAGAATTGTAGAGTTGTAGTGTTGGAAGGGACCCCGAGGGACATCTAGTCCAACTCTCTGACAAGTAAGGCACTCCATTGTAGTGACCACAAACTAGGTTTAAGGTGACCATTGGTGCCTAACATATATCTAACACTGCTTCCCATTGGGGCATCTGGTTAGCCAACGTGAAGGTCTACCATAAGAGGTCTACCATAAGAGCAGAACCTCCATCCCCAGGAGCAGTCTAGCTCTGAATACCAGTTGTTGAGAATCACAAGTGGGGAGAGTTGCTGTGTGCTCAGGTCTTGCCTGTGGGCTTCCCATAATAGGCATTTGGACACCCACTGTGAGCACAGGGTGCTGGGGGGGGGCCCTTTGGCCATATCCAGAATCTAGCAATGAATACTCAACTGGTAGTAGGAGGTCTTCCAGGAGACTTTTCCCAACATGTTTCAGGTACCTCAGCAATCCATACAATGCTCAGGGCAACTGGTTGGTGGGGCTGATTCAACCCCTCCCAGCATTCTGCATGAAGAGGAAGGGGTTGTGCCCCCAAACTATCACCTCCTGCAGCCCATGTCTGCAATTGACCCCTGCCACCTGAAAAAAATGTCCTCTCATTTCCAGGACAGGACAGGTAACCTGTATATTCCACAGGGCCACAACAGGCTTTTTGTTACCTCTTGTCACACATTTGTGGGTTTCTCTTGGATTTATAGCCCATCCCATTCAAAAGGTTCTAGGTGGGAAGCAACACATTTAAAAACAGCTGAATAAACTGTTACTGGGGACACAAGAAGAAGAAAGAAGGAGGGCAGGGCCTCAAGGCTGTAAATTCTTAACAGCCCTGCCAGATTCCATTAAAAGCCCCCTGCTTCTCGTCTCCACAGTGGCTAGACAGATGCTTCTAGGGAGTCCTCAGACAGGGCAGAAACTCAACAGGCTTCTTTGCTTCCCACCGGCCCAGTAACTGATACTTGGAGGTAGACTACCTTGGAATGTGGAGGTTCCACTGAGCTGTCATACCTCATAGCCGTGAATAAATGTGTCCCCCTCCTTGAATTTTGTCCAGCCCCCTTTTAACAACTACTGGCCCTTATGTCCTGCGGAAAGCAGCCATCTCACAATTTGCACTTGCCCCCAGACTTGCTGCAAATCAATTTCACTGAATGACTCCTGGGTTCTGATGTTATGACAAGAGACAGGGGTCACTGCACAAGATAAAGGCAGGCTTCCCACAGAAGTGAAACTCAATCCCCTGGGTTTTTAAATCACAAACTACCCTCAGCTCCTGCAAAGACCTGAGCTGGAGAATCACAAGCAATCCATCAACTGTCCAAGCCTTCCACAGCCCATGGGAACCCTTTTTTCACATGCACCTTAGGCACCCCTTTCACACCCTGGCCACACACTCCCCCCCAATGCCCACGAACCACCTGCCCCAACTCCTCCCAGAGCCACCAAGGGAGCTATAAATCTCCCAGCCTTCAAAGAGGCAGCTCCAAAGATCAAAGAGCCATCCCTGAGAAATCACACCCTTTTTTGCTGCTGGACTAGATGGGCCATTGTCCTGATCCAGCAGGCCGTTCTTACGTTCTTACGCAATGGAAGTCAAAGAGCGAGGGGCCCACTCTGCGCTTGTCAACAGGTGAAGCAGCCCCCACCCCTATTGGGTGCACAACCTTCGAGACAACTGCTTCGCCGTTCTCTTCAACTATAAGCTCCCTTCCAAAAGTTGTTACCTACAGCTAAAAAGGCAGGAAAGAAGGCTCCCCCCCCCCAAATGCAACATATGCCAGATTATCTAAGTGTGAAAGCGCTTCCATTTTTATTTTCTCTCTTTCTTTCAAAAAAATAGAGACATCCTAGCAGCAAACACACCCATCCATCAAGTGGTCACTGGCAGAGCCATCTGTTACCAGAAGCCAAAAGGGCCAGCTCGTTAATAAAAGAGAGAGACCCTAAACAAAACAAGGCAGCATGTGACACAAACACATATGGGCCAGAGAAAGAGGCGGATTTGCAGATGTGAGTATTCCATGGAAAAAGATGCTCTGAGATTCCAGAAAGCTACAATCATTATTTTAAACTAGGAGAAAGTCTTTCAGCAGCAAAATCCTGTGCAGCTTGAATATTTCTTGCGGCCTCAAGTTTCAGTGCTTTGGGTGAAAGGAAGGTATTTTAAGGATAGACTAGCAAAAAGGTGGCAGTTTCTTTTCCTGCAGAGGGCTGCAGTGGTGATGTGGGCTGGAATTCTGGAGAGTCAAAAACAGCCCTGCAATATAACCATTGCAGCATTATCCCTGGTGTGGGTGGGAGGATGGAGAAACACTCCAGAGCCCCCATCTCTAACGTGGGCATTACATCATGTGCAAAAAAAAAGATTTATTTTAAGTTCCGAATGCTTTTTTAAAAGAGCATCCAGTCTGTGTGCAAGCACCTTCCCAAGTACCAACCACCTCGGACCCTGCGATTGTCTAGTGAAGGCTTGTTGGGAGCTGCTTAGTTGGTGCTGACCTGTGACTGGGCCTTTTCAGTGATGGCTCCCCAGCTGCAGAATGCCCGCCCTAGTGGGGTGCAGCTGTCTCCATTATTATAAGCTTTTCAGGAGGAAATTGAAAACATTCCTGCTTACCCCAGCCCTTAGGAGGCGGAAGACAGCTGCTCCAGGAAGCCTCATGCTAATAGGATGGAAGAATGTTTTTTAACTGGAGTTGTTTTTAGAATGCTTTTGCTTTGGTTTTAAATGGTTTATCTGTTTGCCACCCTGGGCTGCTTAGGGAGGAAGGACAGGGTATAAATTGAATTAAACAACCACCATCACCACCAGTACGAGGCCTCTCCAAGCAATTCAAATGCTTGGTTTGGTCTGAATGGGGCAATTTAATATTCCTGCCTCTGGCCTGGAACACTTAAATGTGGACTACACTGCTGGGCTGTTCTGAGCAACTCTCTTTGAAACATAGCATTCCTACCTGCAATGCTGGCATAACAGAACTACACTACAGGGCTGTTATAGACGGCTCCCTTGTCCCAAGAGAACAATGGACAACATGGCAGGAACACTGTGGGCTCCTCTCTCAGCTTTAGCCTAACACCCCACAACTTAAGAAGATGGAGGGGAGGGTCAGGCCCCTCAGGACTGTTGTGAGGATAAAATAGGGAGGAGGAGACCCACGTACACCAGCTTGAGCCCCTTGAAGCGAAGAAGGTGGGATAAAAATGCAATAAAAAGATAATAAATAAATCCACCGGATTCAGGACATAGAAGCCAATTCTGGTTCAGAGGCTGAACATGGCCCTTTGCAAGTGAAACTCTGCCTGTATGGTAGGGAGAAAACAGAGAAAAGGTGTCCTGTGTACCATAATTCCCCTCTTTCTTTTCCTTTTTTTCCGCAAGGCTGGTTACATGTCAACCCAAAGAGTTCAAAGGCGGCAAATGAAGGCCCATCCTGTGCCACAGATGCCCGAACAAAGGGCCAGGAGACAGGTGGGTTTGTGCTAGCCAGGTGTTGACAGGGGCTGTCTTGGGAATATCCCTTTGATTACAATGATGGCGATTATTATTAAGAAGCGCCCTGTGTCTGGATTCTGGAAAGAGAGAGGGAGGGAAAGTTCCCTCCTCTCTCTCTCTCTCTCCTTCTCCTCACCGTTCTCAACTCCCTGCACCCGCCATCTAACTTTGCCACGACTCTGCCATCCTGCACAAAGAGGACTGCAGCTGGCTTCAGCCCCAGCCTGCTCTTGCATTCATGGAGAATAAGCAGCACTTTACACAGGGGGATGGGATGTAGCAAAACTGCCACAACATGGAAGGGCAGCCTTTTGAGGCACAGCCCATTCTGCTAGGGCAGCTGCAGGGTGAGTGCCAAGAGCTTTCCCCGCTGCCACCCACAGATCACCGCGTGGGGTGCTGGAGGCATTTCAGGCAAAACTGGTAACCGCCAATTTAGCCTCACAGCCAGTGTGGTCTATGGCCAGGAGTGATGATTTGGAGCCATCATCCTGCAACATCTGGAGGGCAACAGATGCCCCGCACCAGATAAAATCTCCTCTACCCACCCAGAACCATGCTGGTCATTTGCCACCTAAGATTGCTCAAGGCTCCACAGGATCAGCCCCTTGCAGCATCTCCAGGGAGGGCTGGTAAAGCCTTCCTGCCTGATCCTTGAGAGATACTGCTGCCAGTCAGCGTTGGAAGGACTGAGCTGAAATAACGATGGTTTGACTTGACGCAAGCGCAGCTCCCTCTGTGTCCTTGCACTGTTGCTATTATGGGGCTTCAAAACTGCTCGGCTTTGGGTGGTCCACATTCAACACTTTGAAGACCTGGGAGGCCAAAATGTGTCCAGATGATATCAATAAAAAACCCTATTAATGTGATTTTTCTTCTTTTGAAATTTTAATAAATATTATTTTAAAAAAAACAAAAACCCTGGGGGGGCAGCAAAAACACCAAGTGGGAGACCAAGGCAGGAAGTAGGTCAGCAGAACCAGCTGATCCAGAGGGAGCAAGGAAACCAAACCCCCAAATGTCCTTCATGCAAATGGAGAGAGCAAAGGAAGGAGGCAGCCAGCAGCCACCCCTTCCTCCTCCAGCTCCACAAACTCCCAAGCTCCCATTGTTTGGGGTCCTTGTGTTTGTGAGAATCCGAGGACATTTCAAGTTAATGAGATGGCATGAGCCAGGCCCAGTGAAAAGTGGGCATAACAGAAAGAGAAGGAGGAGGGGAAGAAGGGGAGGGGGGAGGAAAAAAGGAAAGCAGGGCATCTGCTGGGCAGACAAAAGGGTGCCAGGAGCAGGTGCGCATGTTAATTAGAGGGTCAGAGCAGCTGCTCTCCCGCTCACCAGCCAATGTGCTGTTCCAGAGGACCGAATGCTGCAGGGAAGGGGGAACTGCAGGGGGCTGGGCACACACACACGCGCACACACACACACACACACACACACACACACACACACTGCTCTGTTAGGGAATTCAGCTGCCTGCTTTGGCGCTGCTCAGGGGAAAGGCACCAGCGAGATGGAGGCACAGGGCAGCAATGGAGGCATCCCGAGGATGGCGGCTGCAGGGCTGCTGCTGCATGTGTGGCTACCAGCAGCTGCACCCTCTGGCACTTCCTGCGGTGGCTCCCTCTCTTCCTTCTCATAAGCACAGATTGGAGAAGCAAATCACCCCAAGTGAATGGCGCTGGCATTAAAGAGTGTGTGAAGTGGGAGAGGTTTGTGAGTTGTTTAAGGGAAGTAGCAAACTTCCTTATTTCAGCAGCCCACAGCTGGGTATCTGTCTGCATTGGGGCCAACCAAAAGAAGTCACGAAAACAGCTGAAGGTCACAAGTTCCCCAGAGCTCCTGCTTGAATAAGTTAATGCAGCGCACATCTGAACTACGGAACTCCCTCCTGCAGGAGGCAGTGAAAGGCACCAGCTTGGATGGATTTAAAGAGACTCATGGAGGAGAATAAGGCTAGCAATAACTACAACTACTACCACCTCCATCGTTCTGCCCAGACACTGAGGTCCAGCACCGAGGGCCTTCTGGCGGTTCCCTCGCTGCGAGAAGCCAAGTTACAGGGAACCAGGCAGAGGGCCTTCTTGGTAGTGGTGCCCGCCCTGTGGAACGCCCTCCCACCAGTTGTCAAAGAGAAAAATAACTACCAAACTTTTAAGACATCTAAAGGCAGCCCTGTTTAGGGAAGATTTAATGTTTAATAGGTTATTGTATTTTAGTGTTTTGTTGGAAGCCGCCCAGAGTGGCTGGGGGGACCCAGCCAGATGGGCGGGGTATAAATAATAAATTTATTATTATTATTATTATTATTATTACTACTACTACTACTAGCCATGGGGGTTATACTGTGCTCCCATGGTCAGCGGCAACAATGCTTTTGAATAGAAATTTCTGGAGACAACATGAGGGTGAGTGCTCTTGTGCTCAGGCCCTGCTTGCACATTTCTCTGGCATCTGGTTGGCCACCATGAGAGGAGGACGCTGGACGAGGTGGGCCACAGGCCTGAGCCAACAGGAACCCTCTTAGGTTTCTCCTCCACTGTTGGAGGCAGTAAGCCTCTGAATACCAGTTGCAGCAAACTGCAGGAGGGGAGAGAGTTGCTCTTGTTCTCAGGTCCTGCTTGTGGGCTTCCCATAATGGGCATCTGGTTGGATCCTGTGAGAACAGGATGCTGGACTACATGGGCTACTGGCCTGATCCAGCAGCCAGGCTCTTCTTTCTTATACAAATGCAGGCCACCTGATGAAGAGTTCTGGAAGTCTCAAAAGCTTGTCACATTTCTTGAACAACTTTTTGGCCGATACTATCTTACTGCGGACACTCTCCGGACCGACTCGGTTCCACAGATGTTGTCTGTGCAGCAGTATGCCAGCCAGCCAGCAGTGCTCGCAAATTACGCTGTGCGCCACGTCTGGGAGTAATTTTTCTCTTCTACATTTCCCACGAACTTTACTAGTAAGGAAAATTGCCTCATATTTGTGAGCCACTTGCAGGAAATGCTCTCATGTCTTTACAAATAACAATGAAAAAACCATACTTTGCCTCGGTAATGGACTGGATGAGAGCCAACAGACTGAAACTCAATCCAGATAAGATTGAGGCACTGTTAGTGGGTGGTTCCCTAGACCAGATGGGTGGGAAATCGCCTGCTCTTGATGGGGTTATACTTCCCCTGAAGGAGCAGGTTCGTAGCTTGGGGATACTGCTGGATCCTTTGCTGTTGCTCAAGGTTCAGGTGGCCTCAGTGGCCCAGAGTGCCTTCCATCAGCTTAGGCTGGTGGCCCAACTATACCCCATCTGCACAGGGATAGCCTAACATCTTTCATCTATGCTCTGGTAACCTCAAGGTTAGATTACACAATGCATTATATGTAGGGTTACTTCTGAAGATGGTTCGGAAACTTCAGCTAGTGCAGAATTCACCGGCCAGGTTGCTCACTGGAGCAAGATGGTTTGAGCATATAATATTACATCGATCCTGGTCCGACAGCACTGGCTAACAATTTGTTTCCTGGCCCAATTCAAAGTGCTGGTTTTGACTTATAAAGCCTTAAACAGCTCAGGACCGCTATACCTCAAGGACCGCCTCTTTCCATATGAGCTTACCTGGACCCTGAGATCATCTTCTGAGGCCCTTGTTTGTGTGCTTCCTCCCCGAGAGGTCTGGAGGGTGGCAACACGAGAACGGGACTTCTCTGCAGTGGCTCCCCATCTGTGGAAAGCTCTCCCAGGGAAGTTTACCTGGCGCCTTCATTATACATCTATAGGTACCAGGCAAAAACGATCTTTTTAAACCAGGCCTTTGGTTGATTTGATTGACATCCTATGCCCTTTTAAAATGTGGGGGTTTTTTGGTGTGTGTGTAGGGGGGTGTTATTGGGTGGTTGTTTTTATTTTTATTATATATTTTGTGGTTTTATATATTTTGATCTTGTTCTGTGAACTGCTCTGAGACCTCCAGGTATAGGGCGGTATATAAATTCAATAAATAAATAATAATAATTAAAAAATAATAATACTATAGACATCATTGGAGGTGCAAATCCTTGCAAAATCCATGTAGTTTGGGCTTAGCCAAACTATGGATCCAGGGGGCAAAGATTCTCTTAGTAACAATAACAAAAAATACAGTAAAGGCTTGCAAAGCCACCCTCTACACTGCGAGTACGACTAGCAACAATTACAATCCAGCAGCTTTAATTTTATGATATGATATTCTCTGATTTATGATGGTTAATAAACTACTTTCCCATCCACACACTTTTTTTTTAATCACATGTTTCTTCCCCATTTTCTGTATTGGGCTGTCATCAGGTCAAACCATATTTGAATGCTGATTTTAAATTTGTTTTAATTTATGTGTTTTAATTATTGTTCTTACCTAGTTTATTTTTATTGCTTTGTATTTATTACAATGACACTTCTAAAATGTTGGAAGCTGCCTTGAATGCCAAATAGGGAGAAATGTTAGATATAAATACATTAAACAAAGAAAGAAATAGGACGATAGCTAAGATGGTAGAGAATGAGACTCTTAATCTCTGGGTCATGGGGTCGAGCCCTACACTGGGGAAAAGACTGCTGCATTGCAGGGGGTTGGACTAGATGACCCTTGTGGTCTCTTCCAACTCTACAGTTCTATGATTCTTGGGGAAAATTCCCCTCCCTCATTCCCTACTGGAATGTAATGCGGTTTGGCTTAAAACGAAAACAATTAACACCTGGATCTACTGAATGAAATTTGTGCCTTATAGACATTTAAATTAAAATGCATTGGTTGGGCGGGGGGGAGGTGAATCCCTCCACAGACAGGAGGAGGCAAGACAGTAGCTAGGTCTCTGGGTGGACGAGGCAAGCATTCAGACACCCTCAAAGATCAGAGCATGGGTCAGGAAGGTTTATCTTGCCTGGGCCAGATTGGTCCCGTAGAGATCCCTCTGTGGGCTGGATCATGTGTGAGCGTGAGCGAGCGTGCCCGCGAATGCACATGCGCAGATGCAATTTCCAGTGCCATAGAAGCAAGTCCCCATGCCTCACTGCGCCACTTTAGTGCAGCGCGTGAGTGGGCAGCGCAGTTGGGGGGCGGCTCGTGGGCCAGTCAAATGACCTCTGCGGGTCACTTCTGGCCCATGGGCCTTAGGTTGCTGACCCTGGTCCAGAGTAATAGTGCTTGACTCCATTTGGTTGTCTTACTGAGCATCTCCCAACCTGTTCCCCTGCGATAAAGGCTCTTGCTTATCTGCTGGAGAGGTTGGCTCTTAACCCTCCAGTGGATTGAAGATCTGCTGCAGATAAACACCAGATAAGCTCATGGCATATCTATCTGCCCTGGTGAAGATCTTCCGTTGGAAACTAAACCGTTGCATTGACCCACCATTCCTAGAATGTGCATGTGTGTTGTGTGTCTATAAAAACAAGCATAGCTCTCTGTGGCCCCAATGCCTGCAAATAAAAGCTTGGAAACCTGTGTGGGAAGAGGGTGCTTCAATTCTCAGAAGTCCAAACAAGGCTGAAGAAAGCTTTCTGGTGGTATGCAGAGCAGGGAGGCAAACTGTCGCATCCTGTCAAAGCTCTTTGTGGCTCCGGGGCCCTTCCATTACCTCCCATCACATCAGGACATGACATTTAATCTAAGAATGCCACAGCACCCACCCGTCAGCTTCCCGCGTAGGGCTTTGCCAACAAAGTATTTCTTTTAAAAGCACAATCTTGGAACTACCACAACAAAACTACCCATAAATGCAGGTGCTTAATCTAATCTGTTCACCAAATTTTGGGCTTTTCTTTTGAAAACTGGCTCTGTGTGCAGTGAGCTTGGTGTATAATTTCTGCTAACACATCACAGTTTGTAGTGCAGGCTGTAGGCAACGGTGTTGGGCACTGGAAGAAGAGTTGCCTTGGTCATGTTGGCAAAGGAGGCTCTGATTTTTCTGAGCGCAGCAGTGCAATTTGGCAAAAGCGTGTGTGTAGGTGCACACATTAATTGATCTGCCTGGTGGTGCTTCCAATCGAATGGAATCACAGAACTGCAGAGTTGGAAGGGACCCCAAGGGGTCATTTAGTCCAACCCCCTGCAATGCAGGAATCCGAACTAAAGCATCTATGACGGATGGCCGTCCAACCTCTGCTTAAAAACCTCCAAGGAAAGAGGGATAATCCACCACCTTCTGAAGGAATCTGTTCCACTTATTGTCAGAAAGTTCTTCCTGGTGTTTAGTTGAAATCTCCTTTCTTGTAACTTTTAGCCACTAGTTTGGATTCTACCCTCCAGAGCAGGAGAAAACAAGATACAGACACACACACACACACACACACACACACACACACACACACACACAATTTGTACCTATGTGGACAGTGCTTCATGCATTTGATGACATGGTCTCTGGCCCAGGAAAGTGCACTCTACTAGCAGTGCATATGAAAAGGATCTAGAGGTTCTTAGTGGACCACAAGCTCAACAGTGTGATGCAGCAGCAAAATAAGCTAATGCTATTCTAGGCTGCATCAACTGAAGAATAGGCCAAGGGAAGGAATAGTCCCGCTGCTTTATTCTGCTGTGGTTAGACCACACCTGTGTCTGAATTCTGGGCACCACAATTTAAGGAAGATGTTGACAAGCTGGAACATGTACAGAGGAGGGTAACCAAGATGATGAGGGATCTGGAAACCAAGTCTTATGAGGAATGGTTGAAGGAGCTGGGTATGTGTAGCCTGGAAAAGAGGAGTCTAAGAGAAGACCTAGTAGCCGTCTTCAAATATATAAAGGGCTGTCCCATGGAAGACGGAACCAGCTTGTTTTCTACTGCTCTGGAGGGTAGGACTCTCAATGGCTTCAAGTTACAAGAAAGGAGATTACGACTAAATGTCAGGAAGAACTAGCTGTGGAATGGACTCCCACAGAACATGGTGGACTCTCCTTCATTGAAGGTTTTTAAGCAGAGGTTTGACGGCCATCTGTCATGGATGCTTTAGCTAAGATTCCTGCATCACAGGAGGTTCCAACTCTACAATTCCACGATTCTACAAATATACGTGTTGCGTCTTTCAAAATGCCACAAGATTCTCAAACATTTCTGCTGTAACAAACTGGGTGCATCCTGGAACTGGCTCTCTGCTTTTCTTAGGTGGCGTTTGTTGGAAACAAGGGAGATCTTAGCTGGTGCCTGTTGCACTTCACCAAAATGTGCAGTCTGAGTTAAGAGGCAACAGCATTTCTCACAAATTCTCCTATAAAATTCATTTCGAAGAAGAGACCTGTTGGATCCGTCCAATTGTCCGTCTAGCCCAACATCCTGTTCTCACAGTAGCTGACCAAATGCCCCAAAGGGAAACCCAAAAGCAGCACCTGAGCACAAGAGCACCCTTCCCCTTCTGTGGTTTCCAACAGCTGGTATTCAGAAACATTACTGCCTCTGACTCTGGAGGCAGAGCATAGCCATTGTGGCTAGTGGCTATCGGTGGCCTTATCCTCTCCATGAATTTGCCTAATCTTCTTTTAAAGCCATCCAAAATGCACAAGTGAGTTCTATAGTTTAACTATGCACTATGTGATGAAGGACGTTCTTTTACATGTCCTGAATCTTCCAACATACAGCTTTGTTGGATGCCCATGAGTTCTAGGTTTAGGAGAGGGAGGAAATATTTCCCCAACTCCAGCTTTGTGCCGCCCCCACATAGTTTTATAAGTGAGAATGCTAGCTACCCCTTTGGGCAACTGCCTGCTTGACCTCTAGGGAAACTCATAATGGCAAAGCCCAATACTTTTCCTGAATTAAAACTGAAACAGAGGCGACAATCCTCTGGCAGTCTGGAGCCTGTTTGACAAAACGCCGCCCCCCTCCCCGCCTTTTGTTCTCTTATTTCAATATTTCCACTGTTTTTCGGGGCTTTTCTGCCTTTCTACCAGCAACAGGTTTTGTCTCCCCTACACTCTCCCTGTATAGAAATGCCGTCTCCTAACACAACCCCAGGCAGATGTTTTGCTGACCTTTAACCCGCAATCAATTCAAGAGGTTCACCGTTTTTCTTTCACAGCCTCCAGCTCACCATCTGCCACCCCAGGGACAGATGCCACGCACACGCACCCCCACACATCGCACACTCTCTCCCCCCCTTAAAAAAAGCCTCACAGTCCATTTCATTCTGCCCTTTTCTCAGAGCGGGGGGAGTCCCTATTCCCACCTTACGATGGATAAGCCCACTGCCAATCTGACACAGAAATCAAAAGGTCCATCACGGGACAAGAGAAAGCGTGAATTCAGGAGGGGGGAATCTGTCTGCAAAGAAAGAAGTTTCCCATGGACCATAAGGCATCCCAGCTCCAAGCCTCCCTCCCTCAAACTAATTCTGATTCATTCATTTTTAAAACTGCCTGTCTGTTCAACTTGAGGCTTGTTTGTTTTTACCAGGAAGGAACACAGAAAGTTGAGGAGCGAAAGCTATACAAAAAGGCCTAGTCAAACCAAATACAGTGGTACCTCGGGTTAAGTACTCAATTTGTTCCGGAGGTCCATACTTAACCTGAAACAGTTCTTAACCTGAAGCACCACTTTAGCTAATGGGGCCTCCTGCTGCTGCCGCGCCACCGGAGCACAATTTCTGTTCTCATCCTGAAGCAAAGTTCTTAACCTGAAGCAATATTTCTGGGTTAACGGAGTCTGTAACCTGAAGCGTATGTAACCCGAGGTATGCTGTACCTTTTAGCAACAATGGAAGTTACGATCTTATTGGACCCAAGAAGAAGGAAAAGCAGGGGAGTGGGATCGAGAAAACTGGTTAGGAAGGGGCAGTGTCTCTGTGAACTGGCTGGGCCCACCAGATTAAATCAGGATTCGAAGTTAATTCTCAAACTGAGGGGGGTGAGGGCTTTTCTGACTAAGGCCCCACTATACATTCGAACCTGCATCATATCACTTTTGCGGCTTCCTCTAAAGAATCCTAGGAGCTGTAGTTTGTTCAGGGTGATGTTAGGATCTCCCCCCCCCATATTCCCCTCACAGAGCTACAATATTCACAGAATGTCTTCTCAATCAATCTCTCCTCATGAGGAACTGTGGGAGTTGTAGCTCTGGGAGGGAAGTACAAATTGCTGCATCTTAAACAAGCTACAGTTCCCAGGGTTCTTTGAGAGAAGCCATGACTCTTTAAAGCAGGATCATACTTTAAATGTGCATGTGGGGCCTACGAAGCAGTTCCTACTTGCACTGGGAAAATAACATTTCACTCTGCCTCAGTGAGACTCTCTGAAGTATGGGCAGGATTGAACATCTTGGGTTAACCCTTAAAGTCCAATGGATAGACTGTGCTAACTTTGGTCCAACAGTGGCTACAACCCAGTGCTTTCCAATGGATCTTGTAGGTTTCATACTTCATAAGAACAAAGGAAGAGCTTGAAGGATAAGGCCAAAGGAGACTCATCTAGTCCAGCATCCTCATCTCACAGTGGCCAACCAGATGCCTGTGGGAAAATAGCAAGCAGGATTGGAGCACAAGAACCCCCTTCTCTCCTGTGGTTTCCAGAAACTGAATTTCTGTACCATCAGTGTGCAGGCAGTGTCCTGGCTAACAGCCATTACAGTGGTACCTCGGTTTACATACGCTTCAGGTTACATACGCTACAGGTTACAGACTCCGCTAACCCAGAAATAGTACCTCGGGTTAAGAACTTTGCTTCAGGATGAGAACAGAAATTGTGCTCCAGCGGCGCGGCGGCAGCGGGAGGCCCCATTAGCTAAAGTGGTGCTTCAGGTTAAGAACGGACCTCCGGAACGAATTAAGTACTTAACCCGAGGTACCACTGTAATAGCCCTCTCCTCCATGAATTCATCTGATCCTCTTAACACCATCTAGGTTGGTTGCCATCATTGCCTCCTGTGGGAATGAGTTCCACAGTTTAACTATGCCCTGAATGAAGAAGCACCACACATTAAGTGAGATCAGCGCTTGTGTGAACCAATGACTTGGATCGATTTCTAAGAAAGTTCTAGGATTGCAAACTAAATGCCCCTCTAAAAAATTTTTCCACACCCAATCCTGATAAATCTCTGTCATAGAAGCTGCTGCTCCCCAAAATCTTTATCTGTTGGAATCATATTGGCTCTGCCTGCCCCCCCCATGGTAAAACAACTCAAGGGGAAGTCTGGGAATAGAAAGGTCACTGCCTTTTAATTACACCCCCCGCCCGCCTCCACATTAATTAAGCACTAAGAGTTTCCACCTCTGCCGTTCTGACAACTGGGAACCCTCCCAGGTGAGCTGCCAGCCCAGCTCCGTAGCTGACAGCTGCACTCTCCCCAGCAAATTCCCTAAGTCCTCCTGATTACAGGTATCACCTGGTGGAGATTATAGAGCCCTTCTGCTGCTCCAGGTGCCGTTTTATGGCCCTGCCACCTAGCCCTGTATCTGGAAAGTGCTTAATGATTGATCCATGCAGAGGCTCAAAGTTTGAAGCTGGCTGTAAAAGTCAACAGAAAAAGTGCCTCTCTCTCCACTCTCTGTCCCAGGATGTGCCGCCCCCCACCGCCCCGAGGAAAGTTTGGCACTTCTACTCTTGGGTGTTTATAAAGATTAAAATATAAGGGCTTCTTTCCTCCCATGCCTGGGAGAACTGGGAGGAATATTCTGCAAGAAGAGAAAATAGGTTTCTCAGCAATCCAGTACAGATATCGCCTGCCTGAGGTCTAGCAAGTGTTTTATGACACCCATCAAAAGGGGTTGCCGCTCTCCATAAACTGCCTACAGCCACTCCAGGAGCAACAAAAATTGGGGGAAAGGCTGTAGCTGGGCGGTGGAGCATCTGCTTTGCATGCAGAAGGTCCCAGGTTCACTCGCCCGGGGCATCGGCAGGTAAAGCTGGGAAAATACTCCCTGCCTTAAGTCCCGTAGACAAAACTTAGCTGCGTGGATCACTGATAGGGTCTGACTCAGCAGAAGGCAGCTTCCTTTGGTCCCCAAAAGTGGGAGATGTGCCCCTAAAACAGTAGTCTTCAACCTTTTTAGACCCAGAATCCAAACATGCATCTAGGGACCCATTTCTTGACCTTTTGCTGGTGGCCGTGCTCCTGTTGCATACCACTAGTATGGTGGTTCTCAAAGGGTGTGACGCGCCATACTGGTGTGGCAGGAGAGGATGGCAAGTGTGGTGGGGAGTTTAAAGCCAATCAAAGGAGCATTTAAACAGTTCAGTGTAGTTTAGTGCTGTGTAGTACAGGCGGCAACCATTTTGTGTGCGCCCAGTTTGACTTCTCCAGCCCAAACAAGCATCAACCCAAGTTTACAGTGGACCCATCCTCAAAGAGAACTTTGTTGGCCACTGTATGAACAGGATGCTGGACTAGGTGGGCTGTTGGCCTTATCTAGAAGCCAGACTCTCTTAGATCCTTTCTTAGAAAGTTGCAGAGGCTCTCAATCAGGCAAGGCGGAGCCGCTTGCCGCTTGTGGAGAGCTAATCTGTGCTGCCAGGGAGTCTTTCATCAGTTATCCCAGATAAGATAGCTCAATCTCATGACTCAGAGCCTCTCCTTCCAAGCAGTTCCTGTGATTCCAGCACACGCTAGGAAAGGAATCAAGGGCTCTGAGCTTCTTGTCTCCACTAAAGCTGCATAGATCTGGATTTGCCATGAGTTTCTTAAATTTAAGAACATAAGAGCCTGCTGGATCAGGTCAAAAGGAAGCCCATCTAGTCCAGCATCTTGTTCTCACAGTGGCCAACCAACCAGGTGCCTCTTCTGGGAAATCTGCAGGCAGGATCCAAGTACAAAGCAACTCTCCCTTCCTACCATTTTCCAGCAACTGGTTTTCAGAAGCATGCCTGCCTCCAACCCTGGAGGCAGAGCACAGCCATCATGGCTAGTAGCTATCAACAGCCTTCTCCTCCTCCATGGGAGTTACCAATACTATTTTTAAGCCGTCTAAGTTGGTGGCCGTCACTGATGCCTGTGGGTGGCAGTTCCATAATTCAGCTGCGCACTGCATGAACCTATGGGTGGAGGAGTTCTGCATGGTTTTGTACCTTTTTGGTCTGACCTCAAGCAAGGAGGAACATGGTGGAGGACCCCTCCGCCCTTGACTTACAAATGAATATGGCTGATATAGTAACTTTTGGATACAGTGGAACCTGTGAATACTGCATTTGGATACAGTGGAACCTTGGTTCTTGAACTTAATCTGTTCCGGAGGTCTGTTCAACTCCTGAAACCGTTCAAAAACCAAGCCAAAGCTTCTCATTGGCTGCAGGAACTTCCTGCACTCAAGCAGAAGCCACGTCGGATATTTGGCTTACGAAAAACGTTTGCAAACCGGAACACTTACTTCCGGGTTTTCGGCATTCAGGAGCTAAAACATACAAGTACCAAGGCGTTCGAGAACCAAGGTACGTATGCCATGAATAGATCCAGTTGCTACATTCCACACATTCGTATGCTTGTGGTTTATTTTTATTTGTTTTATGTCTGGTTTTTGTTCAATAGTGATCTGTAATTGCATATGGACTGTGCATATTGTCAACCTCTCTTAAAGCCATCCAAGTTGAGGCCATAACTGCCTCTTGTGGGAGAGAGTTCTGTAGTTAAAATTCTGCGCTGCGTGAAGAAGTACTTCCTATTATGCATCCTGAATCTCCAAAAACATCAGCTTGATTAGAGGTCCACGAGTTCCAGTGTTAGAAGAGAGGGAGAAAAGCTAGATGTGGAAAAGGCCAAGGGTTGGCTAGAAGTCACCTTGTACCCATTAAAGAGCAACAGCGCAGAACCCTGCCCTCTGCTTTCTGAGCCTATGCCAAGTGTGGTTTTCACCCCACATTCCCAGATCATTTCTTGAGACCTCAAAATTTCATTTGAAAAGGAAAAAAGCAAGCTGTAATTCACAGGGTTGAAAATTATGCCCAAAGACATTCAGAGACTCGCATATACAGGGTTAATATTCAAAGACTTGAAGACAAGAGATTCTTCTTAGATTTTTTTTTTAAAGAAAGAAAGAAAAGGGGATGGATGCAAATGATCATTCATAATCCCTTCAGTTGGCAAAGGAGTATTTCTGCTGTGAATGGAACCTTGTAGATGCTTCATTCAAAAGCAGTTCCTCTCTTCCAACCCCAACCCCCCCCTGCCCCATTCAGAGACAGACACAAACTGTGATTCTCCCCACACACGCCTTTTATCAGTGGGGACTGTACTGTCTTTTCATTACAATAGGGACTCCCAATTCTTAAAAAAAACTTTTAAAAAAACTTGGGTGACATTTGCCTACATAACAGCACTGAGGATTTATTCCATACATCCCTCCCTGCCCCACTTGGGATGGAGGAAGGAAAACAATTCTAAGTTGCACACAAATTGGAAAAGAAACACTCCCAAACTTTCACCATAAATGGTAGACATGGGTTTTTGTTGTTGATGATGATAAAAGTTCGCAATTCTGTCTGCAATTTGTTTTTAATTAAGAATGGGTTTTTTTGTGGGGGGGGGACGACCGCAAACACGACCAAAGAGGCAGCTTTTTTTAAAAAAAAAAAAAACACCGTCTGCCATTCATAACTCCCACCTTGCATTTTGCCACTGCTTAATTGTGTCCCCCGCCCCCTGCCGATGGCATCCTGGAGTGTTTTAATAAACTTGGATCTGGATGTCTGATGGATTTAATTTTGCACTGCTGTAGGGCAATAGCTGGAGCAATTGTATCTGGGCTAGCTGGTCTAGACTTTCTAAAAGGGAAGAGCAAGGTGGGGGGATTTAAAGGAGGAGGGGATTGTTAAGAAATGTGGCCCCGAACTCAGGCTGCTTTGTGGTGCTGTGGAGCATTGATGGAGGGATGGTTCTGTTTTTGAGACAAGACCACCTCCCCAACTATTAACATGTGGCCCAAGGACTGATGTCAAAACCAAACTAACTATTTCCTAACAGTTGCTGTCACCAGAAACAAAAAACTGCACAATCTTTCATCAGCAGATGAGTCAGATGGCATACCAAGCAACTGAGAGAACATTTGAAAGGGGGTTAAGTAGAGAACTCCGGACAGTCAGAAGTATAAAAGCAAACCACTAGAAATGAACATGGTTTTTGTTTTGTGTTTTTGTTGTTTATTACCTATCCTTCCCCCCTAAGGTTCCAGGACAGGTGACAACATTAAAAGCCGCTTAAAACAAGTTATAAAAACAAGGTGGGTGCTAACAAGTGTTGTTGTCTGTTTTTTCCTCAAGCACTATTATAAGAGAAGCTTCTGGTTGTGTTTGGTGGGCAAGACGGGGAAAACAATTGCCACTTCCTAAAGCAAACAAGCAGACTTTGCAGAGCAAAGAAATCCTCTCTGCTGGGCTTGGGAGCATACTGTCAGCGGCTCCTCAGACCAAGATTCAGTCAGCGAAGCCCATGTGTCAACATGAGGCCTTATTGACAGACTCTAGACAATGAGGGGAGTCTTGGCCCTCCCGCCATTCTTCCATGGGGTCTCTTGGAAACCCACCTTTCATGGTGAACAACAGGCACTGTGCGGAAAAGCAGTCTGTCACCCCTCTGCCTTTTGACTCTGAAGAGGAGGAGGCAGCTGGATGGGGGGCAGGGGGCGGTTTCTGAACTTTCCCTGCCAGCCTTCCTCTGGGCAATCAATTCTTCCAGGCCACAACAAGTGTCAAGGGGTCTCTCTTCCGCTCTATCCAATCAGACCTAACACATCTCCAAACAACATTTCTGCAAGATACAGACTGAAGCCAAGACAAGGAAGATACCTTCCTGCTTTCCCACCTGTTTCTTTACCATGGGCTCTGCTTGTTTTGTGCCTAGAAAGCACGGGTCCAAGCAGTTTTCCACTTGACCCAAACTTTCTAGGTATGGGTCCAAGTGGTTTCGCTCTGCTCCTAGGGAAAACTTGCTCTTTAGCTTTAAGTTGGGGAAAACCCAGTTGCTGTTTGCTCCAATTCAGTGCTAAAGATTGGATTTCCCCAGGAGAAAGCGGTGGGGAAAGCTGAAGTCTGGATGAGCCCAGTGTTCAGAAAGAGTACAGTCAGAAATTAAAGCCAACCCCCACCTCGTGTTTCTACTTGTTGCACCAGACTCTCGTGACCAGCTGTGTGTCTGGAGCAAAGAGGAACGAACGGCCAGTTCCATCCAAGCCCCCAAGCTATGAAGGGCTCGCATTTTCTTGCCAGAGCACCTCAAATGACTGGCTTAGCTGTGATTCCCAGAAAGGGAGAGAGATGAGGATGCAGTTTTGGCATAATTTTTAAAAGGTACAAATCGGCTTTCTGGACATATAAATGCCACCTGAATAAGTGTGTGTGTGTGTGTGTGTGTGTGTGTGTGTGTGGAGGGTAGAGATATACAGGTCCAAGGAGCATGCAAAGAGGGAAAAACTTGTTAAAGAAGGCACTGGTTTACGTGCCTGTAAACTCTTGCAGGTAAGCCAAGCGTGAAACTTCTCTGTTAAAATGCAACTCCTCACCATCAATCCCTCTTCCTTGAAACCTTCCTTGGTCATTCCACTAAAAAGGTATGGCAACCCAGACCCAGGAAGTTAATTGCTTTCAACTTTGATGAACTCTACCCTTGAATAACTTCAGACATGGGGTGGGGGGTGGAGATAAAGAGAAGCAGAGGCAGAACAAGGAATCAGTGCAAAACACTCATCAGACCAAGACACAAACAGGGAGGTGGGATTTCCCGGGGGGGGGGGTACTAAGAGGCAAGGGGTGACAGGGAGGCACTGGAGGTGTAAATGCCTATCAGACTTGGAATAAATGTGAAATTAATTCTTACCATTTTGTCTCTACAGCTATAGCAGGCACTGTAACTTTTCCACAGTTTTGACTTCACCCCCAAAGGCACACCCCTAAGCCAATGCCAACAAAATTATCATGTAAACTGCTGTTCTGATTAATGCTTCTTATAAGATAGGGTATGGTGCATGCCAGATGAGTTTATGAAACCAGTAGCCTGGAAAAAGAAAAGGGAACCACTGAGCTGTACTGAATCTGAGCTGTTGACATTGCAAAGTAAACTGCACTCATTTCTTGGGAGGGGATGAGGGGGGCACTGCCTCATCAGTATGAGTTATTGCCCCAGCCTTTGAATAAGTCAACTCTGTCCTCCTTCCCATGGATAAGAGGGGTGTGGAATGCAGCCTTTGGAAGTTCCCCCCAGGCGCTCTCAATCTAAAATTCCTGCAAGATAGCCGGCAGGTCCAGGGACTCGCCCCACCCCACCCCACCCCACTTAGGAAGTGTCATTCTATTCAGTGTGGGCCAGGAATCTGATGGGAGCACAGAAGATGAAGAGGGGAAGCCTTGGGAGAAGCATGTGGAGAGCCACTGACAGCCAGTGTAGGCAATACTGTACTGAGCTAGATAGGCCAAAGGTCTGGCTTGCTATAAGGCATCTTACGAAATTGTGGACGTTGTAGGTGTGTCAGTGTGCAGGTTCCCTACTCCCCAAGTCTGGCTTCCTAAAAGCACCTCCTGAGTCAGTGTGGTCAGAATGCTACTGGGGGTTCAGCGTCAGAGGACCAGAGTTCTGAGTTTAGTGAGCACAGGCTATCTTCCCTTAGGCAAACCACCCCCACAGGATAGACTTAGGGTTGTTCTACCAGATCCCTGCCCGGTTCCAGGTCACTCCAAGGACAGCTGCACGTGCCCAGCATCCAAAGACTGCCAGCAGCAAAAGGCGACAAGGCTATGAAGCAGATTTCTCTCCCAACCCCACTTCCAAATAGCGCCCAACCTAGGAAAGGAGCCAAAAGGCTGTCAGAACCTCAAAGAGGTGTCAATTCTTTTGGAATTAAGACAGGGACCAAAATTTCACACTCCCTGCTGCAAAGCACAGAAGCCACAAGATGTTGCCAGAGCTTGTGTGCGTGTGTGTGTGCTTGCAATGTTTCTATGCCAAACCCAACACTTTATACAATGCAGCTAGACTGTCCCTGACTGAGATAAGCAAGAGAGACAGAGCGGTGTAATACTTAAGTATGTCGGACTAGCAGTGGGGAGGCCCCTGGGTTCGAATCTCAGCTCAGCCACAATCCTCACAGGGTGATCTTGGGCCAGCCCCACACATACTCGCACAACAGCCCCACACTCCCCCCCCTTCCTGTGGTTTCCAGCAACTGGTATTTGGAAGCATTGTGGCCTCAAAACATGGAAGGCAGAGCATAGCCATCATGGCCAGTTGCCCTCAGAAGTCCTCCATGAATTGGTATAATCCAATCTTCATGAAATCTTGGTTTAACTTTAGACCTTGCAAGTTTGGGGGAAGAGAAACCGGCCCGATGCAAAGCAGGGCTGCATGCCCAACTGAGGAATAGAATTTAGGGAAGGGGTGTGTTTGTTTCCTTCCACTTGCCGTCTCTTTATAATGATGAACACAGGCCCACAATACCGGAAGCCAGTCCTTTAGCACCAAACTGCTTTTTTGTTCTGTGTCATGGGCTGCTCTCAGCAGAGCCACAAATGCATTTCATCTCTCTCTGCAAAACCAGAAATGCCCATTTAAGTTTACAGAGCCACAGAAAAGAGGAAGCTGAGAAGGAAATGGCTGTGCTTGTAGTTCAGTTCTGGGTTGAAGCAAAAGATCACCCTGTCTCAAGCAGAGGAGGCACCCTTGTCAACAAAGAATGGCAGCCAAATTAGGTTTCACTTATTGTTTGTATTTTAAAAATTATTATTTATTGCGTAACATTCATAGACTTATGGATGGTAAAAAAAGGCAAACAAACCTCAAAGGGGTTTACAAAAAATATATATGAAGCAATGAAATCATCAGTTAAAACAATATAAAACTTTGGAATTCCCTGCTTGTTGGAATCGAGCAGGTGCCTTCACTGTACCCTTTTTGGCACTTGCTAAAAACATTTTTGTTTAGGCGAGTCCTATGCCAATATGTAGAATGGCTGATGTGTGTTTTAATCCAGTTTTTAGTTTACTGCTGATCTTACTTAAAAAAAAACAAAACAGTTATTTTTAACTGTTTTAACTGATAATTTTATTCTTTTTGTAAATCACTTTGAGGTTTTTTTCACAAGCATTTTACTTTTAAAAAATGCTATGTGAAACTTTAAAAAAATCCTAAACAAAAATGTTTCTAACAGGTGTACAGCAAAGGGGCTTGCCTGACATCAGTAGGCAAGGAGTTCTGAAGGGCAGGTACCACCACATTAAAAGATCTGAGTTCTTAAAAATGGGAATGAGTGTTATGTGGGACCTGTAACAGTTCCAGTTCCAGTAAGACTATTCCCTGTTCCTTTATGGACTTCCTCTGGCTATTTTAACACCACATCCTTTTCCTGCCCACTGAGAGTCCCTATTCTCTCTCTTGCCCACCCCATCCCCTACTCCCACATTGCTGTTATTTGATGGAATTAACAGCAGCTTAAAACAGGAGGAAAAAACTCAGGCAGAAAAACTTCCACCTCTCACAGCATTAAACAATGGCGTTAAATAACCCCAGGGCTGGATGGGAAGAAACCCAATACCAGAAGGGGCTTTGGACTCCCCACCATAAGAAGCTTTCCATGCAAGGTCCTTTACTTACTCCTCTTCTGGTATGGTTTTCTCTGCAACACCCATGAGTGTTAAGCAACCCCTGCAAAAAGCTAAGAACCTAAGAAAGGCCTGCTTGATTGGGCCAAGGGAGCCCATCCAGTCCAGTATCCTTTACTCACAGTGGCCAGCCAGATGCCCCCAATAGGAAGCCCAAAAGCAGGACCCAAGTGCAATAGCTGTGCTCTCCCCTCCTGCAGTCACCAACAACTGGTATTCAGAACCATTTCTGCTTCAAACTGTGGAGGAAGAGCATAGCTATCCCATATCAGACATACTGGCTGCTGGCATCTATTTTGAACCTTCCATGGCCAGAGGCTTGGGAGGCAGAGGCAGTTGCCCGGCTGGTGGGGTTGGAAAGAGCAAGAAGCAGCGCCTCACAACTTCATCCCCCCTCATGAGAATGAAGAATCAGTTTCAAACATCAGAATCTAATTTCTAGGCAGCTGCCACTTCTGAAAATGATCCCTTGCGGTGCATCACCCAACAATCACCTGGCCTCCGTTCATTTCCAGTAGCCAACAGCACCAGCCATTTAAAAAGCTGTTCTCTTCATAGAGTGGACATGCCTTGGCCTTCTGCGAAAATGGTCCCCTTGGCTGGGCCACCCTGCTCCTCTTGGGGCTCAAGTCGCAGTCAACATAGGCATAAGATCAAATTGCTGGAACCAAGGTTTGGCCTAGCTGGGCAACTACCAAGGGACCTAGAAGGATGACCACTGGAAAAAGCCCCTCCCCATCCTCTTCCACACTGCTTGTCCACCTGACTCTCACTGTGGCCCAGACAACTGCGGCAGCAGGAGAGAAACCTCCTGTCAGCCAAAATGGGAATGCCATTGCCATGCAAGGCCGATGGCAAGTATGTTCACATCACCTGGGCTCCAGGGCAGCACACATAAACCAGCCCAACTCTGGGCCAGTTTATGAGCACGTCCTTCTACCCAATCACTGATCCAGACCCCCCCCCCCCCTGCAACAGCACCATCTGCTTCTAACTAAGCCAGCGGGTTGAGGGAGTTCCTGGGAAAGTGGCAAGCCACGTCACCACAATCCCAAGACAAATAAATAAATAAGCAAGTCCCTTTTCATCTGTGGTGGGGATGCCAGCCTGAGAGACAGAGATGCCAAGGTCTAATTGGTACCTACGACAGCTACATGATCCCTACAGAAACCGTTTCATCTGATCTGGGAAAAAGCATTTAGCCCAAGTGGAGGGCCCAATTTTTTTCCTCTGCAAAGCTGCAGTTAGCACTTTCCACCCCAAAGCCACAGGACTCCGCAGGAAAAAAGCTGAAGCTACCATCAGTGCTTGTTGGCACAAGACCAGCCCTGCCACCTCCAAGCACTCATTTTGTTTTTATCATATTATATATCTAGATAGATAGATAGTTTTGCTTTCTGGTTTCTATGTACTTTTCTCGCTATTTTTGCAAGGATGACGGAACACAGATCATCACATGCAAGGGAAAAACTTCGTTCTAAGCAGGTGGGCTGGGACTATTATTCCATTTATTTATTGTAAAAAGTTGGCTATTTTCTTTCTATGGGCATATAATCTAGTAAGAACGAAATAGTGTGGCTAAAATTAACTTTCATTATTTATTTATTTTTACCCCATTTTTTGGAAAGGTCTTATCTACAAAACAGCTTCCACTGTTATCTAGAATTGTTTTGCAAACGTTACAGTATATAAAAAAGTTCACCTGGATGTGATTCCTATTTACCAAAGGCAGCCAGGAGAGTTTTAATTTGCCTTTTGAAGTTGGAAACAAGATTCTCAAGTTGAGGAGACCTCCTGCACACTGCGGCCACTGAGACATGATTCTCTTCTCAAAACGCTTCAGCAGATTCCAGTTTCAATTCCTGCTACTGCCTTGAAAACATCACCGAAGTTCCTACACTGTCCACAAAATGCAGTGTAACAGAAACATCTTGGAAGGGTAGGGCCCTGGCTCAGTGGTAAGAGCAGCTGCCTGGCATTCAGAAGACAGTCAGTGCTCATGCATAGAAAGAGCAGAAGAGGAGGCAACTCTGGCACATGTTGCTTCCTAGATTTTGGTCCTCCTTTCAGGGCAGATGTGGGGGAATATTTGGCCCTCCAGATGTTGCTGAACTACAACTCCCACCAGCTCCAAAGAGTGGCCAATGGGGCAGGGAGAAGGATGGGAGTTGTAGTTTAGCAACATCTGGAAGCTGAAAGGTTCCCCCCGCCCACTCATCTATCCAGAGATTGTGGTCCAGGACAACAGCACCTTAGAAATTCTGCCAGAGGATTTAATGTCTTATTTTAACTGATGGTATATAACCCACTTTGGCAGGCTCAGTGGTCAAAAAGCAGTTTGCAAGTGCTATAAAATAAATAAACTGCATATAACAATGCCATTTGCGTTTGTCCAACTATACACAGCCAGGCTTGGATGGGCAGCCATGCAAATATATCAGCTCTCAGGGCTGCAGACCTTTCCCCAGAAAATCTTGAATGGGAAAATGTTTTCTCTAGGCAAATCCTAAACTTGATTTTTATCAGAACATTTTTTTCAGGTTGCAACTGAAAAATGTTCTGATACCCAAGACAGAGAGAGTGCACCATCTAACGCAGCATGTTTACTTGTTTACTTTCGTATTTAGTTGAAAAAAATTAAAAAGCTGGAAACTTTCAAACTTGCTGAAGCTTGCCTAGCAATATTGCTCCTGAAGGCTTGCTTCCATTTGTGATCACTGCTAGCAAATTTTATGAAACAGAAAAAAGGTTCCATTCCACATCGCTGCTTGGCCCTTTCAATGATGATGACCACTGGAAGCCGTCCAAATATTGATATATATATGACATGACCCACAGGTTTCTAGGCTGGCTTGAGACACCAGGAGGAAATTCATGGCTGCGTTCTCCCACTGTCATCCTTGCTCATTCTACAAGTGGGAAGTCCTCTGAACGTCCGTCCCCCCCCCCCCCCGCTACAGCTCACACGCCTCAGGCCTAATTAGATTCCCCTGCCATCTGTACATCCAATGTAAATCAAGGGGAATACAAGAAGGCTTCTTTTTTGGAGGAAGAAAGAGTAAGGGGGGGCAGAATAGCCAAAGAGAGAAATTGGGGGAGGGGGGGACACCCAGAGAAGAGAGAGTGAGAATGGGGGGTGGGTGAGGGTACAGGAGGTGGGGAAGAGGAGTCAGTTATGCATTCTGGGAAGCCCTCCGCGATTAGTCACATAGCATTAATCTGCCTCCCGCAACAATAGCTGCTGAATTTCGACCGAATCCCAGCTGTCACTCCCTGAATGAAAGAAAACAAGATTTAGAGCGTCAAGCGTCCTTACAGCTTCTGCAGAAGGGGGGGGGACTGTGCGGTGCGCATTCATTAGCGGCTCACAAAGGCGCCCAGCCTTTGTCCCTTAAATTGCTCATGTGCCCGATTAATTTGCTGAAGGGTTCTCTTCTCTCTCCCCCTGTCCCCCCCCTCTCCTGCCCATCATCCCCGGAGCAAACAGAAGACGCCAAATGTGGGGGCAAAATTAAAGAAGTGGAGCAGACAAGGGACAGAGAGGTGCAGGCTTTCCATCCCCCACCCTCAATTCCCAACTGCACCGAAAAAGTCTGCCATTCAACAGTTGGGATTAGGAATGCCTGTAGGGAGAGCTGCTTCCTTAGAGAGAGACACGCACCCCCCCTTTTTTTAAAAGAGTCTTCACATTTGCTTCCAACAGGTGGAGTTAAAAAAAAAACACCAAAACAAGCAATCTCAACATATCCAGCTCTCAATCAAATTCTGTTCCAGGACTCTTGCAAGCAGCGGATTCCACTGAACATATCCTGAGGCTACATGCATTTGGGGACAGGAGGGGTGGAGAGGCTGCTGCCTTTTGCTTTTCTTTTATAGAAGGGTTAAGAAAAGAGAGCAGAGGTGGAGGAGATGCTGGGTCCCCACCCCACATTAATTGGTAGGCAACTTGTTCCCTGCAGCCATCACTTGGGGAAGCCCATGAGAAGTTCAAAGGCTCCTCACTGTAGGGAACATGGGTGCACTGCAATAAAGCTGCTGGCATTTCCCAGTGCAGCTGGGGGGAAATCCCTGCCTGAAAACCTGGAGTGTCACTGCCAGCCAGTGCAGACAATATCCATGGTCTGACTGCATATAAGGCAGCTGCTTATTTCCATACTTAATTCACACAAACATAAGGCAAGCGACCTGGAATGGGTCAAAAGGAGTCCCCATTTAGTCCAGCATCCTGTTTGCAACAGTGCTCCGATGGCGAGAAACCTGCAAGCAGTACCTGAGCTCAACAGCAACTCTCTCCTCCTGAGATTCCCAGCAACTAGTATTCAGAGGTATGGTGCTTCTGACATCTCTTTCTTCAGAAACATTAGGAGTACTTGGGTGGGGGGCAGGCTGCTTTGCATGCAGAAGGTCCCAAGCAGCATCCCCAGGCAGGGCTGAGAAAGACAGACCCCTGATCCCAAAACCCTGGAGAGCTGCTGCCAGCCACCGCAGACAACACTGGTCCAGATAAACTAATGGCCTGGCTTAGTATTTTTTATTTATTTATTTAAACAAAACACACATACTGCTTGATAGTAGCAAAAACTCTCAGCGGTTTAAAAGCACAAGGCAGCTTCTTATGCTCATCATCCTAAGTCTAGACAAGGGCTGGCTATTCCCACTTGGAAGAGGCTCTGTCCCTCAACCCCAGTTATCTCTAATCCCCAGCACAGAGCACAAGTACAACATCCACTCATTAGGGCCATACACAATTACAGATCAATTGACATGGATAGTTTAGGGTTGCTCAATTAAATTGCAATCGTCCCCCTCCTTCCCCTTCCACAAAGTTCAGCCTGAATTAAAGGGGAGGGTCTCTCTCTCTCTCTCTCTCTCTCTCTCTCTGTGTGTGTGTTATCCTCACGATCGCTCTTAGATGCATGCTGCCGTGTTGAAACTACTTTCGATAATGGCAGCTCCACAGATGGAACTGCACCTTGAGCCCAGGTTCAGCTCCCAAGAATCCAGACTGCAAACTCCCATCAGCACAGCATCATTTCATATCACACAGACACACATATGCCTGTGTTTGCAGCAGTTAATAGAAGATGCACATCCCCAAACTCTTAGTGGGGATGGGGATTGGGAGCGATGGCAGGAAATTGTTGGCTCCCAGCGTCACATCTATCACATGTGGAGACTAAAAGTTGTCTCCCTCTTAATAGGCACACCCCAATGTAATATCAGGCTATCTGACTCCTTCTGAAAGCCATATTGTAATCCTGGACTTCAAACTCAAAATGTAAGGTGTCCTATTAAAATCTGGAGCCCTTTTCTGCCTATTAGTTTCCATCAGTCCATGTATGTTTTTTAAAAAACAAAACAGGTAGGGAATCTGCTTCAGCCCAAGGGCCACACTGCCTTCTGGGCAACTGCCCAAGGGCCATACTGCCAGTGGTAGGTGGGGCCAAAAGTGAGTAAGACAACCACTTTAGGTTATACCTTTGTAAGTAGGTTAAGGGTTGTTTGTTGTTGTTGTTTTTACACACTCCTCTCCACCCAGACAAGCAGAGGGTATCCTCAGAATTCAATGACATATTCCAAGGCACCCCAAAAAAATTGGGATGCGAAGCAGGGTGTGTGTTGCCTGGGGAAAGTTCCAAGGGCCAGGCAGAGAGGCCTTGAGGGACACATCTGGCCCCCAGGTCTGAGGATGTAAACCAGAAGTCACACCTCCACTGCGTATAATTTCGCACTTACCGGCAAACCCCTGTTCCATTGGGGTAGGTTTCACACCTTCCTCCATTCAAGCAGGACTCCAAAGCCTGGGAACACTGGATGCCTGCAATGAGACCACAGAGAGTTACAGTGTTACCTCAGGTTACTGACGCTGCAGGTTACAGACGCTTCAGGTTACAGACTCCACTAACCCAGAAACAGTACCTGGGGTTAAGAACTTTGCTTCAGGGTGAGAACAGTAATCGCACGGCGGCAGCGGGAGGCCCCATTTGCTAAAGTGGTACCTCAGGTTAAGAACAGTTTCAGGTTAAGAACGGACCTCCGGAACGAATTAAGTTCTAAACCTGAGGTACCACTGTATTTGGGAATTTGGTTGAAAAGGCAATGTAGGACAGGGCTTAGATCATAGGACTTGAATCTTGAAACCTGGGAAACTTCAGACCACCTTCATTCTTAAGTCAGCCAACAGCCCGAGTCTGGGCCTTGCCTCAACCTCAGATCCCCATCTGTGAAATGGGGACAGGATTCCTTTACCTTGTGGGGTTGTTAATGCTGAGAGGAAAGAGGCCTGATGATTATATTTCTTTTACTGTGGCAGCATTCAGGTTTTTTTTGTGTTTTTTTTAAACCAAACTAGAATGCTAAGTGAGTACAATGTATTGTTTATGGAGTAGGTCACCGCAAGCCGCCTGCCGCTTATCTCCACCCTAGTTTATTATTTGCAAGGAGTGATTATTCTGTGGTATTATGGCAGTGGACAAAGCTGTAGTCTAACTCCTGATTTTGTGAGGAACGTATTGTTATCATTTGTTTTAATATCAAATAAAAGTGTTTAAAGAAAGAAAAGGAAAACATTATTTCCAAGCCTTTGGAGAGTAGTAAACACAGAATAAGCAAAAAGGAAACAAGTTCTGATATAGCAGCAATTGTTTGCAATTCAGTTTAGGAACTGAAAACAACCCGAAGATTTGCAAAGAGGGGCATTTTTCTTTGTAAAGAAAGGGATTTTTTTACAGCCCTCCAGTTTTTCTAGTTCTACACAATTCACTTTCCTCCACTGCAGCCATGCAACAAGTAGCAACTCAGCATCAGTCAGGCAAAAGAAAAGAAAAGAAAAGAAAAGAAAAGAGAAGAGAAGAGAAGAGAAGAGAAGAGAAGAGAAAAGAGGCCTCTTTCCACCAAAGGTCTCTTTCTGAACACTTCCTGTGCTTCAAGTTCAGCACCACCAGGGCTAAGCCACACGTGGAATGAAAGTGTGGAAAGACATTATCGCTTGCACGTGGTCCCAAACACAGCCAAAGACACCTCTGCCACCTTGGAGCAGGCTAGAGATCCAGGTTTGAATGTGTTAATTGCAAGTCAGTGTTAAAGTGCAGTTAAAATAAAATATGCAGTTAAAACAAATGATGCAATGAAGCCCATGCTTCCTATCTGTGCATAATTTAGCTTGGAACCAGAGTCCCAGTTCCCCAAGAAGCTAAAAGAGGATGGAGGGGCGAGCAAAGATAGTGGGAAGAGGAGGGAGCCTAGCAGGGACAGGAATCTGTACAGAATGGCAAGTTCCAGCTCTAACTCCGCAATTTCGAGCCACATCAGATCTCCTTCTTGATTCTCCCTGCAGAGTTCCAGACTTCCCTCCACAACCATGAGGACTAGGGTGGGTTTTTTTGTTTTAATGTTTTGAAAAGGAAGAAAAATCAGGATGCCAAATTCTATGCTTAACTCAATTCAGGGAAAACGTGCACAGCCCTACAGATAAGATCCACAAACTGGAACATGTTGTGGTTTGCCAGCAGTAACGCATTGCAACAAGGCACATCCTGAGCATAATTCTGGTTAGCCAACAGAGAGACCTCAGGGCCAGTTTTGTGGAAAAGCAAATGCTGCAAGTCTGATTCTCAAACCAAATCCAAAGAACAACCATATTGTGTTCTTGGCTGTTGGATGAGCCACATTTTTTAAATAGGCAAGAGAGTAGGTGTGGAGCTGTCAGTCCCTAAATCTGTCCTACTTCCCTGCAAATAGGAAGTTCATGTCTGACCAGCAATGGTTTCAAAGCACATAAGCGTGGGCTTTGTTTTAATAGAAAAAGGTTCAAGCCACCCTGCTGGAGCCCCATAATGATGTCAGCGGTGGTTATTCAGAAGATCAAGCTCAGCATCAGACCCTCAAATGTCAGGACTCGGCCACAGGGTACCTGTGCTCCAACTGCTACTGTTCAGTCTTAAACCAAACGCTCTTTGCGAAAAGGAAAAGAGTAAGAAAGCTCTTTTTCAATGGGGTTCTAAGGCAGCAAATGAGACAAGGCTGAATTAGTGGCTAAGGTGCAAGAGAAGCCAGCCAGCATCATTCAGTAAGCCACGGACAGGGAGTTTTATTTCAGCTCCCAAGGGCCACAATTTTTCATTGCCAACCTTCTGGGGGGCCACATATCAGAGGAGGGCATGGCCAGGGAAAATAGTGGGAAGAACAAATGGATGCAGCTGTTACATCTGAACAGTACACTCTGCTCTAGCCATGCAAAAGTCAGAAGTTTGTACACACACCTCTCTCTCCATCCACACAAGCAAACAGTACCATCGTGGTTTAAGGACACCAGAGCTAGCCAGGTAAGAGCACTTAAGGAGAGGGCAGTGCAGGGCTATTTAATGCAGCCTGGTGAATGTGGGTGGTCCAGAAGAGAGAGTCCTGAGGGCCACACCTGGTCCTTAGGCTCCACACCTGTGTGGTAGCTCACTGAAGCAAAGAGGTGCCTACTTAACTTCTGCTGTTGTATAACAATGGCAACAGTAGTGGAATTTAAATGCTCATTCATTGGATTGCCTGGAAGGCATGGAAGTACTTGCTCATCAGAAAAGAATTGTTGATTTCTTCTCTTTAGGTCCCTGATGGGTCACATGAGACACGTGCTATGGGCAGGGCTGCTGCTGCAGACTTACCTGCATGGCTGAATCTTGGGATCCTGGGTTCAAGGCTATACTTAGCCAGGAGAACCTCAGACAAGCAAACCAGAACCAAGCAAAACCCTATTACTGCTCTGTTCTTTATAGGCTGCCACTTATACCTTGTTAAGGCTGCTTTTGAGACAAAAGATGAAGGAAGTCTAGATTGTGAACCAGCTGTTTGGCCTACTGAGGTAAAAACTGTTTTGTTTTGTTGTTGTTTATTGATTGCATGTAAAGCCACTCTGAGTCTTTTTGGCTGCAAGTGCTCTAAAACCAGAAAACAAGGACTTTCACTAAATAAATAAACAAAATACCCCTGGCTTATGGCTTAGCTTTCAACAAGGTGAGTTCAGCTCAGCCCCTCTCTGTAAAATAAAAATGGGTATGATGCGTCCATCACATTCACTGTGAGGTGAGCATAAGCAAGAAACTGAAACATTGGTCTCTGTCCCAAAGAGGCTAGGGCAGTGACTATTCCCCCAAATTAGCAAAGTATTGGTATTTCACTTAAGTTTTTAAGCTACTGCTTCAAAAACATTCAGGCTAGAGATCATCCTTGCAGGCGGGGCACGGCTGCGTTTTAGAAAGCCCACCACTCAGGACGAAGGAAGCCAAAAACCTGTCTTTCATTCACAGCTATAGGAGTTCAGGCTCTTTTCTTTAGAGCAGACACAGACACACACCCCGCCACCATCCTGCTCACAGAACACACACACACACACAAACACACACTCTCTCTTACAAAGCTATTTTTGAATTGTCTGGCTGCTCAGATATTCATGAATATTTTTTTTTAAGCGCAGTGTGTCTGCAAAAGGAGCCCAACAGAGACCGGGATAAGAGAGAGTTGTAAAGCAGGCGGGTCCGAGTTCGTGGGAAAAAGCAACAGCTGCAGAGCAGAGCTCTGGGCCTTCCCCAAACAAAGCGGGAAGGGAGGGGGTGAAATCAGAGCTGCCCATTGTCAAAAGCCAAGGATACCTCTTGTATTTACTACAAGCTGATGGGGTTGGCTCAGTCCCCTTGATACCCAACACCTACATGCTCCTGACTGAGTCAGGAGAGAGCACTCTTCAGGACCCGTGCACACAAAGACATCACACACACACACACACACAACACAAACATACAGCAACCTCAACCAGGCACTCTAGTTACCGATAGCTCAGAAGGAAAGTGGAGGATGGGCCTGTGTATAGCTGGAACTGCCGCTGGGGGGAGAAAACACAGAGCGAAACTAGACACTGACCCCAAAAGGTATGCAAAAAAAGAGAGCTGTTCCTCCTCCATTTCCCGGAAGGCAAGAGGTGAAATTATTATTTGGCATGATGACTAAGGTGACTTGCAGACTTCCGCTGCGCACAGGAACACCAGAAAAGGGTGGCCTCAGGCAGCCCAGATCCTTAGAAGGCCCTTCCAAAGGGGCGGTTCACATGTGCACACACAACCACTTGATGGGCTTGCACCAAATGTGTGAATACTGAAAGAGGACCTGCTCCAGAAGTGGCCTGTACATAGCTGTCAACTTTTCTTGCGAGGAATCCTATTTGGAATAAGGGAATTTCCCTTTAAAAAAAGGGAAAAGTTGACAGCTATGGGCCTGTCATGGGCATGGGAAGAGACTGCCGGGCCAGAGGCCCACCTAGGTTCCCAGGAACGCTGGTTTTCAGAAGCATACTGCCTCCAACAATGAAGGCACTGCTACCTTTATCCTCCTGCATAGAATCACAGAATTGGAAGCGATCCCAAGGGTCATCTAGTCCAACCCCCTGCAATGCATCCATGACAGATGGCAATCCAACCTGAATTTTGTCTCATCGCCTTTATATAAAGCCATCCGAGCTGGTCACCACCAGTACACCTTGTGGCAGCACATTCCATAGTCCCAACATAGCACAAACAAGTTTTAGGAGAAAAGAAACCCAACAGCCCAGTGAGCACTGAGTGTGCTGAGTAGGCATGGGGCGCAGCCTGACTCTTGGAGGGGGTACAGCAGGGTGGAGTATCCTGACTGGAATCCAAAAAAGAAGGACCCAACGCTGCAACATTTTGTTACTGCTCCCAGTTGCTTGTCACAATTGAACCCCAACCTCCACTCAAGGAACTCAGCTGGAAGAGCATCCAGTTTAACCTATGGACAACCAACATGGTGCCCTCCCCCTCCAGACTGTGGACTCACTTGGTGGGCCACAGGTTGCCCATGCCTGCTTTAATCTCTGCTGTGCTCTACAACTGCCTGGGGGGCGGGAGGGGGAAGGCACCCCCAACTCCCTGTTAGAACTTTGCCCCTCAGCTCTAGTAATGGAGACTCCTGCCTCCTAATTTCTTCCTTCCACCACCCAAGATATTCTTGGGAATCCCACAGAAAAACCTATTATTGTCTCAATGCTTCTGGTGGTGAAGCTTAAAAAGCTGATTGGTTGAGCAGGAACAAAGGTCCTGACTTTTTCAGTTGCTAAGGAATCTAAAACAGTCCAGCTTCTATGAGAGACTAGGAGGTTATCAGTTTGACTGGGTCCAAGATTGCACATGCACACATAACCCAGACATGGGAAGGGGTCTGTTTGGCCACTGGCCTGATCAAACAAGCCCCTCTTATGTGAATCAGATCAGGATTGGCATATAAACTGTGATGGCCCTGCACCAAAGTGCTAGGACTGTAGAGTGCTTCTGTTCATGGGCCAGTTAATTTTATCACCAAATCCATCAGGACTCTCCATGCAAGCTGTGTATTCCGGTGTGGTGTTATGCTTAGAATCACAGAATAGGATCTGGGAGCCCAGGGTTCAAATTCTCGCTCAGCCATGATGCTCACTTGACTTTGGGCCAATGGGCCAGTCAGCGCCTCTAAGCCTACCTACAGGGTTGCTGTGGGGATAAAATGGGAAAACTGAGAACTAGGTACACCACCTTGAGCTCCTTGGTTTTCTTCCTTGGATATAAAGGCAATCAGTAAGATCATAATCATAATACTCCATTTGGGTGCCTGCATGTGATGGAAACATAAGTTCCCAATCCCAGCTACGTAAAATCTTCTGATTTCTCTGCTGATTTCTGATTATTGTTATTATGGGAAGTTTAATCACTTCCACCCCTGGGAGGGATATAAAAATAGCATCGCAGGTTGAACCAGGAAATGAGCTACCTAGCCAATGAAGTTGTTCGCTCTACCCTTTTCCATATCTATGTCTCTTCCTCCCTCCTCCTCTTCCATTCCATTCATCCCAAACAGCTGTCAGCCCTGCCCCTCAATCAGGCTCAGGACCCACACTCACAAACTTTTCAAGAAGATTTGCAGGAGTTCCCTTCTCTCCCTTATGATTTTTTTATTATTATTTTTGCAAATCTCAAGGTTATGGCAAGCCTCCCAGGCACCCTCTGCCCTGCCATTGAGCCAGTGTGGGCATGACATAGGGGTTAGAATGTTGGACTAGGACCTGCAAGAGACCAGGGTTCAAATCCCCCACTTGACCATAAAGATCATTGGGTGACCTTAGGTTAGCCTGACCTACCTCACAGGGTTGTTATGAAGGTTAAATGGGCAGGGGAGAGAACAATGTACATCACCTTGAACTTCTTGGACAAAAAAAAAGTGGGATATAAACACAATTTTTTTAAAAAAGAAAGTTAATTAAACAATGACGCTGTGAGAACTGAATTAGGATCAGAATGTAAGACATTGATGACACAAAGTGGGGGTGGAGGGGGTGTCGTCCTGAAATGACACTATCTGTTGGGTATGAGGAAACCAGGAAAGACCAAGGCTGTGGGGACAAAAAGGTCTTTCTGGGTGACTGGAAATGAAAGGGTTTTGGGGGGTAGGGGATGATATTGGGCCGGCAACTTTTGGAAACTATTTACAAGCTGCTCCAAAGTAAGGGGACTGGAGTGCAGGGTGGGAAGAGAATCACTTCACTTTCACTAACATGGGTCAATCCATGCCAACTATCACCAGAAGTTTATTCCCAAAAACATTTACTGAATTGCTTGACCATTTCAAATTATTAGCTAATTATGTCCCTGCTAGAAAGGCTCCTTCTGGCAACCAAAAGAGAAAGAGAGACCAAGACCTCTAACACTGATGGGAGACTTGAGTGGCAGGGCTTGGAGTCACTAGGTCAACCCCCTTCAACCTTGGGATTTTCACGTGTGGTTGGGCTATAACTCCCATCATCCTGTAAATGGGTGGTAGAGCAACTGCTTTGCATGCAGAAGATTCCTGGTTCAATCCCTGGACTTTCCAGGTAGGGCTAGGAGAGCCTGACAGCTTGCTATGATTCTTGTAATTGGGCTAAGCAATATGGGGATGATGGTACTCTGCAGTCCTGGAAGTAAAAAGCTGAAGAATTCTGCACTAAGGGATCCAAATCAGGATCTGAGCCCTGGTCTCCTCCCAGCTCCAATCCAGAGAGAGCTATGCTTGAGATGTGTGTGTACATCTATGTGTCCAGATAGTTTAAGAATCCCACCCACCAAACCTCAGAGCAGATCTCTCTCTCCACCCCCACCCCCACAGCCCCATTTCAAGGTGCTTGCAAAAGCAAGGATGCCTTCTCCTCTAAACCCACAGCATGTGTGGCAGAGAAACCTGAAACTCAATCTTTAATTTAGTTTTTGTTTTTTTGTTTTTGTTCAGAAGCTAAACAAACACACCTCTGCAAGTGCCCTGAATTATACCCTCAGAACACACAGCATCACGGCAGCAACAATCACAAACCGTTCCCTGGCAGCGAAGCGTATGAATCAAGGTGAGAAAAACTGCCCAGCAAGCACCCCAGCATTTAGCCACTGCACACTTTGATTTGAAATTGAAACGACTTCATTCAATGAATCAGGCAGCTGGTAAGAAGTTCCATTCACCCAACACACAGAGCCTTTTTCTCTTTGTCTCCACTACTCCAGTTAAAATTCTGTCTCCAAAACAGATTGCCCTGAGGCACTTCAGAGAAAAGTGAGAACAGCCTGCTCTGTGCAAAACTTTTTTGCCCCATCTCCTAGTCTAGCGCTCACTGTCCAGGTTCTTCATTCCACTGTCCCCCTTCCCACCAAGGATTCGCAAGAGTTCTGCAGAGCAAGAGCACAAGAAACAGCTTGTGACATCCACTCCCAGAAAGTAACACAGCAAAAAATAAAAAGGAAGAGGGAGGTGAAAGAGAGGCAAGGGTGCGAATACAGGAAATATTACGCATATCCACAAAGTAGAAACACCCCCCTCAACCGCAGAAAAAGCACCCTAACCTGTGACAAGAGTCCTAAATTTCCCAATTAAATCTGAAACCACCATGCAGACAATAGTCTGGCCTTTCACAGCTTCCTACCAAACAGAAGGCAAGTCTTTTCACACATTATAATGCAGCAAACACTGGTTTGGGTTGGTTGGGTGCTAGCAAAAGAAGCCCCCTCTCCAAGATGGGAGGGGGGAAACTGTGGCTGTGCTCCCAGGAGGCCCAGGAAGAGGCAGAGGACCAGGTATCCAATGATTTGGGGTCATCTCCAATGCCAGCCTTGCTCAGGGCAGACTCACTGAAATGAATGGGCATGGTTATGTTTCAGTGAGTGTAGAATCAGAACGGTAGAGCTGGGAGGGAACCCCAAGGATCATCTAGTCCAACCCCCTGCAATCAAAGTCTACTCTGAAAAGAGCTTTGTTAGATACAACTCTTCTCCCTCCTCTCTCCCCATACAAATTTTGTCAGGACTGTGTACTGCACGGCTACGCATTTGCTCAAGCACGGTGCTGGGAGACTCCCACTCCCACTTCCTAGAAAGAGGGGGCAGCCGAAAAGTTTTGCAAAGCAGCTGGAGAGGGGATTCCTCTCACACACGCGCGCGCGCGCTCCTATTCTTGAAAGACTGCCGTTCCCAGTAAAACACCAGGCTCATGCTGCATTTGCCCGGGGAAACCAACATCTCTGCAAACTTTTTCGGAGCTGCTTCGCTCATTCTCGCAAAAGCAAAAAATCCCCAAGCAGCCTAGCCGTTCGGTTTTGTTTCACTTTTGTTGCAAACCCCAAAGCGCCCTTTGCATCAAATAAATATGTAAAGAGAGTAAGAAAAGAAAATCCTGCCCTCTTTCCTTTTAAGGTGAGCTGCAGGTCACCGACGCTGCCTGAACCAGCTGCCAGGCAGCTTGGAAAACTCGCGCGGAGGACAGGAAGGAACCCTCAGGGTAGACTGCGCTTGCACGGGGAGGCTTCCCATCTGAGCTGCTCTGAGCCGACACAACGGCCCGGCTCGTTGTTTTGTTTTAATCGCCCTAAACGTCAGCACCACCACGCCGCGGGCAAGGGAGACGTTTGCAAACACAATCGTAGAGTCGTAGAGTTGGAAGGGACACCAAGGGTCATCTAGTCCAACCCCCTGCAATGCAGAGCATAGGAGGACCAGCCCCCACCCTCCATTCCATCGCTCGCCATGAAATCCTGAAAGTGAAAAAAGCGGCCCAGGAAGCTCATCCCCCACTGGATCAGGCCCAAGACGGTCCCGCGAACCCCACCAGAGGATGTCCAGGCTGGGGAGCGCAACAGGTGGCCGAAGTGGCGTCGCCGTCTCCAGCGCACCTACCTTGAGCGAAGGCGGGCAGCAGTGCCAGCAGCAGGAGGCAGCAGCAGCCGCGGGGGCTCCGCACCCCAAGGGGCCGCATCCCGCCGCTCCCCAGCCGAGCACGGCTCGCCGGGTTAGAAGAAGAAGAAGCCTCCCAAAGTTGGCAGCGGTGGCAGCGTCCTCTCCGCCCTGCCCACCGAGGCTCTGGCTCCGCACACGCGGCCGCCCCTTCGGTCCGCTCTCGGGCGCCGCCGCGCTGCAACAGCCCGTCGAAAGGAAGCGCCGGGACACTTATTAGCTCCCTCTCCGCTCTAGCTCCCCTTGGAGCGCGCTGCCCCCCTCGCCCCGCCGGAGGATCTCTCCACGCCGGGCCAGGTGCGAAATTTCCCAGTGGGGCGCAGAGAAGGAGCCCCCGTCGCCCGATTCCCGGTCCCCCTCCTCGCCCAGGAGCGCGGCGGGCTCTCCTTCGGGACGGCCCTTCTCTCGCGCGCCGCACAGAGAAACAGGAACTTTCTCCTCCTCCTCCTCCGCAGCCGCCGCCTCCTCTACGCTGATAAGTTTGGGGAGTATGTGTGGGAGGGAGCGAGCGAGCGCCCGGCCACAGCCTCTCGTGGGGCGGGACCAGCCGGTCGCGGGGCGGGGTAGCCTCGGGGGTTGCTTAGTATATGAGGGGCGACTCTCCCCTCCCTCCCTCCCTTCAAAGGGGGCTTCAGCCTTCCTCTTGGTGGGCGAATGAAAGGCGCTCGAGCGCATGCAAAGTTTGGCGCCTGCTCCGACCCGGCCCTGCCACCCAGAGGGAAAGCTACTCCGCTCCGCTCGCTCGCTTGCCTGCCTGCCTGCCTCAGCGCCGGGAAGAGGCGGCGAGGGGACCCCTCAGGAGTGGAGAGGACTTAGTTATTTATCATTTGTTTTTATTATTATTGTTATTATTATTACATTTCTGGCGCTCCCTTTCTACAAGGAGCTATGCCCACTCTCCATTTGACCCTCACAACTGCCCTACAAGGTAGGCTAGGCTGAGAGTGTTAACTTACCGTTTGTTTATACAGTGGTACCTCGGGTTACATGCGCTTCAGGTTACATACGCTTCAGGTTACAGACTCCGCTAACCCAGAAATAGTGCTTCAGGTTAAGAACTTTGCTTCAGGATGAGAACAGAAATCGTGCTCCGGCAGTGCAGGGCAGCAGGAGGCCCCATTAGCTAAAGTGGTGCTTCAGGTTAAGAACAGTTTCAGGTTAAGAACAGACCTCCGGAACGAATTAAGTACTTAACCTGAGGTACCACTGTACTGTATGTCATTTTAACCAAAAAAAGCCCCCAAGGAGGCTCACAAGAATGAACAGACACATACAAATACCATAGTGCAAATATGAAATAATTCCAAGACAAACAACAGAAGTGATACAAATTTGAAACAACAAACACATGACTGTTTCTGCCAAAAAAAGACAAACATCACCCACTGAGCTTTATGGATAAACCTGGGTCTCCCAAGTTCTAGACTGACACTCGTACACCACACCACACTGACTCTTCCATACATGACCTTTTATCTTCCTAACAACCCTGCCAGGTAGGTTAGGGCTAAAGACAGGGACTGGCCTAGAGTCACCCAGTGAGCTTCAGGGCTGAGCAGGGATTTGAACCTGAGTCCCCCAGGTTCTAGTCTGATACCCTAACCACTATACCACCACTTCGGCCCAATCCAATCAGTGCTCTCCATACGGATGTCTACTATAGTAGCAGAACCTCAGTGCCCAAGGGCAGTCTACCTTTGAACACCAGATGGTGAGGGACACACACAACTGGAGAGTTGCTCTTGCACTTGGGCTTCTGATTGGGGCACCCAGTTGCCCACTGCAAGAGCAAAATAGGTTGGCCTATGATGGGGCCCCTTTGGCCTGACCCCGGTGTAGCCAGGCTCTTCTTAGGCTCTACAGGTCAGTGGAAGCAGCAGCGGAGCAAACTGCCTGCTTAGCCGTTGGCACTCTGCCTGGGAAGGAAGCGTGTGGAAGCAGGGAGGAGGAGGAAGAGGAGCACGAGGGCAGTGAAGAAGGTGATTCATGGGGCAGCCCGTGGGGTGGTGCCTTGCCAAGGGCCCTCTGAAACCTGGGGCTGGCCCCCGAGCACATTGGTCCAGCAAAGGAGCCTGCCCCCCAACCCTGCCACACACACAAAAGCCTTTTAAAAATGCATCTATATTTATAAAGATAAGAGACATGTCACTATGCTGAAAATGCAAGTCCAGAAATGGAAACAAGCAAACAGTAATTACACAGTTTACCGAAAACACATCAGGTTATGAGTAAACTTTAATGAACAATGACTAATACCGTATTCCATTATATCAATATGTCTGACTAAACGAAAAAAGAAATAAAAAAGAAACCCACAATACTCAACATGTTTAATGTAGTTAATAGGGGGAGGGCAATGAGTGGGTTCTTTTATCCAGGCAAGAAGGATCATCAAGGGGAAAAGGCTGAAGAGCTGCTCATTTATTACAGTATTTTATTTATTTACATTTATATACCTCCTCCAAGGAGCTCAAGGTAGCGTTCATGGTTCTTCTCCCCCTCCTCACTTAATCTCAACAATAACCCTGTGAGGTAAGGGAGGCAGCGACTGTTCCCCCAGGTCCGCCACTGAGCTTCATGGCTGAGTGAGGATTCAAATCCTGGTCTCTCTTAAATTGCAGTCTGACACACAAATCACTACACCACACTGGCTTAAGAGAGGTCCCAAAGCTGGGCAAAGAGAAAGGAAGTAAGGGATATATTGGGAGAACATTGGTATCATAAAGAAACAGTTGTTGGCCTATCAAAATGCAGGATGGGCTTGTGGTGTTAGGTACAGGGCAATAGCTCAGTTCAGTGGCAGAACATCTGCTTTGCATGCAGAAGGTCCCAAGTTCAAGCCCCAAATGGCAAGCAGCGCTGGGAATGTGTCCAGTCTAAAACGGGGGTTACAAGTTGACACCCAAAAATCCAACTTTGTCTCTAAACTGATGCCAAAGTTTTGTGCTGTTTTGAGTATGGTAATTGATACTCAACCAAGGGCCATAGGTATCCCCCACTACCCAGCACTGTCAGATTCACTCTAAACCGGGGCCAAACTTTTACAATACTGTAGTTTCAAATCCTTCTGCACTTTTAACCCCACTCCCAAAATGAGGAATTGATACTAAAAGCTGGGTTCCTAGTTAATGACACTGTAGTTAACTGCACTCAAAATCCCACTTCAAAAACATCATTGTCTTTCAAAGGTAAAGGGACCCCTGACCATTAGGTCCAGTCGCGGACGACTCTGGGGTTGCAGCACTCATCTCGCTTTATTGGCCAAGGGAGCCGGCATACATCTTCTGGGTCATGTGGCCAGCATGACTAAGCCGCTTCTGGCGAACCAGAGCAGCGTACGGAAACACCGTTTCCCTTCCTGCCGGAGCGGTACCTATTTATCTACTTGCACTTTGATGTGCTTTCGAACTGCTAGGTTGGCAGGAGCAGGGACCGAACAACGGGAGCTCACCCCATTCGAACCATCAACCTTCTGATCGGCAAGCCCTAGGCTCTGTGGTTTAACCCACAGCGCCACCCACGTCCTCCATTGTTTTTCTTACTCCACCCCAATGTCAAAGTTATGCTCCTCTATTCTTGAGGTTTCTTACTTTAAGATATGTAACTGAATGGAGAAGAAGTTGAGCAAATATCCAAACATGCATACATGGGTTGAATAACAAGGAGTATACACATATATCCATATACACAAATATCCATTTACACAAATACACTGGGAAATTATTGACAAAGACATTTTCAGCAGTTAAAGTTGGCATCACCAGGCCCAGCAAGAATTCCAGAAGCATAATGCATGAGAAGTTAAAGAAAGCAGAATAGGCAGGGAAATATGTAAGATTTATTACGCAGTTTGGGGGGCAGCACAAAATGTGGGGTTTGCAACACAAAACAGGACAAAACCATTGCAAAGGTTTGGCACCAGTTTGGAGTGAATGGGACAATGCTGGGTTTTGGAAGAATACCTATGGCCCCCAGTCTGAGTATCATTTACTCAGTTTGGGGCGGCAGCACAAAATGCAGGGTTCATGGCACAAAACAAGCACAAAACTTTGGCATTAGTTTGGAGAGGATCCAAAATTTTGGGTGAAGCTGCTGAGCTGGGTGACATAATGGTTTGACTCACTGGGCCTAATGCAGGTCCCCGGTTCAAGCCCCAATGGCATCTTCCAGGTAGGGGTGGGAATGTCCCCTTCCCTGGAGAGCTGCTGCTAGTTGGTGTAGACACCACTGAGGTAGTTGGTACAAGGGATGGGCTAGGACTAGGTATAAGGCAGCTTCCTGTAGTTCCAAAATTGCTGGAGTACCACTGTCCCACAGCAGTTGTTCTTAAAGCCGGAGACATGTTTCTAGAGGAATGTTCCGAAGGACAGCAGTTGTTGTGGCCTGTGAACTGGTCTCCCATCCCCCTTCATCACATTAGCAAAATATTTCTGCTGGATATAGTGGGGCATTCTTTTATTTCCAAGGGAAAGGCAGAGGGAACATCATGCCCCCCCCCCCCCCGCTTTGTCCTTCTTCCTTCCCTCTGCCGAAGACTCTTTTATCCCCTTCTTCTTCCTGGTAGCAATTCCAAGAAGGAGGAGGGAAGCTAATCTTGGCATGTGGGCAGTTGAATATCATGGTTGCAGCCAGGAATGGGCACCTTATTTCTTGCCCCCCATCCCCCCAACAGCAATACCCGTTAGGCATGCAGCAACAGCTGAGTAGAGACAGAGGTTCTCATTTGAGGCTCACAGAGGCCTCCCCGTCCCAAGGAAAAGAGTGGCTGCTTCCAATACATTTCCTGCTTTCAAAAGTTCTTTCTAAGGGTGAGTGTGGAATGACTTTGGTGGTAGGAACCTGGGGGAGAGATTTCAGATAGAGCAGTTGAGTGGGATCCCGTTAAGAAAGAAGAGAGTGCTTTTTAAACTGTTGGCTGTGTTCAGCTCAAGAAGAAGTGGCAGGTCTCTGGTGCTTTGAGGAGATAGCACAGTGCAAACAGGTGATGGAGAAATAGTGGAACCATCCACTCCTGTTTCATTTTGCTCCTTTCCCTCTGGAATTACGTTTGACCTAGGAAAAGTAGAGCAAATGATTTAAGGACGGAACTGGGGCCTATGATAAGTGAGGTGACGGGTTAGAGAACACCGAGCTACTTCAGGTGAGAGTCAGGGACCTTAATGCTCCACAGCTTAAAGTATTCAGGGGCTCCATTGAGTCTTTGGCAGCAGATGGGGTACTCCCTTTCTCAGTTTGGAGGAAAGGCAAGCAAGAGGGGGCATGACAAGAAGTTCACAAAATGATGCCTGGCATGGAGAAAGTGGATAGAGAAAAGCTTTTCCTCCCTCTCATGACACTAGAACTGGTGGGCATCAAATAAAGCTGAATGTTGGAAGACTCCGGGCAGATAAAAGGAAGGACTTCTTCATGCAGCACAGAGTTAGACTGAAGCACTCTCTTTCACAGAAGGCAGTAATGGCCATCAACTTGGATGGCTTTAAAAGAGGATTAAACAAATTCATGGAGGAGGAGGTTCTCAATGGCTACTAGCCTCTATGGCTATTTTTGGCTCCACGGTTGGAGGCAGGAATGCTTTGAATACCAGTTGCTAGGAATCAGGTCCTTCTTGTGGGCTTCCAATTGGGGCACCTGGCTGGGCACTATGGGGACAGGATGTTGTATTTGATGGGCCATTGTATCCCAGAAACAAGCTCCAATGCATGTAATTAGTGGAGCAGGATTAGGGTTAGCCTCCTAAAGCTTTAAAGCAGTGCAGCGGGAGTCGGGGGGGGGGGGTTACATCCTATCATTGTTTCACCACATTAGATATACAATGGTACCTCGGGTTAAGAACTTAATTCGTTCTGGAGGTCTGTTCTTAACCTGAAACTGTTCTTAACCTGAAGCACCACTTTAGCTAATGGGGCCTCCCACTGCCGCTGCTGCACGATTTCTGTTCTCATCCTGAAGCAAAGTTCTTAACCCGAGGTAATATTTATGGGTTAGTGGAGTCTGTAACCTGAAGCGTATGTAACCCGAGGTACCACTGTACAGTATTTACTGGCACTTACAGGCACTCCTGACCATGCACTATTAAGCATCCTTGGCCTCTGTATTTTTAATATCTCTTTCAGGATTATGCCTGGTCTGTTTTCCCAACCAGGATAACTTTTTAAAAGATGGCTCATACAGAGCTAAAGGTGTACCCATGCAGAAACCTGTGATCCAAAGATATTTCACACAGGTCTGGCGGAATGTGGGTACTTGTTTGAGGGTTGCAAATAGCTGCTGCTGGGTTTATTGGAAAGGGTTTTGGGAGAAAATCAGAAACAATCTTGCTTTCCTTATCTGAGACACAACCAGTTAGTTTCAAGTTATCCGCTGGGTAATTAACCAAAAGGCATATTTTTTAAATCATGGGACTTGGGACATAGAGACTTCTTTCTTCTTTTGTAACAAACGCTAACTTTTTTCCTGTTGCTTTTTTAAATGATGCATTAGAGAGAAATGTTTTCACAAAATAAAATATCTTAAATGATAACTGGGTGCCAGATCATTATTTTTAAAAAAGAGCAATTTGAGTCCATGTTTTCAGTTAAAATAGCAGGACTTTAGGCATTTAAAAATAAATGATTGTTAAGTCTGTCTTAATGGAAACCTTGGCAAATCTCCACAGGATTCGTTGTTCTTCTGAACTTTTTTCCTGCCCAGACATATTTAAACATGTATTAAGTTCAGAGGGTTTGGGGTTGTTGGGGTTTTGGTTTTTTTCACTTTCTTTATTTCCCCCCCGCCCTTGAAAGTTAAAATAAAATGGATAAGAAAAACCCTCCGTAAGATTATTTTAATTCTTTTTCACTCCTGCAAGCTAGGAAATTATGTTCATGGAGGAAATATAAACAGGTAACACACATCTGTAAATTATTTTCATGTCCCCAGGGGCTGAAAAAAAACCTTCTAAGTGAAACCAGCATGCTTATATATTTTGCCCTGACAGCTCAGGGAACAAAAAAATTGCCAAAATGTGGAGGCTGAGGAGAGTCCCAGCGTGGGAAAGTTGGTTTAGTGAGAAATTTGCCCTAGGCTATTTAAATAAAATCAGCCACTTTTTTCTGGCAAATGCATGCTCCACACGAATCCTACAGCTACTCAATTGCCCAGACAGTTGGGTGGGTGCACCATCCATGTCCCTTTCATCTCTCTTACATAATCACACAATCAATATCTTGGCTTTTAAACAGATGGGGCACTGGACCCCCAAAAGCCTGCTATCAGATTTGATTTTACTTGCTTTTTCTAGCCAAATTTGTCAAAATGATAAAGGGGGCAGAGCAATTCCCCTAGGTGGAAAGTTTGCAGTGTCTGGGCCTTTTTTAGTTTAGAAAAAAAAAGTCAAGTAAGAGGTGACATGATAGATGTTTATAAAATGATGCATGACATAGAGAAAGTGGACAGAGAATAGTTTTTCTCCGTCTCTCATAATACTATAATACAAGGATGTTCATTGAAGCTGGATGTTGGAAGATTCAGGACAGAAAATAAAAGACTTCTTCATCTGGTGCACAGTTTTCTCCTACAGCAGTCAGAAAAAGCTGCACAAGCCATAAAACATGGCTTAGTTGCAGTGGTGAAAGTTCTTAAATTATTGGTATAGGAACTCAAAAGAGTGGCTTGTGAGAGCCATGCGGCTAAGCTGGAGGAACCTTATATGAGGCTAGCTATCCCATGAATGAAACACCTTCTCCAGCTTTGCTTCACTGCCTCTGTAGCTGGAGAGCATCATTGGAACTCTGGTCATGCTTGCTTGCCTGGATGGAACATAGAGAGGGGCATATGTAGAGATCAGCCTATGGAACAAAGATATACATTTGCATCCATTGCTGGGTCCACTTTTGCCTGAAGCCCCATTCACTGTGTAGTCCCCAGAAGATCACCCAGAAGGGAATGTGCCCCCCCAGGCTGAAAAATGGTCCCCCATCCCTAACATATATGAAGCTATTTTAGAATAAAAGTCAGACCCTTGGGTCAATCTAACTCAATATTGTCTGCACTGACTGGCAGCAGCTGTCCAAAGGTTTAGATAGGGGCCTGCCTCTCCCAGCCCTGCCTGAGGATGTTATTGGGAATTGACTCCAGGACCTCTTGTATGCAAAGTAGGTGTCCTACTACAGAACTACAGCCCTTTCACCTAAATATAGAATATGATTCTAGTCATAGTTGTGGAGAAAGGGCTGAATTAAATAGAAAAGTTGAGAGCTGCCTTATACTGAGTTAGATATTTGGTCCACCGAGCTCACTATTGTCAGTATTGACTGGCAGATGCTCGCCAGAGTTTCAGGCAGGGAGTTTCTCCCAGCCCTACCTGAAGCCTTCTGCATGCAAAGCAGCTGCTCTATCACTGAGCAGCAGTCCTTCCCCATATGTTCAGATAGGTTTAGGCCCAGGTGCCAGTATTTCTGAGGAATGAAACATGCATTAGCTATCTGCATTATTTCACATAAAGCACGGAAAATGAATCAACCCTGAGAATTGTGGTGTTCCTGTTTCCCTGTGGGTGGTCAGCCTGTCTCATTTGGAAATAAGTGAAGTGCTAATGAGGCTTTAAAGTTTGTTTCTGGCCTCTTAGCCCTGAGGAAGTTAGAACGAGATAGATAACCAAGTAGAGGCTAGATACTACTTTCCTTTTCTTTGATAGGGCCCCTGCTTCATGCCATCAGTTTAAAATGGTAACTTTAAAAAAAAAAAGTTTGCATTTATAATTAAAAGCCAAAGGCTGCAGTTCAGCTGTCTGAATATATCTTGTTAAAGCACCCAATGTGTTTTACAATTTGAACTGTTGAAGTCAAATGTAAACATCACTGAGTTCAATGGTGGATCCCTGCAGGAAGCTATTTATAAGATGACAGTCACACTGATCCTAAGAAATGGAGCATTTGTTCTATAGGGTGCTCCTGTTTTCCAGGCAGATGTTAGTCTTAACTTGGGGGAGTGGGGAGTGGTGGTGTATCAGCTGCCAGGAGGCTGAGAAACGCCGGTCTAGGTGGCTCCTAGTTGTGGTGGAGCCCAAAGGTATCATTATTAATATATAATGCCCTTAACAACTTGGGACCAGTTTACCTGTGAGATCACCTTGCCCCATATACACTCACTCAACTGCTTCAGTCCTTAGAACTGGTGCTGTTACAGGTGCCACATAACACCCACTCTGCATCTGTAAGAACTTGATATTTTAGTGTGGCAGAACCTACACTCTGGAACTCCCTGCCTATTGACATCAAGCAGGCATCTTCGCTGCCCTCTTTCAGCATCTGATAACATTTTTGTTTAGACATGGAATGTTGGTGTATGTTTCAATCTGTATTTACTGGTAGTTTATTGATGGTTTTGCCTTTGGCATGTTTTAAAGAGTTGTTTTTGCTGATGATTTTATTGTTTTATTCTCTTTGTAAACTGTTTCAAGGTATTTCTTTTTTAAAAAAGAAAATAAAAAGCCGTGTATAAATTATATGAAATAAAAAATTCAATGAATGTAGTTGTGTGTGGGGAGGCAAGGGAATTTCTTTCCTGGACAACATTTGCTTTTTAGCCCAAGATACATAAATGCTTCCATTGGCAGGGATGGAACTTCAGGGTTTGTGTGAGAAAGGCGGGATTGGACAGATTTTAAAAAATGCATCAACGGAAATGCATTGATGGCAGCAACAGCAGCAAGTGTGCCAAAGAGAAACTGTAAGCTGGATTCCTCATCCTACGTGTCTGGGCAAGAGGCCTCAACTGCCACTTTATTCTAAAGAATAAAGGACGATGAACTCATTCCTAGAAGGAAGTTAATGCAACTGGATTTTTTTGTGTCTGTGAATCTCCGTGCCATTCAAAGCACCTTATAGTCCTGATTGTCCCTATGGTAGATTCCTTAGTGCCTTCAAAGTACAGTTTTTAAAATAAATAAAATTGTTTATTTTAAAATAAATAAAATTAAAAAGAATATCAGAATAGCCTGACTGAAAAAATAAGCTCCACCTAAACCAATAAAAATAATAATTTTATTATTTATACCCTGCCCATCTGGCTGGGTTTCCCCAGCCACTCTGGGCGGCTCACAGCATATCTAAAAATATAAAACACCAAGCGTTAAAAACCTCCCGATAGAGGGCTGCCTTCTGATGTCTTCTAAAAGCAATTCTTTATCTCCTTGACATCTGAAGGGAGGGCATTACACAGGGAGGGCACCACTACTGAGAAGGCCCTCTGCCTGGTTCCCTGCAACTTCACTTCTCGCAGTGAGGGAACCAGCAGAAGACCCTCAGAGGAGGACCTCAGTGTCCAAGCTGAGGTGGAGATGCTTCTTCAGGTATACTGGGCTGAGGCCATTTAGGGCTTTAAAGGTCAGCACCAACGCTTTGAATTGTGCTCAGAAATGTCCTGGGAGCCAGTGAAGATCTTTTAGGACCGGTGTTATATGGTCTCGGCAGCCACTCCTAGTCACGAGTCTAGCTGCTGCATTCTGGATTAATTGTAGTTTCTGAGTCACTTTCAAAGATAGCCCCACGTGGAGCACATTGCAGTCGTCCAAGAGCAAGTTAACCAGGGCATGCACCACTCTGATGAGACAGCCTGTGGACAGGTAGGGTCTAAGCCTGCGTACCAGATGGAGCTGGTAGACAGCTGCCCTGGACGCAGAATTGACCTTCACCTCCATGGACAGCTGTGAATCCAAAATGACTCCCAGGCTGCGCACCTGGCTGACATTCTCTTGGCATCGAAGGCTGTGCCCAGATGTACTGGGTGATCACAAAACAGGGTATATAAACAAAGAGAGAAAAGTAGGGCTATACAGTTCTTGTATGTGGAGGTTCCTTTTAAAAAAGAATGTGAATGTCCATGCCATTCAAAGCAGCTGTAGCCCTGATAGTCTCTGTGGTAGATTTCTCTGTGCTATTAAAGTACAGTGTTGTTTTCTTTTTTAATTTTTTTTTAAAGGTTATAAGAATAGGATGGCTGAAGGAAGCTCCATCTAGACCAACACTCTCTTGAAAAATGAGGCTGTGTGTGGATGATCACAAAACAGGGTGTGTGGCAAAGAGAGAAAAAGCCTGGGGCTTAACTGCTCTTGGATAAGTAGGTTCCATTTTTATGCCATTTTATGCCATTGCTCTTATTCTCCAGTAATTGGTCTTATTTACTTCTCAGCTGGAGGATTTCCCCAGGAACTGGGACACACAATAGATTACGCCTAGGACAACACAATAGTGGCAACCCAGCAAATAATGAATTGTGTGTAGCAGCAGAGCTCTTTCCTTGGGACGCAAGGAGCCCTGGCAGACGAACTCCACAAATACAAGGGGGAAATCCTGGTGACAACAGTGGGAAGCCACACCTTTCATCTCAACCTGCTTGTGGGCTCTGCAGAAGCCTCTGGCTGGCCTCTGTTGGAAACAGAAGAGTAGGCTTTTGCCGTGTTCTTGCAACAGCCATGTTTGCACACCCTAGTAAGCCACAAACCATACTTATGCGAACAAGCAGTGTGGTCCATCTAGCTCAGTACTGTCTACACTACCCGGCAGCTGCAGCTCTCCAGTGTTCCAGTCAAGGGATCTCCACATCCACTCGGCTGGAGATGTCATTGGGAATTCAACTTGGGGCCCTATGCATGCAAAGCAGGTGCTCTACCCACTAAGCCACAGCACCTCTCACAACACAGGTTTATTATTCTTATTACACATAGATTAGAGTTCCTTGCTTGGTTCTGTGCAAAAAAATTAATCAGGGGTTTGAAATGCAGGTTTTTCATACATGGGTGTGGGTGTGTATGTGTGCACGTGCGCACGCGCGCGCGCGCGCACACACACACACACACATATACAGAGCCCTAAGGTTTCCATGGGTCCAGCCAGAGTCTGCAGGGTGTCTGTCTATGTGGCACCCATGGCTGGGTCCTTGCTTTAGGAAGAGGCTTTCTCACTAGGCTATAGAATCAGAATTGTAGGGTTGAGATGTACCTTCAAGGGTTATCTAGTCCAACCCCCTGCATTGCAGGATTCACAATAGTACCTGGCAAATTGCCATCCAACCTCTGCTTAAAAACCTCCAAAGAAGGAGAGTCCACTGCCTTCCGAGGGAGTCTGTTCGACTGTTAAACAGCTCTTACCATCAGAAAGTTCTCCCTAATGTTTAGTCTGAATCTCCTTTCTTGCAACTTGAATCTGTTGGTTAGAGTTCTGCCCTTTGGAGCAGCAGGAAGCAAGCTTGCAAGCTTGGGACAGCCTTTCAGACATTTGAAGGTGGCTGTCAGTTCACCTCTCCCTCTCCTCTTCTCCAGGTGAAACACACCGGTCCCAACCATATGGATGAAGACGTGCCTGAGGTCGGTCCCCTCCTCCTCCTCCTGCTTTCTCCCTCAAAGCACAGGGGGCGGGGGCTATCATACTTTTATGATCATTGCTGAAGTTGCTGCTACCCCCTCCCCTGTGTGAAAGGACTGGTTTGAGGAGTGGGCTTCCCAGCACTCCCTGACCCTGAGTGTCTCTAAGTGAAAATGCTGCCTGGATGAGGGCCAAGCATAACAGCGAAACCCTTCTCCTACCTCCCTTCCCAGTCAGACCAAGATGATCAAATTTGCGGGATTCGGATCTAACTCATGAAGTTGAAGGTCCTTGAAAAATTGAAAAGGGGACATTCAAATGATCAAGGGGATGGAGTGCCTCTCCTATGAGGAAAGGGTGCAGCATTTGGGACTTAGTTTAGAGAAAAAGTAAGTAAGGTGTGGCATGATAAAAGTTTGTAGAATTATGCATGCGACACGGAAAGCAGACAGAGAAAAGCTTTTTCCCCTCTCTCATAACACCAGTACTTGTAGACATCCAATGAAGCTTAATATTGGAGGATTCAGAACAGATAAAAAGAATGACGTCTTTATGCAGCACAGTTAAATGTTGGAACTCACTCCCACAGGAGGCAGTGATGACCGCCATCTTGAATAGCTTTAGAAGACGACTGGAAAAATTCATGGAGGAGAGGGCTATCAGCGGCTACCGGCCACAGCTTGTTTTTTCCTGATTCAGAGGGTAGGTCTAGAACTGATTGCTTCAAGTTATAAGAAAGGAGAGTCTGACTAAATATCAGGAAAGCTTTCTGACACTAAGAGCTGTTTGACAGTGAAACAGACTCCTTTAGAAGGTGGTGGGTTCTCCTTCATTTTAAGTTTTTATGCAGAGATCAGATGGCCATAGATTCTGTAGCTGGGATTCCTGAGTTGCAGAGGATTGGACTAGATGACTCTCTGGGTCCCTTCCAACTCTATAGTTCTATGATTCTATGAATAGCTGTGCTCTTCCCTCACAGTTGGAGGCAATAATGCTTCTGAATCACACTTGCTAGTAACCACAGGTCCCGTCTTCCTCACCTTTTCTCTAAATTTAAAAGCTGCAGCCTTTCTTCATAGAGGAGTCGTTCCATCTCCTTGATAATTTTGGTTGTCCTTTTCTGAAGCTTTTCTAACTCTGCAATATCCTTTTTCAGGCGAGGTGACCAGAACGGTACATAGTGTTCCAAATGAGATTGCACCATGGATTGGTATGATAGCATGAAGATATTGGTACAATGCCATGCTGAGACTCAGGCAGGTCAATTTGGGGAGAGACTGGCATCGCTCCTGAGCAAGTTCAGTCATGACCTGGTTTGGCCATTGGGCCACTGGTCTGTTCTTTCCTACCTTAGAGCTGCTCTTGGGGAACATCCCACCCGTGTCCTACAACTGTACTCTCTCTCTCTCCACCTTGCCCCATTTAAATTTGCAATAATGCACCTACATTAAAGCATGCTGGCGAAGGCAATGAAAAACTCTCATAGATGCTGGTTTCCACTAGGAAAGGAGACAAAAGTTGTACCTCACCTTGCAAAATAGCAACTAAATGAGTAGTGCATAAATTCAAAGAGCAACCTGCCTATAAATGCCCTTTGCCCAATTCTCATAGGACTGGACAGATTCATGGAGAGTATGACTATCAGTGGCTACAGTAAATGCCTTAAATATCAGTTGCTGGAAACTGCAAGTGGGGAGAGAGTGATGTCGTGTTTGGGTTCCGCTTGTGGTCTTCCCTTTGGGGCAGCCGATTGTCTACTGCAAGGACTAAGTGGGCTTTGGCCTGACCTAGCAACACTGTTCTGATATTCTTATGGAACCTGGCACCCATTACAGGAATCCCTCAAGCAGGACCTACCTGACTGCAGTAAGAGCTTCCCAGCTACTGATATTATTCAGAGGCATCCTGCACACCTTGCTCTGGTATGCGCTTTTTTGTACACATTACTGGGCTGGAGAACTGTATTGCAAAATGTGGAGAAGTCCAAATGTCAAAGGATAGTTGGTGTGCTGCTTTCAAGATTGCAAATTGTGCAAGTTCATGCTTAAAGGCAGGCTTGACTCTCCCTATGCCCCCCGCCACCATATGGGGCTCAGGCAAATGTGCTTGATCCGCAGCAGGGATCTGGTGTGCAACACGAAAACAATCACTGCTATCAGGAGGCAGGAAACACAGTTGAAAAAGGAAGAAAAATGGCATCAAAGTCCATTTGTTAGGGGAGAAAATAAACAGGAAAGGGGCAGATAAACTATTGTCCAAGAGAAAATAAGAGGCGGCAACAGGAGTAGCAGGAGGAGAGGCAGCTCCTGAGGGACCTCAAGTCACCCGAATTGCAAGCTTTCCTCCAAACCCAGAAGAGTTTGCATGGCCCAGAACAATTATTTATTTATTATATTTATTTATTGCATTTATATCCAACCTTTTTTCTGCTAGGAGCTCAAGGTGGTGCTAGCACATCTTGCAGCTTGGATGAATTAGACTGGAATAATCACTTACAGTTTCTAGAGTTCTTAGGCCTTGTTTATGCAGGAACTATTTACAGGATGAGTAGAGATGAAAAGAAAGAGACACAAGGAGGATGGCTCAGCTTTTAGGGGTGGAGTTAGCTTAGACAGAGAGGCTACAAGCAAGTGCTGGCTAGATTGCTCCACAAGCAGTGCCCTCATGTAGTTTAAACTAGTACAAGTACATACATTTACTACAAACTCAAACTCTGAACCCCCACAATGACCCTGTGAAGTACGTCAGGTTGAGAGGCAGTGGGTGGCCCAAGGGCACCCAGTGAGCTTCATAGCCAAGTGGGGATTTGAGTTTCCAGGTCTTTGTCCAACACTAGCTTCTATACAACAAGAGTGCTTCCAGAGGAGTCCATCTTATTGGCAGGAATGTCAGGAGAGCCCCTGAACGCAATGCGGCTGGCTTACTACACTTTGAAGGACATGATTTAATAAACGCTGCTAGTTAAAGAAAGGACTCCATAAGTCCATTTAGCCTAGGGTCTAAAATTATCCAAGGGTATTGCTATTGAAAGCTACTTTGCACCAGGCAAAGTTGTTCACTTATCTAGTCCAATGCACAGGGACGCTTAATCAGGCCCATTTGTTGATCTGGCTCAGTATTGCCTACACTGACTGGCAGAGGCTTTCCAGAGTTTCAGGCAGGGGACATTTCTGGCCCCACAAGGAGATGTCATTGAATAATAATAATTGTTGTTGTCATTATTATTATTATTATTATTATTATTATTATTATCATCATCATTTCTATATAGCTTTATAATTTTAAAGAAAAAAAATATCGAAGTGGTTTACAACAGATTAAAACATCAAATAAAATAATCCATAATAAAATATTGCTGAATAAAGTCAAGTATAAAGTATACATTCAAAGCAGCACACAAGGCAGATGCTCTGCTACTTAATTATGGCCCTTCCTACAAACAAAGTAAGATTCTAGTCCTCGTAGTTCTGAATAAAGAGCTGAATTAAATAGGAATTTAGGTCCATATAGCCTTCTGCTGCTACCAGTCATTGTTCTTTAGTGATTTGTTAAGTCTTTTTAAAGACTGTGTCATTTTATGCATTTTTATTAATCTATTTGCCTGTTGCAAATGCCCTTTGCAAAGGACAGACATATAAATGAATGAGTGAATGAATGCTATGGTTGGACTGTTGGGAGTTAGGAAGTGAGAAATGGAAGAAGTGTCCTTATTTATTTATTTATTTTAATTTCTAAACTGCCCTTCATCCGAGGATCACAGGGTAGCTTATAACATAAAAACACAAAATTTCATAACAAACAAAATATCCCTTCCCACGCACAGTTTAAAGGGCAATTGATTGTTTAATTAGCCAAAGGCCAGAGAGAAGAGGAGTGTTTTTGCCTGGTGCCTAAGGATATGTAGTGAAGGTGACAGGTGAGCCTCCCTGGGGAGATGCTCTGCTACTTAATTATGGCCACCACATAAAATGGGGAGTCACCACATAAAAAGGCCGCTCTCATGTTGCCACCCTCCAGACCTCTTGTGGAGGGGGCACATAAGGAAGAGACACTGATGGTGATCACAGTGTGAAATTTTAGGGAAAAAATACACTGGATTGGGTGTCCTCTGAGTCTCCAAAATCAGCTCTGAGTCTGGAAGAGGACCAGGGGTTGCAATCATAGAATTGAAAGGCACCCAAAAGGCCGCCTAGTCTAACTCCCCTGTAATGCAGGAACCACAGTTAATGGCCGGGCTGTATCCACTTTGAGAAGGTGGGTAGCTGGGGAACAGAAAGTTCCCTGGTTCTGGCACCATTCAGGGTCCCTGCAGTGACTCTAAGCACAAATGGACTCTTGCAGTGTTCTTCAACCTTTGGTCTCCAGCTGTACTACAATACCCATTATCCCTGGCCATGGGCTAATCCGTATGGGGGTGATAAGCATAGTAATTCAACAATATCTGGGGGCCCACAACTGAAGGACAGTGGACTGTTGCCTGGGTGCCTTTCCCAGAAGCATTTGATAAAGTGGCTGATGGTATCCTATTGAATGTGGGCAGTTTGAGTTGGATAAACTGGGATCATGGTAAACAGGGCAGGCTAGTAGATCTCAGCACCCTACTGCTGGGTCAGGAGCAGGATTTGGGGGTTATTTTTCTGAGAAAGACACACACGGGCGGGGGGGGGGGGGGAGAGAGAGAAGCAGAAGAAAGTAATAAATGCAGCCTCAGCAAGGATTAAAGGAGCCTGTCCGAGTTGTTGAACTTGGGCACTGCGTTCCCAAAGATTATTGTGTTCAAAAGGCATTCCTAACATAGTTTATTCCCAGTCATCTGTTGCAATCCATGGCTGCTCTACAAACTGGAGCATTTGCTCCAACTTCACCCCCACCCCCACCCCCCTGTCCCATCTCATAAGTGTAACCCTAGCAGCTCAGGATCATTACATGGGGATGAGGGGCTTGAAAGAGAGCAGAGCTTTTGCTTGGGTGCCTGCTTTTACGCACTGCTAGACATCTTCTCTCTGTGCCTATCCCCCCCCCCCCCAATTATCTGACATGAATTCAATGCAAGGCAGAAATCTGGAAGAATCCAAAGCAGGCAAGCTCATTTTGTTTGGTGTCTGTGTCTACTAAGCACAGCTCATTTGCACAATGCACAGGACCACATAAGAATGTCAGGATTACTTTGCTAGATCTTTTAAAAAGGTTACTGCCTTCCACCAAATCAGAATACTGGCCCATCAATCTCAGTATTTTCAGCACTGACTGGCAGCAACAGCTCTCTGGGGTTTCAGATAGGGGGCATTCCGAGCCCACTGGGAGATGCTGTTGTGGATCAAAAGGAGATCCAATTCAACATTAGGAAGAGTCGTTTGACAGTGGGAGAGACTCCCTGAGTAGGTGGTGGACTGTCCTTCATTGGATGTTTTTAAATAGAGGTTAGGGGACAACTGTCAGGGATTCTTTAGCTGCAATTCTTGCATTGCAGGGGGTTGGACTAGATGACGCTTGGAGTCCCTACAGTTCTATGGCTCTTTGAACCTGGGACCTTCTGCATGCATGACAGGTGCTCTGCCACTACGCTGCGGTCCTTCCAAGTCTAGATTTACTGTTGGAGGTCCATCTCTCCCCCCCCCCCCAATACACAATGTCCATTGCATGGGTAAATGACGAATCAGGTGACAGCATTAAGGAGGCTGCAGCTTCAGCACTGAGACAGCAAATCCTTCCTTTGACCTTGGACCAGAGGTGCTAAACCTGAGCTGCCCACTTCCCAGCTTCCAGTTCCCATTTAACTCAGCAGCTGTTTTGCTTTGCAGTGGAAGATTGCAAAAGGAGTATATTGCAAAAATGAGAGGCCCCCCCACCCATTTACTAAGGCTGTTTCACTAAGCCTGGTTGAGGGACGTGGCCCCCTGCTCTGTGCTGATGACCTCCAGATCGTACATGTGGCTTTCAGGTCCCCATTTGGAATGTGCCCCAGCTGCTCTTTAGAATTGCCCTCTGTGCTTGGGAATGCCTTTCCATAACAGGAAGAGGAACCCTCAGTGGTGTAAGGATAGCTGCAGCAGGAGGAGCAGGTTTCCTGGCTAACTTTGTTTCAGAATCATACCATGGTGAAGGGCAATGATGGTCAGTGGCATCGTGGGGGGAGGGCACAGGGGCCGCGGCAACAGGCGCAAATTTCTGAGGGGTGTAACCAGGCACCCCCATGACAGGCTCCCTCATCAAGGCTGGAGCCGTGGGGAGGCAAGCTGCACCCAGGTCCTGTTTGCAGGATTCCCACTGGGGCATCCGGTTGGCCACTGTGGCAGGATGTTGGACTATGTGGGCTATTGGCCTGATTCTGCAGACTTCATATATATAATATATATATATATATATATATATATATATATATATATACACACACACACACACACACACACGAACACAGACACAGAGTGTAAAATTATAGGTACTAGCATAGCTGTCGTTTCCCTTTTTTTAAGGGAAATTCCCTTATTCCGAATAGGATTTCTCGCAAGGAAAGGGAAAAATTGACAGCTATGGGTACTAGTATTCATAAGGATATTCATGGGGTAAATATTTAAAGCACAATTAAGCATATATGTATTATGTGTTATATATAGGATAATGTATATATTATTTAATGGGGTAAATCAGTTAATTGTACTATATACATAATAGTATTAAGATCATCATCCTTGTTCCTGGGATTCCGCCATTTTGCGCAGGGGCCCTTTGATGCCTCATAAGCAGTGTTTCAAGCTCAGCCAGAGGGGGGGAAATGCAGGAGAGAGAGAGAGAAGAGAGAGTTGCAGAAAAAGTCCCTTTTGTCCTTCCCCACAAAGGGGCTTTGAGCTGTGTTATCTGTTGGGCAGCAGCTCAGCGAATGGCCAGGAGGCCTCTGGATGCCAGCAGAGGAGGAATAGTGAGACCGGGCCAAGGCAGGGCTCCCTCCTCCTTCCAGGCACATAAGAAAGGAGCCGGTCCATCAGATAAAGTCCCTCTGGAAGAGACAAGGATCTCTCTCTTGCAGGCATTCCGGCTGTTCCGGATTGAGAACTTCATGCAAAACCAAGGCCTGCAGGGAGCTTTAGAAACCAGCCAGGCTGCCAAAAAGGGTCCCTGGGGCCTGGTTTTCGCAACAGGGCTCGAAGACACCCCCCCAAGCAAGCTGTCAACGTGAGGTATGGTGAACACGGCCTTTGTCTTACAGGAGCGACACCATCACACTGGCAGAATCCAAAGGGCACTGAAAAGAGGCCACAAATTCTGCAGCAAGGGATCATGCAAACTGCTGAAATCTTGCAAACTCAGCACATTTGCTAGTATGGTTGTCGTTCTTGTTATTTATTGCATTTCTATCCTGTCTTTTTCTCCAAAGAGCTCTCGTTTAATCCCCAAAATAACCCTGTGAGGTAGGTTACACTGGGAGGCAGCAGCTGGCTGCAAGGTTACCCAGGGAGCTTCATGGCGGATTGGAGATTTGAACCCTGGTCTCCCAGCTCCTAGTCCAACACTAACCACTGTGTCACCACTGGCTGATGGCACTCAACTTTATGTGCTTCTCCTTGTGTTGGAAGGAGGGGGGTTGTGGAGACCACTTGAGACAGCAACAGGAACTCTCCCCCCTCCCATGCCTCTGCTGTTCTCATTTGCATCTAGAACAGAAAGAAGAGGCCTGCAGCTGAATCAGTCAAGGGAGGCCCACCTAGACCAGCCTGCTGTTCTCACAGTGCCCACCAAGTGCCCCAAAGGAAAGTCAATGCAGGATATGAGCCTGACAGCAACTCTCCCCTCCAGAGATTCTAGCAACTGGTATTCAGAAGCATTACTGGTGGAGGCTGAACATAAAGAGGAACCTAGGAATAGGGGGCATCTAGTTCCCACAGTGTCCTAACCCCAAACTACTGGGCCAAAGCAATGTGATGCAGCCCCACCAAACCTCCATTAAGGTCCCTTGGTTGTTGCTGTTTTCAAGTTTGCTCAGTTTTGACTTGCAAAAGGGAAAGGTCCCCCTATACCTTACATAAATCGATGCTATGACCTGCTTTTTGTGAAGAGCCAGTTAATTTTCTGGTTCAGAGCTCAGGGCAGCTGGGAAAAGGCTTTGCAGAGAGAAGCCGCGTTGGACCTGAGCTCCTGTGCTCTGGGCAGTATGAAAACTGTGGGCGTTCCTCCACCCCCACCCCAAATTCCTCTCTCCAACGTTTCCAATCCAGACCGCTTGAGGGTGGGGGAGGCGGGTGCTGTGAAATGACTTCCTGGTTCCCAGACTTCACATGCCAGCAGTGGCCTTTATTTATGGCCCTGGAGGCTTCCCTCTTGAGCATAAATCAGGAAGGGGGAGGGGGAAGGTCAGCCTAGTTCCTGAGCATGGATGCAAAGGGCTTTCCCTATACTCCGGGAAGCTGGACCTCTGTGTGTGTGTGTGTGAGCATGGGAAGAGTTAAAGAGGGAGCCTCTGGCCTCTGCCCAGTTCCCTCCCTCCCACATCACAATTGAACCAGGAAATAAACAAAATTGATGCATATTTGTTTCATTTCACAGCTGGGAGATAGAAGGATTTCCTCTTTGATTTCCTGCTTCCAGAGGAGAGGTGATGCGCAATACAGGGGAAGCTGCCCTGTTACGGAGACAGACCATTGGTCCACCAAGCTCTATCTTGTAAACACTGGCTGGCAGCAGCAGCAGCACCACTCCAGGTTTTATGGCGGAGAACATTCCCAGGCCTGCATTGACTGAACCTAGGACTTTTTGCTTGCTAGCTTCCCCAGCCCCTGACTGAGAACCACAAGCACAGGAATCTTAACTTTATTTTTTAAGGGAAAAGTACCATGCATGGTTCCATGCCGTGAGGGAACAAAGCAGGGTATAGATGTAAGAGAATAAATGAATAAAAATGCAGACAGCAGCTTAATTCTCAGTTTGGGAATCTCTCGCCTCCCCCCATCACACCTCCCCACACCCTGCAAAAATACCCAAGATTTTTGGCTGACTCTCTCAGAGCAACTTTCACACCTCCCAGAGAGTCCCAGCCAGGCCTCAACACCTCTGCAGCTTGGAAGGGTGTGAAATAGCACTGGGTACCAGCCTATCAGATTGTGCTGGGCCTGGGATGCCAGGAAGCCAGCAGCCCTTGACACCTAAGTGAGAGAAGCAGAGAACTCCCTTTGACACCAGTGGCTACTTTTAAGATAAAAGCACCACGGAGGTCCCTGGCAGAGTCTGCAGAAATGAGGATCCCAGCTGAGGGGATGGTGCTTGGACCTAAAAGCCAGCCAGGTGTCTCTTTTTGTGTGGGCCTCATTCTGAAAGGCGCTGGGGTCTCAGCTCTGCCTGGGCATCTCCTACTCTGACCCTGTCAGGGCCCAGGAGAGAGGGAGGTAGGGGGTACATCGCGCCACTGCCATGAATCAAAAAGGGGGTTTGGAAGTCAAAAGAGGAGACCCAGAAATTTCCTGGGACCTCAGAAAGCATTTGCATATATTGTATGAAGCCTATTATTTACATTTTGTGTAAGCCTGCATAAAATTCCATGACACTTCTCCCCCCACCAACTTCCTCATCTGCCAGTTCCCCCCTCCCCCTGGGCAATCCAGAGAGGCAGCGCTGAAGTCCCAGCAAACAATATTGCGAGTGGGCAAGTTGAGAAGGTGGGCTTGCTTTGCCTCTCCTGCGGGAGATGCACACTGTCTACTGTCTGCTGGACCGGTGAAGGGCAAGGAGTGTTGGCACTGATGTCCACCTTGAAGCAGAAGAGGGTGAAGCATCTCGTGGCCATTTTTGGGTAAAATTATCTTTTCCAAACAAGTCATCTAAGAATCAGGAAATAGTTTGTATTTGCATTGATTCAAATTACATTTGCAGAAGTATAATAGAAGTAATAAAAGCAAAAACACAAAAAAACTCTACCAACGCCCCCACCCATTTTCCCCCCATAGTTTTCTGCTTTATTAATACTATGAATAGAAGACTGGGTCATTATTCATCTCTCTGAATTTTTATTTGGGCTTTTTCTGGAAAAAGGTGTTGTTAATTTGGAATTACTGGTTAACCTGAGAAACAGTGTTGCTTTAGAATGAACAAGGAATTGCAAAGTCTTTTTACAATTGAACACAACTCAAATTATTTTGGCCAATTTGCAACAAGCTGCAAAAATTTCAGGGGCGCTCCTGCTGCATTGTTGTTTTGATCAAGCAAGCACAGCTAGGTGCTGCAGTTTTAACTTATATTTATAATATTGCTTACAACACGTCAACACGCACGGAGGTACAGAACGTAACCCCCATGCAAAACAAAGATTGCCTGTATATATCTTTTTGTCACATTCCCTTTCCCCCCTTTCTTCAGATATAAAAATATTAATTTATAAATCATCTCTCCAAAATGTATTCTCACAAATCATGCGCCCAGAAGAGAAAAGATAGGAAGAATGAAAAAGGGGGTCAACAAACACTTAACCCAACAAACTGGATTAAGTGCAGCTTCAGAAAAAAACCTTTTCATTGAACTCATCTATAGATTTGGAGCAAGAAGAAACTGTTGGAAACCTCATCCCCAAACAAGGAGCAGTTTATTTGGGTAATCATGCAAAGTATTCTGATGAAGGGGAAGATGCAGAAAATGGAAATGGAAAACAGAAGTAAACAGGCATACAGACGCATGTGGAAGTGAATTTGAAAGATGAAAGGGCTAATCATAATGCAGGCCTTGACATTGGATGCGCCATAACTGAGTTTCCATCTCAAAAGGAAATAGAAAACTATATTACATCTGGGACAGGAGTTGACATCATCTTAGAATTGTCAATAAAAGCTGAAGCTGTAAAATGGTACATGCTTTTAAAGCACATCATCAGTGTTGCACTCTTCTTAGGAGAACGTGGTCTAGTATTTTCTGGTTCATCCCATCGAATTGGTAATCCAAGCAATGGAAATTTTTTAGGACTTACTGAACTGCTCTCCAGGTGGGACTTCAGGAACATGTGCTAAAGTGTAGAAGAGTCCACAGAAAAGGATTGAGTGGTTTCAAGTTCATTATCTGACCTCTGACTCACAAAATGAATTTATTACAGAATGCTCAAATCTTGTGAAATAAACACATTTTGCTTGAGAGGCAATCTGCAAAGTACTTTGCAGTAATAGTAGACTCCACACCAGATTCTTCCCATATGGAACAAACAGCATTTCTTCTGAGATACGTACTTTTAAAATAAATGCAGTATTAGATTCAAGAACGATTTCTCAGCTTTGCAGACTGTGGCAATGAAAAAGGGGAAGAAATTGCTCAGTTGGTAACTGACACATTGAAAGAACATGCTATTCCTTCTCAGTGACTGCAGAGCTCAAGACTACAATAATGGAACAAATATGGCTGGAAAATACAATGGCTCACAAGCAAAAATACAAGAACAATGCTGAACAGAACAATGCTCATACAGAAAGTATATGTTTTACATTTTGGTATACAGTGTTATAGGTGTCTGCTTCAGTGGTGTTAAGCAGTTGGCAGAAAAAATTGATTTCTTGTGGAAATATCTCACCATGCCTAAAAGTGATGTGGAGAGAAAAGCTTTATGTTAGAGCAATATCCTGCTGACCTTAGTGGTGGCGATTATGGAAAATAAGTGCAACATTCACCCTCAGCAAATAAAGCAAATTTTGTAATTGCACAGTTAAAGCCGTTAGATCTGTTGAACTGGTTAACAGAGTACAGACTTGGTGATCTGCTTCCAAATTTCTGTGCTAACTTAAGAATACTATGAACAATTCCAGCAACAGTAGCTTCTGCAGCGGGGTCATTTAGCAAACTTCGGTTAATTAAGAATTACTTAAGGTCTACAATGCCTCAAGGACGTCTTGTGGATTTGGCCAGGCTAAGTATTGAATCAAACATTGCCAAGAACAATTAATTTTCGTGCTGTGATTTGAATTTCCCCCCAAGAAAGGCCTAAAAAGCTTCTTTTAAAAAAAGTAAATAATAAGTTTTCCTACTTTTTCTTTTTACTAATACTTTTGATTATTTGATCTGCATTGCAATATAAAAGGATGATTCAACGTGAATTATTTTTCCTTATCTGTGTTGTGGCATAAACAAAGATATTCATTTCAAATGTGGTTTCTTATCTCTGGCCTTATTTTATTTTTGTTTATCTATTGTTATCATGGAGTGTGCATAAGAGCGTAAGGCCTTCAATTCAGAAAAGTTAACAGAGAGCTCCGCTGTGACCTTCTATCTTCTCCTGTACCCTTTTTGACCTTACAGGCTGCAGCTCATGGCATAAAACCCTAGTGGATAAAAACAGGAAGACTACTGGAGAAGGGAAGAGGCTCAAAATAAACTTTGTGCACCCGCTCCTCCTGATAATATTCTTCTCAGAGGCCCTGGCCCCAGGAACCCTGGCCGGCCGACCCATCACTATGGGAGCCAGTGTGGTGTAGGTATGGGACCTGGCAGAGCAGGGTTCAAATCCCTCACTCCCCCCTGCTGCCGCCGCCACCGAGTCAGCCATGGAGCTTACTGGGTGAGCTCACTCTCAGCCTAACCTATCACACTGGGTAGTTGTGAGAATGAAATGGGGGGGGGGGGAGGAGACATATGTATGTCACCTTGAGCTCCCTGAAGGAAAAAGTGTGATATAAATAAAATAACATAAACAAGAACTTATCTGAAGTGTCTCTAGATGCTGAGTGAACAAGTAAATAGAAAGTACCACATTTTTCCGTGTATAAGACTAGGTTTCCCCTCTAAAAAATAATGTCCAAAATTAGGGGGTGTCTTATACATGGATAGTGCCGAGGGTGGATTTTCTTAAATCTGGGTCCCCCAAAATAGGGGGCGTCTTATACATGGGGGTGTCTTATAGATGGAAAAATACGGTATATCCCACTCCCTTCTGCTATTGGAAGTTTTGTGCGGGGGCCATGCAGGTGTCTGGTCTGATCCAACTAAGGCCTCCTTTCATTCTGTCCATGGAGAGAACCTAAGAAGAGCCCTGCTGGATCAGGCCAAAGGCCTAACTTGTCCAGCATCCTGTTCTCAGAGTGGCCAACAGGATGCCCATATGGGGAAACTCACAAGCAGGACGTGAGCACAACAGCAGCTCTCCCTCTTGTGGCTTCCAGCACCTGATGTTCAGAAGCACTGCTGCCTCCAGCTGGGGAGGCAGAGCATAGCGATCAAGAGCCACATCCACCTCCACAAATATGTCTCATCCTCTTTTAAAGACATCCAAGTTGTGTTGACCATCTCTGCCTCCTGTGGGTGGGAGTTCCATAGGTTAAATCTGTGCTGTGTGAAGAAGCCCTTTCTTTTATCTGTCCTGAATCTTCCAACATGCAGCTTCATTTTTTTGTGTCAGGAACTTCTTCTTTTTTGACAACTTTTTGCTTTGTCCCACCAAAGTTTTTAATGCCAGACATTGTGTCAGTTGCAAATCTGACAACTCCGGGAGTTGTTGAGCTGTCACTGGAAACATGAAATGTGTGGTTTGCTTTGTTTTTGTATCGCCACATATTTTACAATGTTGACTTTTTGTTATGGACAACGGCCAAGACTAATAAATGAAACTAACAATGGATGGGGGGCTTGCCAACTTTTTTGCCCTCGCACGGTTCCTCTGCCTAGGACAGGTGCACAGCAGACCACGGGCAACTTCTCCAGGCTGGCTATTGCTATGCTCAGCTGCACCTCTATCTGGTTAGGGATAGCCTAACTTCTGTTGTCTATCCTTTGGTAACCTCTAGGTTAATTACTACAGTACATTATATGTGTGGCTGCATCTGAAGACGGTTCGGAAACTTCAGCTGGTGCAGAATTCAGCAACTAGGTTGCTCACTGGGGCAAGACAGTTTAAGTACCGTATTTTTCGCTCTATAAGACGCACCCGACCACAAGATGCACCTAGTTTTTGGAGGAGGAAAACAAGAAAAAAAAAATTCTGAATCCCAGAAGCCAGAACAGCAAGAGGGATCGCTGCACAGTGAAAGCAGCAATCCCTCTTGCTGTTCTGGCTTCTGGGATAGCTGCGCAGCCTGCATTCGCTCCATAAGACGCACACACATTTCCTTTTACTTTTTAGGAGGGAAAAAGTGAGTCTTATAGAGCAAAAAATACGATATATAACATCAATCCTGGCCTGACTGCACTGGCTGCCAATGAGTTACTGAGCCGAATTCAAAGCGTTGGTTTTGACCTATAAAGATCCATGCAGACCCTGTGATCATCATCTGAGACCTTGCTGTATCAGGCCAATGGCCCATTTTGTCCAACCTCCTCTTCTCATGGTGGGTGACCAGATGCCCACGATGGGAAGCCCACAAGGACCCGGTCACAAGAGCAACACTCTCCTGCATTTTGCAGCAACTGGAATTCAGAATCTTTACGGTCTCCATCTGTGGCAGGCAGAGCGTAGGCAAAGAGATTTTGGTAGCTCAGAAGCTGACACCCTCCTTGGGGCAGCAGAGCTCTATGGAAACAAAGGTGACATCACAAAAGGAAGGAGGAGAAATGGAAAGGAGTGATCCTCTTTCCTCCACAAGAACCGCACCCTTTCCTTTTACAAGGCTCCTGTCAAAAGAGAAGAGACTGCCCTGCTGGCTAATGATGTTTTAGGCACCTTGGTGTGTTCTACAAATGTCAACCTCGGGGAGGTGCCCTGAAAGTGGGCCCTGAGGCCATGTTGCTGAACGGACTTCTTGCTTGAAAACAGGCCTCTCCAGAGCCCAAGAGAAAAGATATTGCTGGACAGAGAGACATGATGCCAGCAACCTTTCAAGGGCATGACCTGCTGCAGTTTCTGGACTTCTGAGTAAACAGGTAGGAAAGGAAGGGGCTGCCCACTTGAAAACCCATGGCAGATGGCCACCCAACCTCTGCTTAAAAACATCCAGTGAAGGAGAGTCCACCATCTTCCAAGGGAGTCCGTTCCACTGTTGAACAGCTCTTACCATCAGAAAGCTCTTCCTGATGTTCAGCTGGAATCTCCTTTCTTGTATCTTGAATCCTACCCTCTGGAGCAGGAGAAAACAAGCTTGGCCCATGCTCCATAGGGCTATCACATCTCCTCTCAGTCTCCTCTTTTCCAGGCTAAACATACCCAACTCCCTCAACCATTCCTCATGAGGCAGACCCTTCATCATCTCAGTTGCCCTCCTCGGGACTCATTCTAGCTTGTCCAATGTGTTTCTGAAACTGGGGTCGCCAGAACTGGACACACAACTCCAGGTGGGATGTGGCCAAGGCAGAATAAAGCAGTCCTATTGCTTCCCTTGATCCAAAGACTATACCTCTGTTGGTTGCAGCCTAGTATTACATTAGCTTTTTTTGCTGCTGCATCACACTGTTGACTCAGGACAAACTTGTGGTCTACTAACACCCCTAGATCCCTTTAACGTGTGCTGCTGTCATGCCTGGTGCCCCCCATCCTATCCAGCACCTCTTCCCCCTTGTGAATCCTTTCTTAAAGGATGGGGAAACTTACACACACAGAGATTCTGCTAGTGATCTGATTCTGACCCAAGCAGCTGTTGCGGATAATCATAATTTGACTCCTTTATCCTTTCTCTGCTCCCTGGTCCAGGTCCTCTTCAGTTGCAGGGGGAAGTCATGGTGTGTGTGTGTAATTTTCTCCCAGCCTCCCAGAATATAACTGCCTGGAGTTGCATTTAATGAGTTTAGCCAAAATGGGCTGGCTGGAGTGCCTTCTTCCTGCAAGGCAATGGAGGAACTCAATGGCAGACCGATGTGGCCCTGACAATGCCTGCCATTGTCCCACCAGCTCTGTCTGCCAAGGCTCAGCCGAGGGATGAATGGGGCTTGTTTCTGCCGTGGGTTGCCGGCTTATTTATTTATTTGCTTGTTTAAAATGTTTCCATCCCGCCCCCATCCTAGAGGCAGCTCACCACCATTGTTAAAACAACAACGCCCACTCTTTATTAAAAACACACACATGCTGCACAATCAAAACAACGAGGTGGCATTCAACCTTGCATGCAGGAGCTCAGGTTCAGTTCCAGGTAGGGCCAGGAAAAGACTCCCTGCCTGAAACCCTGGAGAGCTTCTGCTTCCAGTCAGACAACACTGAGCTAGATGGACTATTGGTCCGAGTATAAGACAGCTGCTTATTTAAACCATCCCTTTCTTTAGAACAAGGGGAGGCAACCTAAGGCCCAGGGGCCGGATGCAGCCCAATCACCTTCTCAATCCAGCCCGTGGGCGGTCTGGGAATCAGTGTGTTTTTACATAAGTAGAATGTGTCCTTTTATTTAAAATGCATCTCTGGGTTATTTGTGGGGCATAGGAATTCGTTCGTTCCCCCCCCCCCATATAGTCCATCCCACCACATGGTCTGAGGGACGGTGGACCGGCCCACGGCTGAAAAAGGTTGCTGACCCCTGCTTTAGAACCTTGAGGACTGGAATCTTTATTTTAGTTTGGAGTAAGATGTACCACAGCTCAGTGGTACAGCATCTGTTTTGCATGCAGCAGGTCCCAGGTTCCATCCCTGCTGGCATATCCAGGTAGGGCTGGGAATGCCCCTGCCTGAAACCCTGGACAGACACTGCCAGTCAGTGTGGGCAACCCTGAACTAGGTGGACCAACAGTCTGGCTCCGTATTTGGTTTTCGCTCAGAGGAGAGCTGCTGCCAGTCAGTGTATGTAATACTGAGTTAAATGGACCTATGATCTGCAACTGAAGCCGCACATGACAAACATCTGAAACGCTACAGAGCTGCTGCTGCCAGTCAGTACGTGCCATACTCAGCAAGATGAACCAAGGGTCTGATTCTGTACAAGGCAGCTTCCTGTGTTCCCACTGCCTAAGTGGCTCCTTGCTTAGACTCAGCGTGATGTGGCTGCTTCTCCACAGCTTCTGTGTTCGGATCCTTACCAACAACCCTGGGTGCTAGGCCTCTCGCATCTGCATTTTGACAGGTGGGAGGGTGCACGGCAGGCCACCCACAAGGGTGCTGGGTTGGGAGCTGGCTTTCCCAGGCTCAGCACCCATCCTCTCTCCCCACCCTTCCAGGATCTTATTGCTGAAGGAGACCCTTTTCTCTCTCGCCCTTGCCTGGAAAGGGCCTGTGCAAAGCCTGGATGGGTGCCAGGGGGAGGGGCGATGGGCAGGTGGCAGCCTGAGCTGGCACTTCCTTCATCCCTGCCCTTGCCTGAGCCACCATGATTTGAAGCCCCACAAGGCCTCTTGAGGGCAAATATTCTCTCGGCTGGGTGGGATCTGCCCAGACTCATCCCGGGAGCGACGTGGAACCGGAGACAGAGGAACGTTCCCACCGGAGCGCTTCCAAGTCCGTGGCTCGAGGCACTGTGTTCTTGGAGGGAGAAAGCAATAAACAGGTGGATGCAGGAACACCTGCCAGGTCCAGCGGACAGTCTCAACATGCGTAGGTATGGCCTACGGGCCAGGGGAAAGGCGGTGGCTTTGAGTTGAAGAGGAAGCCTTCTGAGGTTGTGAGCCACTTGGCTGCTTGGATCCTGGTAATGGTGGCCCCAAGCACCAGTCCTCTAATGAGATGGGTGTTTCCAGAACTCCAAGGCAGCTTTCATTTGAGGGTGGAAAGATAAAGAAATAAATCACTGGAGCGGGGTGTCAAGGACTTCTACACCTGGGGCTACAAGGCTCTCCTACCGTCAACACAGTTGCTCCACCAGAACAAGGACATTCCTCATCATCTCAGGGATTTTCTACCTGAGTTTTTACCCATGGGGCAACCCTTGAGCTTGTATCGCTGGAACAGGGGTGGCCTTTCTGTGGCCCCACAGGCCTTATCCAGCCTGCTGGTTGTTTCCTTGTGGCTTCCACAAGACCCACAGACAACCCCCACAGAGGGCTGTAGCTCAGAGGCGGAGCACCTGCTTTGCATGCAGAAGGTTCCAGGTTCATTCCCTAACAGCATCTCTAGGTAGGTCGGGGGAAATGTCCCCTGCCTGGAACCAAGGGGAGCCATTTCTGCCTGTCAGAGTTGACAGCCCTGAACAAGATGAGCCAGTGGTCAGACCACTGATCCATCCAGCTCAGTACTGTCTGTGCTGACTGGCAGCAGCAGCTCCTCCAGGATTTTCAGACTGGGAAGCGTTCCCAGCCCTACCTAGAGATGCCACCAGCAACTGAACCTAGGGGCTTCTGCGCGCATATCTGGGACTCTACGAAGGAGCTATGACCCTTCCCTTAAACATGAAGCGAGGTTCTAGTCATCGTTCTGAAGCAAGGGTGGAATTGAATAGGAGCATACTACAGAGTCAGACCATTGGTTCCTCTAACCAATGTGACTCTCCAAGGCTCCAGGTGGGGAACATCTACCTGGAGATGCTGGAAACTGAATGTGGACCTTCTGCATGTAAAGTGAAGATGCTGGAAACTGAATGTGGACCTTCTGCATGTAAAGTGTAACAATAATATCAAGCAGTTGCATCCAGCTAAGCTGCACTTGAGAGTAGATCCATTGAAATTAAGGGGCCTAAATTAGACTACAACCCAAACCTTATTTCAGAGTGATATTTTCTTCCTTTCTGCCCCTTCTCATAGTGCTGGAGCTGTCCCTAGGCCTGAGCCTCCCTCTGACGGAGGCAGCATATCAGGGCCCTTTGGGCCCCCCTGTGATAGGTGTCCTTTGTGTTCCTCCCGCTATGTTTCACAGGAAGGAGGTGCCATGGCATCAGGCTGATAGCCCAGAGGAGGAGGAAGTCTGGATATTGTCATAGGGGACGGATATGGGATTGGCAGAGCAGTTGGTCTCCTCCTTGGGTTCAAAATTGGGAGGGGAGGCACCGGAGATGTGTGTGAGAGAGTCCAAAACTTGCAAGCTAAATCTAAAGTTATTTGCTTCAAGCAAATGAGGGATCTCTTGCAAGCACACTCCAGAAAATAATATAATCCACACGTGATGCACCTTCAGCTAATGGTATTTTGCAAATTCTGCCATCCAGCTTTTGAAGGTGGCTTTATATCAGGGGTAGGGACGCAGGTGGCACTGTGGGTTAAACCACAGAACCTAGGATTTGTCGATCAGAAGGTCGGCGGTTCAAATCCCCGCGACGGGGTGAGCTCCCATTGCTCGGTCCCAGCTCCTGCCAACCTAGCAGTTCGAAAGCACGTCAAAGTGCAAGTAGATAAATAGGTACCGCTCCTGCGGGAAGGTAAACGGCGTTTCCATGCGCTGCTCTGGTTCGCCAGAAGCGGCTTAGTCATGCTGGCCACATGACCCGGAAGCTGTACACCGGCTCCCTCGGCCAATAAAGCGAGATGAGCACTGCAACCTCAGAGTCGGTCACGACCGGACCTAACGGTCAGGGGTCCCTTTACCTTTTACCTTATATCAGGGGTACCCAAGCTTGCTTTAGCCTGAGGTCTATATTCACATATGGCAGCAGTACAGGTGCCACACAGTACTCATTCCACACTTGTAAGGAATCAGTCTTTTAGCATGGCAGCAGCTACACAGAATGACAGAATCACAGAGTTGGAAGGGACCCTTAAGTGTATCCAGACACATGTAGAAGTTACATATGTTTTTATGTCTTGTTAGCTACAGTTGATTTTAATTCAAACATCTCCTTTTAATAGGTTCTCCTCCAAAATGTTAATGCTTTATTTTATAGCCTTAAAGGGCTCAGGACTGCAATACCTCAAGAACCACCTCTCTCCATACAAACTTACCTGGACCCTGAGAACATCTTCTGAGGGCCTTCTTTGTGTGCCTCCTCCCGAGAACTCTTGAGGGTAGAAACACAAGAACAGGGCCTTTTCTGCAGTGGCTCCCCATTTGTGGAATACTTTCCCTAGCGATGTTCAGCTGGCATCTTCACTGTACACCTTTAGGCGAAAAACGTTCCTCTTAAAAACCAGGCCTTTGTCTGATTGACATCCGATGTCCTTTTAAAATATGTTGTGGGAGCAGGGATAATTAATTGGGTTGTCCTTGTTTTTGTTTTTATAATGTATTTTCTGTTTTTCATATTGTGATTTTATGTTGTGAACTGCCCTAAGATCTACAGGTATATGGTGGTATACAAATTTAATAAATAAATAAAAATAATAAAAATAGTTTTGTACACTGCTTAAAGAAGGTTTTTTTTTTTTTTTTTAAAGTATCAAATGGCATATAAATGTTGTTAAATAAAAAAGCACTCTGCTCCAGTCTGGCTACTTGCAGCCAGAGGAAGGATCTGTTCCACAGTGCCATCACTAAAGGTGGCCAAGGGGAGGTACTGCAACTGTAAGATCAGCAGAGTCAGGCACCTCCAGGGGCCAGGAAGATTTGGCCTGGTGCCATAAACTGCTGGCCTTGAGCGACTTTTGACACAATGACAGACTGAAGCTCTGCTTTCTCTATAGCTCTAAAAAAGGTTGCCATCAATCATCCTGTCTATGCCCCTGTTGCAATACTGAACTGAATTTGGCAAAGCTGGGCTCGGCTAGTTTTATTTTGTTTGTTTTGGATATTTAACCATCATATCCCATACTTTCTTTCTTTTTTCTTTTTTGCAACTTTGGGGTCATGCTGGACACCTTCAAACTATGCTGGCAAAGCAGCCTTGGCCTTCAAATAAATTTTGGCTCAAGACTCTCTGTACGCTGAAGCCTGGGATTTAGTCACATTCCACATTTTGCATTCAAATGAAACCATCAGAGACAATCCAACAAGCTTTTAACATGGTGCAATGTTTTGATTTGAGGATAACTGGAGGCTAAAAAAAAAAAAAAAACAACGCACAAGAAATCCTCCGCTGAAGAATCAAACTCCTCCTTGGAACAATAACAAAGGTGACATCATCAATATCACCACTGGACTTCCTTTGTTATGGAAGGAGGTAATTAATGAGACAACAAGTGTGCTCTGGACTGCTTGCAATCTCAAATTATCACTGTTTACATGCTTTGCTGCTTTTTTTTTTTTTTTGCTCATAAATGTCCCTTTGATGTTACAACGGGTTTATTTTTACCCAGCCATTGCCTGTCGCAACAGCTGCTATAACCCCCTTTTGTCTTTCCTGGGGTAGAAACAGCAAAGAAGACCAGCCTTCTCAGTAGGAAGAATGGGACCATGGGGATGAGCAGTCAATTTTTTTAAAGAAAGGACGTCTGGTTTAAAAATAGGCCAAAGGTACCTGGGAATTTGGCTGACTATTTGAAAATAATTATATTAAATTGTGGAAGGAAGTTAAGAAAGAGTTGGAGATATGGGGAGAATGAAACTCCCCCTGTTAGGCAGAATTTCAACCATTAAAATGAATATATTGCCTAGGATGCTGTTTTTATTCTAATCAATCCCAATTGTAAACAATTTAAGCTGCTTCAAAGAATGGAAAAAAGATATCTCTAAATTTATCTGGCAGGGGGAAAAGTCAAGAATTAAACATAAAATTATGATAGATACTAAAGAAAGAGGGGGCTTTGCTCTGCCAGATTTGCATGTGTATTATGAGGCAGCTTGTTTGTGTTGGTTAAAAAATGGATTGTATTGGACAATTGCAGACATCTTAGATTTAGAGGCTCATGACTTAAAATCCGGCTGGCATGCATGTCTCTGGTATGGGAAGGCTAAAATCTACAAGAGTTTTATAAACCATATCCTTAGGAAGAATCTGCATAGAGTCTGGGAGAAATATAAAAATTTGCTGGAAAGAAAAACACTATGGCTATTTCCCATTGAAGCAATTATGATTAAGAGAGTTAATATGGACAGACAATGGGCGACTTACAGGGAACCGCTGGATTTTACAGTGGAGGAACCCAAACTGAAATCAATGGAAAACTTAAGAAGCCACGTTATGGATTGGTTATCACCAGTTATACAATATGTTTAAAATGGATAGAAAGAATGGATTTCTGGATCAAAGATCCCAATTTGAAAAAGAACTTTTACAAAATAAGGACAAACTTTTGTCTAAAATGTATAATTTTCTACTAGAATGGGAAACAAAAGATGAGCTTGTTAAAGCTTCAATGACACACTGGGCAATAGATTTGAAAGTTTACAGTAAAATATGCCAGGGGTGTATATGCAAAATGAAAGACAAGAAGGGAAGTCATTGGATATTTTAAAGTTTGTAAAATGTTTATTTGAAATTGTAAAATTGAAAATTTTAGGAAGAATTTCAGTGATTAAAATGAATGTATTGCCAAAAATGTTATTTTTATTTCAGTCAATCCCAGTGATGAGCAATGTGAGCTGGCAAAGAATGGCAAAATGATATTACAAGATTTATCTGGAAAGGGAAGAAACTGAGAATAAAATATAAACTTTTTACTAACATTAAAGATAGAGGAGGTTTCTCTTTACCAGATTTAAAATTATACTTTGAGGCAGCCTGCATTTGCTGGATTCAGGATTGGATTAAATTAAAGAATATAGACCTGTTAGACTTGGAAGAGCATGATATTTGGTTGGCATGCATATTTATGGTATCAGAAGGTGAAAATCCACAAAGGATTTCATAACCATATAATAAGAAATGCAAATTTTAAGGTATGGGAGAGATATAAAGATTTAATAGAACAAAAAACACCATGGTGGATATTCCTAGTAGAAGCAATATCTTAAAAAAAGGTAAATATGAGGACAAAATGGCCAACATATAGAGAGCTGTTAACAGAAATGGATAACCAATTAAAGTTAAAAGAATTTGCGGAAATTATAGAGAAGGTACAGATTGGTTACAGTATTATCAAATAAAATGATAAAAAGAAAGGATTTAGCTATACAATATCAAGATTTCAAAGAGAAATTGTAGAAGATAATATAATATTACTGTCAAAAATGTATAATTTGCTGTTGGAATGGGAAACCAAAGAGGAAGAGGTTAAGTGTGTAATGATAAAATGGGCAAAGGATGTGGGACATAATATACAATGGTACCTCAGGTTACAGATGCTTCAGGTTACAGACGCTTCAGGTTACAGACTCCACTAACCCAGAAATAGTACCTTGGGTTAAGAACTTTGCTTCAGGATGAGAACAGAAATCGCGCGGCGGCGGCAGGAGGCCCCATTGGCTAAAGTGGCACCTCAGGTTAAGAACAGTTTCAGGTTAAGAACGGACCTCCAGAACGAATTAAGTTCTTAACCCGAGGTACCACTGTACTATTTTTCTACAGCAGGGTCACTGTCTCTAGCTTCCTAGAGCTGTCCAACCAGCATGATAGGGAAGCTAGTAGTCGTTGGGAATAAGCCTCCACACCTTTTGTACGGATTGGATGGGCTCCCAGTGTCCCTCTGGAGAAGGTGCACAGGAAAAACCCTGAGGAGGAGTTATTCTGTCTGCTCCAATGCTCAGCACTTAGGAACACTGAAAATACAAGGTCCTTCTGTTTCAAGAGAACGGGGTGTAAGTTCTGTTACATGCACTAGAACTTCAAGGAAAATGCAACTTGAGTCTCTCCGGACGAAGATATTGGAGCACTCCAAATCGTTTGCTCATGCCCGTGCCCAGAAATAGTAGATATAGATGAAAGGAAACACATGCAGATCTGCATTGATTGTTGCAATGCTTATCTATCTGTCATCTATCATCTATCTCTATCCATCTATCTATCTAAGAAGGGTGGGTATCTGTGAGAGGGTCGGACTATGACTATCATGAAGGGACCTGCACTTCTGAATCGGCCCCTACACGACTGTGGCTTGGCCTCAAGCCCCAAGAAACCCCCTCACTAGGGGATGTGAAAGGAGGGCAGGACATTTGCTTTGTCCTCCAGATGGTAGAAAACATTCCTGCCTTTGCACACCAGAAACTCAGCTGTGACTGAGGAATACCAGGGGGGACGCGGAGGGTCCCAGATTGCTCCAGGATGCCCATAATAGGCCAGGAGGATGAAGACATCTGGGACAGGCCAGGGAGCAAGGCTGGGGCTCATCTCTCTCCGATTAATGTGGGAGGCTGTTCAAACGCTTTCCTCCAAATCTCTGTTTACCCTCCTCTGCTGTGTCAACAGTTCTGCGGGGGTGATTGTGGAGGCTTTGAGGTGGGAGCAGCACACAGGGGCCGCTTGAGCAAATAAATAAGGCATGAATGAGGAAGTATAGGAGGCCAACGACAAGAGGTCAGAGGGCTATCAAGGAACAGGAGGGAGCGGCCATCAATCCTTGGGACCAGAGGAGCAAACAGATGGAAGGATCAGTCAGTTTCAGTTCCCTCGCTTCTTCCGAACTCAAATCCAGTTCTTCTCATTTCCTCAGCAGTTTTTTTTATTAATTTATTATCATGATTATCGTGGTGTATTCGTTAGAGTGCTGGACTAGGACCTGGGAGAATCTGCTTCAAATTTCCACTCAGCCATGAAACTCACTGAGGGGCATACATGATTCGCCCGACCCCCCACCCTATTTAAACCCTACAACACCCTGCGAGGTGGGTTAGGCTGAGAAGCAGTCACTGGCCCCCAATGAGCTTCATGGTTGCGTGCGGATCTGAACCCTGGTCCCTCCCAGGTGCTAGTCTGAGACTCTAACCACCACGCCACATTGGCTTGCTTCTTCCCTATTTTTGTTTTGGAATTTAATCATGGCTGGTTCTCCTTTCTATCTGTGGAAATGCCACCCTTTCAAGGCCTCTCCCTGATTTCAAAGAGATGCATCAGCCAGTCACTAGCCCCAGTCTCTTCCGGGAGAGGGGGCTGGCTGGAGCCATCAAGATCTGCTCCGAACAATCGTTTCCTTTCCCAGGCACCTTTGGGGTGGAGTGGGGGGGGGGAGAGAATGCAGCAGGGCTTTTGAGATACAAATGGAGCAGCTGAATCAACACCTCCCTCCTCAGAGGGGTCTGCCCCTCCGAAGATAGCTGGATCTGGCCTGGAGAAAGAGGAAGTGTGAGCAGCAGGATGAAATTTATAGGGGGGCGGCCTAGGAGACTGACTTAAGGTGCTTTTAAAAAGGGCTGTCCTCTGTTGGAAGCACAAGGTGTGGGTGGGAGGGAATTCAATTCAGATTGCATCTAAAGGCAAATTGACCAAACTCTTGGAATTTTGCAGTACAATTCTTCAGCCAAGTCATGTGTGCAAAAATGCATACAAAGTGTGCATAAAATATGCATATATTGGTAAATAGCAACATATGAAGATGCATTATGTATAGGGAAATGGCTTTGCAGAAATGTGTATTGTTGTCGTTTAGTGGTCTTAGTCGTGTTATATTATGAACATAAAGAGAGCCTGGTTGCTGGATCAGACCAGTGGCCCATTCGTTTCAGCATCCTCTTCTCACAGTGGCCACCCAATGCCCCACAGACATGAAGCAGCCTCCTCGGGTGGCGGAATCCTGTAGGTCAGCATTCCCACCTGCCCCTGCCAGGGTTACACAGTGGTGATGGTGGCAGTGGAGGCTTACTGTGAGATCTCATGGAACTCTTGTAAGATATTACAGAGCTCCACAAGTTATTGTGGAAGTTCTACAAGATTTACAAGATCTCACGGGTAACCCCGGTAAGTGAGGCTTGGCATGGGTGTGTGTGTGAGATGTGGCACCTTCCCGTTTTGCCTCAGGGGGCGAAACAGGATGGTCGGGCCCTGTTCAGAAGGAAGCCCACAAGGAGGGCCCACTAGTTGTTGCTTTCTCCATCTGCTGCTGGGTGTTGCTGTTCTGCTCTCATATAGACCTCTCAATGGGGAGCCAAAGCTGGATCAGGCCAATGGCCCATCTAGTCCACCGTTTTGTTCTCAGAGTGGCCAACCAGCAGCTTCCAGCAACTGGAATTCAGAAACATTACCACCTCTTAATTGTGGAGGCACAGCACAGCCATCTTGGCTAGTAGCCATGGAAAGCCACATCCTCTTCCATGAATTTGCCCAATCCTATTTGAAAGCCTTCTAGGTCGGTGGTCACCACTGCCTCCTGTGGGAGGGAGTTCCACAGTGTAACGATGCACTATATATGAACAAGTCCTTTCTTCTATCTCTTCTGAACCTTCCAACATTCATTGGACTGCCACAGAGTCCCAGTGTTACGAGACAGAAGGCGATAGCTTTTCTCTGTCCACTTTCTCCACTCCCTGCATTAATCCACTCCTAGCATGTCAGATCAGATCCCTGGGCTGGAGCTCAGCCACCCCACCCCACATGACAGAGGGCCAGAGTTTCTTTGCATCTCCCTGCCTGGCTGGCGTTTGCAGCCTTCCTGGCTCCCACACCTCCCTTTCCTGCCCCGCTTTCCTCCCCGCTTCTCCAGAGAGCTTCGCCCCCACCTTAAAAGGGCTTCCTCTGAGGGCTGCTCTTGATACGGCCCACTGGAGGCCTCGCCGCCTGAACTTCCTCCGTCTGCTCCATTCCTGAGAAATCCCAGACAGTCTCTTGCAGCAAAGGCCCCCAAAGGACTGTGGGGAAAAACGCCTCCTCCTCCTCCTTCTGCAGGGCTCGCGTGGAAAAAGCTTCTGTTGCAGTTGTCCTGACAAAAAGAAGAGGGAAATGTGGTGTGGGGGCACACACACCCTGTGGAATTTGCGTTTGGGGGAAGATTCAAATCACACTCAACATCTCCTCCTCCTCCTCCTCCTCCTCCTCTTCCAGGTGTGTGTGTTTGGGGGAGTGGAACAAGAATAAGTATAGGGGTAATGCTGCTGCTGCTGCTGCTGCTACTACTACTAGGTAAAGGTAAAGGGACCCCTGACCATTAGGTCCAGTCGTGGCCGACTCTGGGGTTGCAGCACTCATCTCGCTTTATTGGCTGAGGGAGCCAGTGTACAGCTTCCGGGCCATGTGGCCAGCATGACTAAGCCGCTCTGGCAAACCAGAGCAGCACACAGAAACGCTGTTTCCCTTCCCGCCGGAGCGGTACCTATTTATCTACTTGCACTTTGATGTGCTTTCGAACTGCTAGGTTGGCAGGAGCTGGGACCGAGCAACGGGAGCTCACCCCGTCGCGGGGATTTGAACCGCCGACCTTCTGATCGGCAACTCCTAGGCTCTGTGGTTTAACCCACAGCGCCACCTGCGTCCCTACCCCTGATATAAAGCCACCTTCAAAAGCTGGATGGCAGAATTTGCAAAATACCATTAGCTGAAGGTGCATCACGTGTGGATTAACCTACAGTGCCACCCGCGTGTCCCACTAATAATAATTTATTTCATAATATGTAAACACTGCTGGATTGTAAAAAGAAACACAAGCCTCAAAGCGTTTTACAAAAAAAGGTTAAAACAATTAAATGATCAATAAGAAAATTATCAATAAGAAGACTTACAAAAAGTTAAAATAACATTAAATGTTAAAATGCACACCAGCTTTTGAAGCACCTGAATTGCACAAAAGGAGGATGTTTTTAGCAGGTGCTGGAAAGGGTATAGAAAAGGTGCCCCCTGCCAGTTGTCAATAGGCAGGGAGTTCCAAAGTGTGAACGCTACCACACTAAAATACAGTCATGCCTCGGGTTGAAGTAGCTTCGGATTGAGCATTTTCGGGTTGTGCTCCATGGCGACCTGGAAGTAACAGAACGTGTTACTTTCGGGTTTCACCGCTTGCACATGCGCAGATGCTCAAAATGACATCATGTGCATGTGCGGAAGCGGTGAATCGCGACCCGCGCACACGCATACGCAGGTTGTGTTCACTTCAGGATGCGAACAGGGCTCCAGAACAGATCCCGTTCACATCCAGAGGTACCAATAATAATAATAATAATAATTTATACCCCGCCCATCTCTTGGGCGGCTCCCAACAGAATATTAAAAATACAATAAAAGATGCATAATGGATATTGTATGTCACCTGTAACAGTGCCAGTTCCACCAACGGAAGTGTATATGATTGGCATATAGGGGGTAAGTGATCTTGTAGGTATAATAATGATGATGGGGAGAAATTCAATTCAGTTGATGTTTAAAGCAAACTTAGTTAATCTGCACTGCTCAAAACTAATTCTCCAAATTTTGCAATTAAGTTCGCCAGCTCAGTACTATGTACAAAAATGCATACGTTAGGGGAAACTGTCCGTGAAAAACGAATAATGAAAATGATATACAGGAATACACTAAATATGGGGAAATAGTTTCCAAAAATATGTATGTTCATAAAAAATGGCATACACTATGAGCAATACTTGTAGGATGCATGGGAGGCAAAAAGGCTCCTGGTCCGCTTGTGGAAAAAGCCTAGCATTTCCTCACCAACTTTCCTTCCACAGATTGAAGAGCAAAAGTCTCTTGAAAAGTCAGATTAGCTTTCCTCTCCTGTATCTCACTGGTACATTTTTAGGAATGTTGGAAGCTGCCTTCTACAGAGTCAGACCTATTGGGCCACCCAGCTCAGTATTGTCCACACTGGCTGGCAGCAGTGATTCTCCAGGCAAGGAGTCTTTCCCCACTCCTATCTGAAGATACTACTGGGGACTGAAACCAGTACCTTTTGCCCATAAGGCGAATGCTCTGCCAATGAGCTACAGTCCTTTCTCTAAAAATAAATAAGATCCTAGTCCTCATGGCCGTGAATGAGTTGGAACCTGGGGCCTTCAGCATGCAAAGCAGAGGTTCTGCCACTGAGCCACCTCCTGGCCTATCCTACCTCATAGGGTTGTTGTGAGCCTAAAAGGGGGCAGAAAGAACTAGGTGTGCTATCTTCCAACTCCTTGGAGAAAAGGAGGGTTATACAGTCATACCCCATGTTATGTTTGCTTCGTGATACGTTTTTTCAGGTTGCGTCCCGCGGCAACCTGGAAGTACCGGAAAGGGTTACTTCCGGGTTTTGCCGCTTGCACTTGCGCAGATGCGCAGACATGGGTTGCGTTCTTTTCATGTTGTGAACGGGCCTTCGGAACGGATCCCGTTCGCAACCAGAGGTACCACTGTAAATACAATAATATGAGGTGAACACGTGCCCAACGTATTCGGTATGTTGACATATGTACATAATTTTGAAACAGTGCCAGCATACATGAAGTGCTGTTGACTTCCTGCAAGACAGAAGCTGCCTTGGTGGTTTGTGCTGGGATTCCGGTGCAGGCAGGTGGGGCCCGATCTGTCCATGTGTGCCTCACCCTGCTTGGCTCTAGCAAACCATTCCCATGGCCTTCAGTCCCAAGGGAGCCACAGAGAAAGGCAACAACGGCTGGTTGGACCGCCAGCAAGGCCTTCTGTCTAGGAGGATTGACAGCTTTGGCGCAGCGGGGGAGGTATCTGTATTCACACGTTGGATGAATCAGAGGAGCTTAAGGGGTTCGGAGGCAGGGGCAGGCCTTAGCTGCTTGCAGCAGGGCTCTCCTCCACGCTCCCCCCCCCAATGGGCCTTGTCATGTAAATCCATTGCTCTCCATCCTTTGACTCCAAACAAATTAAAGCAATAAAGAGAATAGCTGTATATTTCCTCTGCTGGTTCCAGTCCTGCCTGGAAAAACGCTCCTTCTGAAGGTGTTATGAGGAACTCACTCCCACAGGAGGCAATGAGGTCCACGAACTTGGATGCCTTTAAAAAAAATCATGGAGGAGAGGCCTGTCAAAGGCTACTAGCCACAATGGTTGGAGTCAGCAAATCTTTTGAATATCAGCTGCTGGAAACTGCAGGAGGGAGAGAGTTGCTGTTGCACTCAGGTCTTTCTAGCTGGCTTCCCATTGAGGCATTTGGTTGGCCCCTGTCAGAACAGGATGTTGGACTAGCTGGGCCATTGGCCTGATCAGACAAGACTCTTCAGGTGTTCTTGACCCCATTATGGTAAGAGCCTGCTGGATCTGAGGCCTGCTGTCTCGGACTCAGAGCATTCATAATGGGATCTCGAAGTTTGCATTGATACCCACAGTCCTGAGCAACTTGGGCTCAGGTATAGACATCACCTTGTCAACAAAGGTCCGTATAGTTAAAGTTATGGTTTTCCCAGTAGTGATGTATGGAAGTGAGAGCTGGACCATAAAGAAGGCTGATCGCCAAAGAATTGATGCTTTTGAATTATGGTGCTGGAGGAGACTCTTGAGAGTCCCATGGACTGCAAGAAGATCAAACCTATCCATTCTTAAGGAAATCAGCCCTGAGTGCTCACTGGAAGGACAGATCCTGAAGCTGAGGCTCCAATACTTTGGCCACCTCATGAGAAGAGAAGACCCCCTGGAAAAGACCCTAATGTTGGGAAAGATTGCAGGCACAAGGAGAAGGGGACGACAGAGGATGAGATGGTTTGACAGTGTTCTCGAAGCTACCAGCATGAGTTTGACCAAACTGCGGGAGGCAGTGGAAGACAGAAGTGCCTGGCGTACTCTGGTCCATGGGGTCACGAAATGTCGGACACGACTAAACGACTAAACAACAACAACATACTTTAAGGAACTCCTGACCCCTTATAGCCCAGCCCAACCACCAATATTTTCCAGAGGAGTGCAGTTACTTGCCCCCCCCCCCCATGTTACAGAAGCCTTACTTGCCTCAACCAAAAGTCAGGCATTTACGGTCACAGGTCTCTTGCTGTGTAAAATACAATTCCAGCAGAAACACAGCAGGCAGCCTTGCTTTTGACTTTTGACTATATCTATATACTGTATATAACTATAAAAATATTTTACAAAAAGGATAAAACAATAAAATTACCACCAAGAAAAATTAACAACATTCATTAAGACTTTTGGAAAAGTTAAAATCACGATAAACTAAAAAAAGGTTAAAAACTGGCATAAACTTTCTAAACATCTGGGGATGAAGACAAAAGATAATGCTTTTTAGCAGGCACCAAAAACACCACAGCAAAGGTTCCTGCCTGATGTCAACAGGTGGGGCGTTCCAAAGTCTAGGCCCTTCCACACCAAAAGATTGCGGAGCTTCCAGGATTCCCAAGCAGAGTGGGACCAGCGCTGGGTATGAGCCGCTGCTCTTTGTCTCACTTGCTTGAGTCATCTTCTAGCAAAAAATGGCTCTCTGGTGGCTCCCTGACTGTGCTCTGGATTGGTGAGCCCTGATTATTATTAAGGTGGGTGGGTGGTGGTGAGTCAGGCTTTGTCTTTGTAAAAGTTTCCTCTGAAGGTGCACGGGAGTTTCAATTTCTAGAACAAAATTTCATTTCTGATTGATCAGGTTGTGAAAGGCCAGATGGGCACCTGGAAATATGCATGCCAGCTGCACCACCCTCAACAAAGGGGGCGACTACTGGATACCCTCCGCAGTCCTGATCCTTGTTGGGCTTGTGTGTGTGTGTGTGTGTGTGAGAGAGAGAGAGAGAGAGAGAGAGAGAGAGAGAGAGAGAGAGAAGCAGATGGGAGTCTTACTTTCAGCTCTCTATTTTGGGGCCACTCTGCAGGTAGAGGAACAGGAAATGCACATTTTCAGTAAAGTTTCCTCTCTCCCCACCTCTCACCTATGTCTCTTCCACCAACCTTTGACAAAGTAACTGCTTTGCATGCAAAAGAACCTATCTTTATTTCTTTGTTCTTCTTAAACAAAAAATTATATACCGCTCGACTGTACTCAACATCTCTAAGCAGTTTTCAAAGCAATAATAATAACCAGTTTAGCCAATGAAAAGCTTTTAAAGACAATTCAGGTTAATGGCGTAAAAATAAAAGATCAAAACCCATAGCTTAGTTGGTTAGAGTGTGGTGCTGATAATGCCAAGGTTGCAGGTTCGATCCCTGTATGGCACAGCTGCATGTTCCTGCATTGCAGGGGGTTGGACTAGAGGACCCTCAGGGTCCCTTCCAACTTTACAGTTCTATGATTCTATGAACATCAGTGGGTCTAGAGTGCTGCTGCTGCGGCACTTGGGTCCTGCTTGTGAGCTTCTCCTAGTGGGGGCATCTGGCTGGCCACTGTGGTTAGAGGATGCTGGACTAGATGGGCCCCCTTTGGCCTGATCCAGTAGGCTCGCCTTACTTTCTTTTGACTGGACAAACTCATGGAAGATGAGACTATCAATGCTGCTGCAAGCCATGAAGGCTAGGCTCTGCTTCTGAGGTTGGAGGCAGCAATACCTCCAAATACCAGTTGCTGGAAACTACAGGAGGGGAGAGTTGCTCTTGCACTTAGGTCCTGCTTCTGGGCTTCCCTTTGGATGCTGGGCAACATGGGCTCCCTTTGGCCTGATGCAGCTGGGCTCTTATATGTACTCCAGAAAGAGGATAGCAAAGGCACCTGCCTGATGTCAGAGGGCAGGAGTTCTGAAATATACTCGGAATCAAGTGTGGATTTCATGCTCTTTATTCAGCTCATAGTAGTGAGGAATGCAAGTTCCCCCAAAATGTCTGCTTTATATACATTATTTACACAATGGGCCCCACGTGATTGGCTAATTCCAGGATTCTCCTGTAGGCCAATCAGGTTGCAGATTCACTTCTACCTGGAGCTGGATTGGGTGGGTCCTATGGACCAATCGGACTGCTGCATTCTGAATCCTATTGTTCTAGGACCAATCAAACTGCTGCATTTTGGATCCTATTCAACTCAGTACATAACAAGTTCCAAAGTGTAGATGCTAACATAGTCCTTACAACTGTGGAACATGTATTGTGTGGTACCTGTTAAGAATGCCTGTTCCATGAGAGTCAATTCCTGCATGCATGGAGAGCGCGCGCACACACACACACACAACCCCCGCTGTCCAAAATCATGGAGACCATCTTGCACACACAGACACACACCACACACAGTTCGCTTTTTTAGCCCTGCCTTGACCCTTCACCTCCACCCAAATTTTATCCTCAGTTTTGCTACCTCTAGGAGAAAGAGAATGCAGAAGACACACCTCCCCTCTCATGAGGCAACACCCTTTTCTGCAAAACAATTATTCTTTAATAGCTCCCTATCACGTGCCTGTTTAAAGGGCCTGGAAATGAGAGCGTCAGGCCAGGGGTGTGTTGGCAAACTCGTTGGCACGTACCTCTGATTTTTTGCCCTTTAAAAAATTGCTCATTTGGATTATTAGCATCATCCACCTCCCAGCCCCTAGGCGGGCGGGCGGGTTGGCAGGCAGGCAGGCAGGCGCCCTGTTCACAGCCCTATGCTCCCTTCCCTATTCTCTGATCAGATGAGATCATTCAGGGGAACCCTGAGCTCTCAGGCCTGAACCTGTTTCAGGGGAGGAGGTAGAGGAACCTGCTCATGCACCTAATTGGTTCTTTTCAAAGGATGCCGGCTGGTGATTGGCCAGGTCTGTGCCACAACAGCTGGATTTGAAAAACAACATTTGCACATTGCCTACAAGAGGTTGATAGCAAGGACCTGGTGGTTCTCCCAAGCTGAGGAAGGCAAGTGAATGAGTTGAAGAGTCAGGGGGAATGAGGACCACTTTTTCCTGACCAACACAAGTGCAATCAGTCCACAAAAATAGATCTTTTCCGCAGCAGCAGTGAAACAAGCCCTTGGGAACCATGAACAGGGTCAGCGGCATAGGAACTGTTGGAAGAACCTAAGGAGAGTCTGGCTGCTGGATCAGGCCAAAGGGGGCTCCTCTAGTCCAACATCTTGTCCTCACAGTGGCCAAACAGATGTCTATTATGGGAAGCCCACAAGCACTACCTAAGTGCAACAGCACCACTCCAGTTCACCAGCTGGTATTTAAGGGTAGACTGCCCCGGGCATGGATGCTCTGCTATCCCATTAGGCCTCCATGTGGAGAGTCCTGCTGGATTGGAACCAAAGACCAGCTAGTCCAGCATCCTGTCCTTACAAGAGTCTTCAAGAGGCACAAACGTACAGAGAGAGTGTTGTGGAAGCCCTTTGTCTTGGTCTGCTCCTGAGCAAGACCCCTCCCCTTTTCATAGTTGCCCTCAATACTCAAGCTTTCACCCATTTTGGACCCTTCAGGCAGAACCCATCAGCTGCCTTGCTGACAAGAAAGCAAGCAGTATTTTGACTTTGTCAACTTCTTGCGATGAAAAAGGGGAAGGAGCTGCAAAGCTCTTGTTATTCTGTTCTGGAGGTTGCAGGAGAAGCAGCTTTGAAAACCCATCTTGTTTTGCTTGCAAAATTTTTTATGTATGGTGGGGGGGGGGGACTTCTTGCAAAAGGGGCTGACTTGGTCAGACTGGCAAGCCTTTTATCCAGTGCTAACATGTTAGGCTTGAAAAGGCCTATTGCCAATAAGTTCCCCAGCTAAGTCAGCCTTGCCTCCGGCTTAGCCAGGTGAGGTTGGGGGGCTTAGCCAGGTGAGGTTAACGAGGGAGGTATTCAGACCCTAGATCCACCTATTCCAAACTCCCTTAAAGCTGGCGGATCTGGGGTTCAGATGGTGGTGTCAGGTTCATTGGGTTTCCACAGCTGAGGTAGCATCTGAACCTGGAAGTTCCTGGTTGACAGCTTTTGCCACACTATGCCATGCTCAAAATCTGCTTTTAGGAAGTTGCCAAGGCTGACAAACCCCTAGTTCCACTTCTGCAATCGTAAGAGGGCAGAAGAACACCCACACCCTTCACCTCAAACTGTTGAACCTTGAGAGCACAAGAGGGTGAACAAAGAATATTAAAATCTAAGCTTTTCTAACAGGAGTGAGCTTTTTCAGTCCTGGGGCCACATTCCCTTGCAGGAAAGCTTCCAGGGGCCAGAATCAAAGTGGGTGGGGCAGCCTATGTAGTTCATGCACTTGTCCCTTCAAGACTGGACTAATGCACTGCACTGACCGTGGGACTTCCCTTGTGTTTGATCCAGAAGCTGCAGTTAGTGCAGAATGCTGCAGCACGATTGCTGACAGGAGTGAGCCCTGGGCAACATCGAACGCCTGTGCTCAGAGATCTGCACTGGTTGCCCATTTGCTAAGAGGTCAAGTTCTACTAGCATATAAAGCCCTTAACAACTTGGGACCAGTTTACCTACATGATCACGTTACCCCACATGAGCCAGTCCACCGCTTCGATAGGTGGAGTTGGCACTTCTGGAGGTGCCACATAACACCCATGCCACATTTGTAAGAACTTGGATTGTTTCGTGTGTGCTTTGGAACTTCCTGCCTATTGATATCAGGCAGGTGTCTTCACTGTACTCTTCGGTGCCTGCTAAGAACATTTGTGTTTATACAAGCCCAACTAGACATGCAGAATGTTGATATGATTTTACAGTAATCTTATTGTTTTATTCTGTTAACTTTGAGGTTGTTTTGTGTGTGTTTACATTTATGTAATTAATTCATTAATTATATTATGTGGCCTTTATATTTTTCTGTCCTCAGCTCAGGGAAGCAAGCAAAAGGCATGATCCCTGTTATTCCAGCCTGGCAAAAGCCCTGAAGCAAGATGTGGAACATGTCGGGTGAAATGGGTACCCTGGAGAAAAGGGCTGTGGTCTGGGGAGACTTCTGAGGGCCAGGAAAAATGGCCTGGAGGGCCACATTTGCCCAACCAGCTGGAGGCTCCCCCATCTCTGCTGCACGCTGAAGAGAATTTTTAAAGAGAGCTTAAGATGGTTTGAAAGGTAACAACAACAATAACTTGAGATGTATATTTTTTAGAATCCACCTTATTATTGAGATTGTAAGTTATTTTCAACTGTTTTAATGTTGTGTTTCAATGTTGTCACTTGTCCAGGAACTTCAGGGTAAAGAACGGGTAATTATTAATAACCATAATTTATTTATCTTATTTGTTTATTACATTTATATCCCACCTTTCCTCAAGGAGCGCATAGTGGTGTACATAGGCCACCCCCATTTTAACCCTCACAACAGCCCTGTGAGGTAGGTCAGGCTGAGAGGCACTGATTGGCCCAAGGCCACCCGGTGAGCTTCATGGCTGAGTGGGGATTTTGAACAGATCTATCTCAGGTCCTGGTCTAATCACTTCACCACACTTATTCTATATAACCCTTATAATCATAATAAAAAAGAGGGATTTGTGTGTGCACACCCCACACTTTTCGCCCCTGTGCCAAAACAGGTCAGGCAGGTTGTTTCCAACCTATCTGAGCAGAAAGGGGACCTCAAGTTGCGTTGCAAGAGGCACGTGTGTGTTTTCAGAATGGAAAGCAAAGAAGCCTCTCTCAAACCACGTTCAGCATTTGTGAGGCACCTTTAAATCTGGACCAGCTGGTTTATTGTGGCAAGAGGACTCACTGGCAACAACAACAGCCACACCCACAGCTGGTTGTCTTCCTTTGTCAGGCACACGCAGCTGACAATCCGCTTGCGCTCCACTCGTGTCCCAGCCTTGGGTTCGATGGGTGCGTGGGCTGGGTTTGCAAGCTCGGCCCACGGGTCGAAGCACATTGATTTTTCCGCAGCACGGACGTGCTCATGCAATCTCACATGACTTTGCTTGTGTGTGCGTGCGTGCATGTGTGTGGAGCCAGGCACTCAAGGGCTTAAGTTACTTAATCGAAAGGTGTGCCTGCTTCTCTCTCTTTTTTTAACCTAAGGCTAAGTCAATCATTTATTAAAGAGCCGTTGAGTTTGTACTTTGTGATGTGTCCAAATGAGTTCAGATGTCTTTATTTATGTCTCATTCCTGCATCTTTCTGGCACTGGGGGCAGAAAGGGGGGCTCCTACCCACCCACCACTGATCTCAGTTCTTTCCCACACCTCTCCCACCTATGAATCATTTGGAGAGACACTCCCTTCCTGATTCCTGATCCAAGCAGCTTTCAGGGACAACGGGAAGGGGATTGCTCCTAAATCTGCTTCCTGTTGCTTCCTGATTTCAGATCTTTTTGACCTGTTGGCTGTGTAATTCCTTGACTGAAAAGCAGGCGACATCCCTGTACACACACACCTCCAAAACACACACACACACACACACACACACACACACACACAACTTATATATATATATATATAAAACTCTATAAATTTGCCTCTTTTACCAATATGTTTTTAAGAGCAAAATGGAAATTGCTGAATGCACAATAGGGAACATTTCCTAAAAAGACGCACATGTTGGATTGGCCCATTTAGTCCAGCATCCTGTGCTTATCCTGACCAAGCAGATGATAAGCCCACAAGCAGGATCTGAGGGCAGCAGCAACTCTCCCCTCTTGTGATTTCCAGCAACTGATTCACAGCTGTTCTTCTATGCACGAAGGTTATACTATCACAGTAGATCTCCATATGGAGAGCCCTGCCACATTGGACCAAAGATCCATCTACTGCAGCATCCTGTTCTCACAGTGGTCAACCAGATAACCCAAAGGGAAGCCCAAAAGCAGGATCTAAGCACAACACCAACTCTTCCTGCTTGAGAACATTAGAAGTGTTGGGGAAATAACTGAGGAACACCAGTTGATCCTGAAATCCCACATGTGTGGGTAACCACAGCAGAAAAACAGTTTTTGGTCCTGGGTGAAGCCTCCAGAAGGGCTCCATTGAAGCTCCCAGCCTCTGTGTGTGTGAGTATGCAAATGCACATTGGGTGTGTGTGTGCTAAACTGGGACTTTGACCCGGGTGAAATAAAGCCTAGTTTCGCCCCTGCTTAAAATGCTGCTTCCCTGCCTCTACCCCTGTTAGACCACAACCTTAAGTAAGTTTAAATGCCTTACTTACAGTAAGCACAGGTCCCACTCATACATAATTCAATGCTGCAGCAGAAATAACACAAGATAATTATTATTGCATTTGCTGCTTCTGAATGTGGAGGCAGAGCATAGTCATTGTGATTAGTAGCAATTGATAGCCTCCTCTTCCATGAATTTGTTCAATCTGATAACAGTGATCCTGAAACCAAATGAGACAGCAGGGAGGAAGACTTGAAATGCTACTGGGTGCCTCTGAGGTGCATGAGACCTTGCAGACAGCCCTGTCTCTTGCCTTGTTTCAAAGCCATTCCTACTATTTTGATGAGTACCTACTGTTGTCTAGATGTGCGAGTGAATGCCCAGCTTTTTGCCAGCTGGCTGCTAAAAGTAAGTGATGCAGTCTCCTAGCCAAGTCCCACACAGGCACATCTCTTGTGTGTCTGGGTCTCTCCCATTCCAGCAAGGCTGGTTGTGAAGTCGTGTGTGTGTGTGCATTTTTGGCAGTGCTGTTGCCTCCTTCCCAAATGCCCTATTGTACTTCTGCAAGATGATGTGCCCCAGTGCAAAAGGCAACCATTGAAAAGAAAGCACACACGACAATGTGACAAACATTTGCAACCTCTGCCCGACATGTTCCTCTTTCCGTAGACACTGGGGAAGGCTCAGTGATGAAGATAAACAACTGAGAATCGTGACCTTGAGCAATACTGGGCCACGAAACCAAAGGGTCATCTCCACAGGATATTCTTCGGGGAGCAGAATCGCACTATGCTTGTCTGCAGAACAGGAAGCTACGTCATATTTGCAATGGTACATCCAGCTAAGTATGGCCTGCACTGCACTTCACCTGGCAGTGAATCTCCAACCCTATCTAGAGAGGCCACTGGGGATTGAACCTAGAACCTTTTCTCCATGCATGCAAAGCAGGAGCTCTGCCTCTGAACTATGGCCCTTCCCCATAAAAAAGTAAGATTCTAGACCTCATAGTTCCAAATAAAGTGATGTGGATTGATTGCAGCTGCATACCTGTGATGGTCAGAAAGGATGCTCATCTTTTCCCCCTGACATTTCAATCCCATACTGCCCTCGTTGCTGGGAATCACAAGTGGAGAGAATTTCCCATTGGCCACTATGAGAACAGTATGCTGGATTACATGGGCTCCTTTGGCCTAATCCAGCAATCAGGCTCTTCTTATGTTCTTATGTGCAAGGCCATCCCACAGCACCACCATGACTGACTGTCCTTGCAACGTGCAGGAGGCAAAGAGTTAAAGACCTTTTGAGCAAAGGGGCGAGGCAGGTAGCCCACTTCCCCCTGAAGACACTTCTGGTTAATTACCACCTCTGATGCAAGAGCAGCAAATTATTTGAGAAAATGTTCTTGGGCTGTGCAACTTTCCTTGGTTGTTTAAAAAATGATCCTTAACTTTTCTCTTTTTTTGCAACAAAACACACACAAAACACACATACCCCTCCCATTCCTTCCAACGCTCCAAAGATGCCCCCAAGCCACAAATCTCCATGCAGAAATTCTTGGCCTCCATTCATTTTGTTTTGAATCCTGTGGGAACCTGGCAGCATCCTCTGGCAGGTGAACCATTCCCTGTCATTTACCCAGGTGTGAGAATTTCACATCTCTGGGCAAGAAAAACCAAAGGGGTCTTTGAAGGCTGAGCCCCAGTAAAACTGGGGGTGGGGACATTGGTTCTGTCTCATTTCATTATTTGTTTATTTCATTGCATCTATATCACAAGGTAGTGCACATGGTTTTCTCTCCCTCCTCATTTAATCTCCATCTAATTCCCCAATTGCGGAAAGCCCAAAAGCAGGACCTAAATACAAGAGCACAACCACCTTGTGGTTTCCAGCAACTGGTATTCAGAAGCATTGCGGCCTCCAACTGTGGAGGCAGAGCCTAGCCATCGTGGCTAGTAGTCATCCATCTCCTTCATAAATTGGTCTATTCCACTGAGAGCCAGTGTGGTGTAGTGGTTAAGAGCGGTAGACTCGTAATCTGGGGAACCGGGTTCGTGTCTCCGCTCCTCCACATGCAGCTGCTGGGTGACCTTGGGCCAGTCACACTTCTTGAAGTCTCTCAGCCCCACTCACCTCACAGAGTGTTTGTTGTGGGGGAGGAAGGGAAAGGAGAATGTTAGCCGCTCCTTCGGGTAGTGATAAAGCGGGATATCAAATCCAAACTCTTCTTCTTCTCTTCTTTTAAAGCCACATAGGTTGGTAGCCATCACTGCCCTGTTTGGGAGGGAGTTCCATAGTTTAATTCTGCACTATGTGAAGAAGTCTGTTCTTTTCTCTGCCCTGAGTCTTCCAACATTCCGCTTCATTGGATGACCACCAGTTTCAGTGTTATGAGACAGGGAGAAAAACTTCCCTCTTGCCACTCTATCCATGCCATCTATAATTTTACGAACTTTTAGCATGCTACCTATTCTCTAAATGGAAAAATCCCAAACGCTGCAATCTTTCCTACGTTTGGAGATGCTTCATCCCCTAGATCATTTTGGCTGCAGTTTTTCTGAACTTTTTCCAACTCTACAATACCCATTTTGAGGTGAGGCTACCAGAACTGTATTCCAAATTATGGTTGTCCCGTAGATTTCTATAAAGGCATTATGATATTAGCAACTTTATTTTCAATTCCATGGACTTGTGGAACTTATTTAACTTTTCTGGAACAAGGTATGGTGGGGGGGCATGCGTCTTTTAGGGAGCTGGACACAGTACCAGTTCCTGGGGGTGCCTCCTTCCAGGTGCCTCCTACAGGGGCCAGCCTCACAGCCCCAACACCTCCACCCACAGCCACCTTTGTTGCTTCTTCAGCCTCAGGCCTAAAGGGAGAGGAGCTGGTTGTGTCAACAGCCGAGAGAAAAAGTAGGACTTGTTCCCCGGGCCCTGCAGTGGGCGTGGCATAGGGATGTGGAGTGCGCCTGGCAGCAGAGCCTTGCACAGCCAGTTTGGAGGCTTGCTGCACAGCGCCACAATCCTTTTCTTTCCCGCAGCCGCTCAGCCTCGTGGATTCACCAGAGGCCTGGCCCCTGGCCAGGGGCTGCTCCTGCAGGTGGACGTGTTTCTGGGGTGCCTATTGGAGAGAGAGAGAGAGAGGCTGGATGCTGCAGTTGTTTGCAGCTAAGGAAGGGACAGGTGTGGCCTCCTTCCCTCAGCAGGCAGGCAATGAGACCCTGTCAGTGCAGTCGTACCTTAGATCTCGAATGCCTTGGCTCCTGAACAAATCGGCTCCCGAACAATTGAAACCCAATAATAATAATCATAATAATTTATTATTTATACCCCGCCCATCTGGCTGGGTTTCCCCAGCCACTCTGGGTGGCTTCCAACAAAATATTAAAATACAATAGTCTATCAAACATTAAAAGCTTCCCTAAACAGGGCTGCCTTCAGATGTCTCCTAAAAGTCTGGTAGTTGTTGTTCTCTTTGACATCTGGTGGGAGGGCGTTCCACAGGGTGGGTGCCACTACCGAGAAGGCCCTCTGCCTGGTAACTTGGCTTCTCGCAGCGAGGGAATTGCCAGAAGGTGCTCGGCGCTGGACCTCAGTGTCTGGGCAGAACGATGGGGGTGGAGATATTCCTTCAGGTATACTGGACTGAGGCCGTTTAGGGCTTTAAAGGTCAGTTTTCCAGTTTTCAAACCTTTTTCAGAAGATGAATGTCTGGCGCGGCTTCCGCGGCTTCTGATTGGCTGCAGGAGCTTCCTGTGGTATGCAGAGGGTCCCATGTTCAATCCCCAGGGGCATCTGCAGGTAGGACTGGGAGACTCCCCTATTTCTGCCACAGAACTACAATTCCCAGAGTTCCCTGCAGAGCAATTGATTATTAAGCCACCCTAGGAATCATAGGTCTGTAAGGGGAAATACGTGTTTGTGTGTGTCAGGAACCTCTTAACAACTCTCAGCACTCTGAACAAACTACCACTCCCAGGATCCTTTGGGTGAAAAACTGTTTAAAGTGGTATCATAGGGTTTAAAATGCTTCAGCTAACTCTTAAGTTTGTTTTTATGTGGAGATGTTTTCAGGCCAGTCTCTTATGCGTTTATGAAGTTGTTTGTTTCATCATTCCTTTCTAACTGTTGCTATAGTTTGTGCTCTGCTTTCTTTTGCATCTTGGCAAGTTGCCTGCTAAATTTATTTGAATAATAATAATAATAATAATAATAGCAACCTCAAAACAATTTTTAAAGCGAAAGGGATGCTTTGTGAAGAACCAAGAAACCAATCCTTACAAGGAACAGTTGAGGGAGGTGGAAAAATTTAGCCTGGAGAAGAGAAGAGAGAGAGAGGAGATGTGATAGCCATCTTCAAATATCTGAAGGGCTGTCACATGGAAGATGGAAAAAGCTTGTTTTTGTTGCTCCAGAGGGTAGGACCTGAACCAAGGGCTTCAGGTTACGAGAAAGGAGTTTCTAACTAAACATTAGGAAGTACTTCCTGAGGGCAAGAGACATTCAACAGTGGGATGGACTCCCTTGGAAGGTGGCGGGCTCACCTTCATCAGGTTTTTAAAGAGAGGTTGGGTGACCATCTCTCCTAGGTACTTTAGCTGCAATCCCTGCATTGTAGGGGGTTGGACTACATGACCCTTGGGGTCCCTTCCAAGCCTATTATTTTTCCTAACACTATGATTCTACCAGAAGCTTTCTGGCAATGGCTTTCCACCCTTAAGCCAGGCTCATTCATTGCTTTCTGAAGAAAACAGGACCTTTTTTGGAGCCAAGCCAAGGTTCATAAATAAATAAGGGACCAGTCCAAACAAGCCTTGTGAATAAAAAAGCACACAAAGGCTCTAGTGTACCTTGTCAGGGGCTGACTTCTATAGGAATCCAAATTCACCAGCCAACCTGTTGTTGAAAATGTCCCTGAAGTTTGTTCTGCCCCTGGAAACCAACCCTTAACACTGGGGTGAGCCAGCCTGGTGACTATTTCACGCCAATGTTCAAGGTGAATGATCCTTCCTGATCCGGAATCTTATTATTTCCAGCTTTACATCATCTTTGACTGATTATATTTACCCTGAAGTTTAGAGTGGAGGCTTTCTAGTTTAAAGAAGAGGCAAGTGGAAGAGGGGACATGATAGAAGTTTATAAAATGTTGCATGGCATGGAGAAAGTGGATGGGGCAAAGTTTACCTACCTCTCTCATAACACTTGTGGACGTTCCATTGAAGCTGAAGACTTGGGACAGATTTTTTAAAAAAAGTTTTGTAGTTAACCTACGAAACTCTCTCGCACAAGAGGCCATGATAGCCACCAACTTGGATGGCTTTAAAAGTAGATTTGACAAGTTCATGGAGGAAGAGAAGGCTTTCAGGGCCTACTGCCTACACTGGCTATGTTCTGCTTCCACAGTCAGAGACAACAATGCTTCTGAATTCCAGTTGCTGGAAACCACAGGAAGGGATTCTATGAGTTTCCAGAGCCTGGCATTTTACGCCATCTGCAGAATGTTTTATAACACCAAAAGTTTCCCCAGTTTGCCTGCTATCAGATACTGGGTGACCACCAGCCACTCCATGACTGAAGCAAAGCTTCTTTGATAAGGAGGTTACTCACATCCTCCCTTTTTTCTGCCTGTCATCATTTTGGTTCCTGGAAGATATCTGTGTGCCCCATTTTAACTGTGCAAAGCAGATATCAAGCGAACACAGGTTGTTTTTATAATAACGAGTTGCATTAAAATCACATCTGGATGTCTTCATACGGTGGCTGCATCCACACACTTGAAACACTTTGCCTCCCACAAGGGATCCTGGGGACCATAGCTCACACGAGGAGGGCTCAGCTTTGTGCATGAAAACGTAGGAATGTAATAAGAGCCCTGCTGGATAAAACCAAAAGGGGGTCCACTTAGTCCAGCATCCTGTTCTCACAGTGGCCAACCAGATGCAAGCAGGACTTGAGCACAAGAGCACTTTCCAATTGT